GACACAGCGTCCAGGCGGTTCTCCGTCAGCGGCCGGTCCATCATGTCTGACCGGGAAAAAAATATTCGAGAGATATGATTTCGTAGAGATTTCGATTTTTAGAGTAATAATTTCCGTGAGCCAAAATATTTTATTAAGATAACTTCTGCGAGTCAATTAATTTTAAGTAAAATTGCATCTAGGCGGTTCTCCGTCAGCGGCCGGTCCACCATGTCTGACCGGGACAACAGTATTCCAGAGATACAATTTCGAAAAAATGACCACTTTTAGCGAATTTTATTTCCGTGAGTCGAAATATTTAATCAAGATAACTTCTGCGAGTCAATATATTTAAATAAAATTATTTCGGTGATTTCGAATCTTTCCGAGAGTCACACGGTATTTCAACTGGAACATTCTCCTGATTCCAAATTTCTCGAAGAAATTGTTTACGTGGGCAAGTTTTTAGTCCTATTCAACACATGTTCATTACAATTTCTGCAATATAAATACGAGGAGACAGAATTGGTTCAAGGCGCGTTGGTTTTATAATTGGCCACTGTATAGTGCAGTCGTGGAACGGTATACCCACGCAGTCCAGTCGTAAACGGGAGCACTCACGTTCACGCCTGACATTTATTTATTCACTCTCACCGTGTGTGTCCTTTATACGTTAACTGAATTATATTGATTAAGCACCGAAAAAATAATTCAAAACAAATAATACGTAGATGTAATTTTTATTTGATCGAAAAAATATTTAACTAGTATGCCTGAGATCATTGTAAGCTGGATTTAAGGATTTGGTAAAAAAGAAATTATCAAAGTAAGAAACATTACTTTCTGCCTGCATTTTTCTTCATTTATGCACGTTTGATTGAAGACCAGAGCATGCTTTTTATTTTAAAAAATTTTTTATTGTTTTTTTCCAATAAGCCGAACAAAATTTCTCGCTGGTGTTGGGAGATCGAAAATCAGGATACCAAATAACATTTTACTGGAATACGACGTTTCGAATATTCAATATTCATTCTCATTTTCTTCCCCTATAGAACAGGAATTTCCAACGCTTCACTTTATATCTTGGAAGTATCCTTACCATTGGGCAACAAATTTGTTCTGATAAAATCTGAAAAGATCGGCTCCGATTTGACGATCGGGCGTGCGGTTATAAAGATGTTTTCTTCCTAGAAGAACAACACGTAAATTCTGAGATTCCTCTGATACAATTTCTTGGAATACTATTAATTGAACGAAGCCTGAGAGGGTGACGAAATGATCATATATTTCAGTCTGAATTCGAGTTTTATTAAATAATAATGTCACCAATGGATACGATTATATTCGATTAGGTTAATTTTTACCTGACTTTGCCAAAAAATTTCAACATTTACTGATCATAACGTAATTTAAAAGCCATCAATCAATGAGACTTCCATATATCCAATGCAGAAAGTCGGCGGAATCAACCGCCATTTTACTCTACATTTAATTGACACCAATCGTTTTACCGATTCTCCACATGCTTTTTAATGAAGCAGCAATTTATTTTTCGTTGCATTTAACTACCCGCTGGGGTGCAAAATTTGCTCGGTTTTTGATGTTGACTTACGTCTGGCCTTTCTCTCTCCTTTGCAGAGACCCTCTTCCGCCATCACAGCCCTGCACAAATAAGAAAATTAATGACGTTTATAAACTTTAACACCTGCCGGTTATTCTATGAGAAGTTTCATATAATTTGTTTCGTATTTTTATTTGAGAATAAGCATCAAGGAATAATTGACAATAAAATGATAAAAATGATACATGAATCCATAGAAGGTAATTAGGTTAAAGGTAATTAGCAGAAATAAGAAATTTAATGTCGTATATAAGCTTCAAGACCTGCTGGTTATTCTATGAGGCGTTTCATAAATTTTTTTTTGCATTTTTATTTTTGAGAAAAAGCATCACGGAATAATTGATAATAAAAAAATAAAAAAGAGACATGAAGCCCTTAAAGGTAATTAGGTTAAAGGTAATTAGCAGAAATAAGAAGGTCAATGTCGTATATAAGCTTTAAGACCTGTCAGTTATTCTATAAGGCCTTCTTATTTTGTTTTGCATTTTATTTTTGAGAATAAGCATCACAGAATAATTTATAATAAAAAGATAAAAATGATACATGAGCCGTTAAATTTAATTAGGGTCATTGAAAAGAACTTATTCTACATCATTAACAAATTATTAATGAAATATTAACGCAAAACTGGGATTTCATCATGAGAGGCAGTTTAAAGTCGTGCGGCGAAAGTCTAAGCATTTTATAGCTTAGCAGCGATCTCCTCCAGACTGAAATGAGCTCATTGAGGTCATCTTTAAGATTAAACATTGCAACAATGCTAGATTACTTAAGAAATTATCATCAATAACTTGACTCTATTATACCTTCTAGTGAGCCATTAATATGAGAAAAAATCTGAATTTGTTTATTCATGCGTAAATCGTACGGCGAATACATACTATCTAACAAAGTCTTAGATGACAAAATCATATTTTTTTAGCAGACTGACTATGAAATATGTATAAAATGAAATAGAACTCAAATACTTCCTGAAAAATCAAAACTAATTTTAAAAGATCTCAAAAAATGTTTGGTAGAATTTACTTGACTTCTATGGTATTAGAAGTCAAGGTATTGTGGTATTTACTTCAATAATAGAATTTACTTTACTTCTATGGTATAATTTACTTGATTTCTATGGTATTAGAAGTAAAGGTTTTATGATATTTACTTATATGATAGAATTTACTTGACTTCTATGGTATTGGAAGTCAAGGTATTACGATATTTATCTCTATGATAGAATTTACTTGACTTCTATGGTATTAGAAGTCAAGGTATTCTGATAGTTACTTCTATGATAGAATTTACTTAACTTCTATGGTATTTCTACTCTCCCCATACTTCGTAACAGAACTGCATTGACAAAAGGTTCACCGACTTTTAACCTGACCGGGATGGCGACGAGGCCGGAGCTCAAAACTGGTCCCGAGAAATATAATTTATGCGTAAGAACAACAGAATAACACATATTAAGAACGGCGCGCTACCTGAACCATTCCTTCGTAGAATTCGATATGGAACTCTACATAAAATGTTCTAAATTACTTTTTAGCGTAGGAGTAAAAAAGATAAAGGATTGCCAATGCACCGCATGCAAATGATGCTAACCCTGATTATAATCGTTTATAATCGATCAGATTTGTTTGTAACAATTTAGCGCGAGTGAATGATGTCTGAGAATTTTTTATCTACATCTTAACTTAACTTACTACATCTTATAACTAATATAGAGTATTATGGGGATTCTAATAGTTTCCCTGAAACGCAAGATTTAGAATTCAAAGTATAAATTTGTTTTAAAAGAGGTTTTCGGTGTTAATGACCAGCTACTATTTTAATGAATTAATTATTCGAAGTTAATTAATTACTTGCTTTAATTGATAAAAAATTAATTAAATTAGCCAATTTAAATTGGTTATTAAGGCATAATTATTTTAATATTGAAAAGTTATATTATGATATCTAGATCACATGAATCACTTTTCATTTTAATAATTTCATTACATTTCATTTTAATATTTCAATTCTAGTATAAGGAGGAAATAAATATCCTTAACTCACATGATGGCGACGATGAACAATCTTGGCTGCATGATGATGCTTTTGAAGATCCACTTCCTCTATTTATCATATAATTATAAACTTTTGACTACAGCACAGAGGTTGAGGTAAAAATTGTTTACTAAAAAATGCATATATCCAAATCAATTACTCTCCATACGCAAAGTGTTCTGTAAAAAATTAAATGCTGCCCGACAGAGCAACGAATTTAATGGGTTTTAGGCCTTTTTTATTTATAATAGACACATTAAAAGGCACTGCGTGTCTGCAGTTCATCCTTCAATCAGTAAAACTGATAATGCAGGACTACTAATCATCAACTTCCAGCAATTTTCCGATAGTAGTAGTCTTTTTATAAAGAGAACATTTTTTTAGCTATTTTTAAGTCAGCTACTATACCCTAAAATTTTTCCACAATTGAAAGAATACACGTAATGCAGTGAAGAGCAGTTCCCAAACTGGATTTGATTTATCCTTATGGGATAACGCATTGATTTTAGGCAGCTAATTGTATGAAAAATATATATTTAGGATTTTAATTTAACCAATTTCATCAATAAAACAATCGTTTTCGGCCAGATTGCGTGCGCGTTGCGGCTGTTAAATTTTGAAACGCTGCCTCCGATATTGAATTAGTCACCCGAGCTGTGCAGAGGCGACATCAGAAGCGACATTAAATCCGTAGGACCTGCTGGAGTTCATCCGCCCTTGACCATGACTGCAACCAGCGTAAGTCTCACCGGCCCGTTGGACATGAGTTCGTAAGACATGGTGGAGCTCGGCCGTCCTTGGCCCTGACTGCTACCAGCGTAAGTCTCACCGGCCCGTTGACCGTGAATTCCGTAAGACATGGTGGAGCTCGGCCGTCCTTGGCCCTGACTGCTACCAGCGCAAGTCTCAGCGCAGGTCGTTACTTGTGATTCAAGATCTAGGATCAGTCGTGTGGTGCCCTGCTCACAATTAGGAAAAATATAGATAGGAGATAAATGTGGGAAATATTTCAATGAGGCAAATTTTTTGTTATGGCAGCAACAGAATTGAGACAACTGAAAAACACGAACGGCGATTTACAATCTTGAAATAATAAGCAACAAACTTAAATTGCTGGTGGGTGTGAATAAATTATGATTGTGAATAATAGTTCGGCTGGGCGGAATAGAATCCATTGTTTGGTGCGGTGAGTTTGGTGTGAATTCAAAACATGCGATTCCGGCACTGCAATGTAATTTCTTTCAGATAGTGTAATAACTTCAACCATAGTAATGTACATTCTGCGGTGCAAGCTTTGGGCCAAGTTACGTAATATTAGTTTATCTTCTCAGCCTGCACGTCGAGTGCTACGAGTGGCGGTGCGAGACTGAACTTTGAGCAGCGGAGTAACGCACTCCAAGAGCCCCCAAGTACGGCAAATCTTGCCTTCTTCAAAGAGTCCCTCGCTCAGGAATCTCTGCTGAGAGTCTTGAAGGATCAAATATCCGCTAAACCGGTCCAGCAAGATGGCCTATAGGGCTCGTCAGGAGCATTGACATCACCGCGGTGCTTGTGCACGATGGCCAAGCCTCCGCATCTCCTGAGGTGATGCAGCCAAGCATATGGCTTTTGTCGAGAACCCCATATCGAAGCATCTTCAGAGATAATCTATTATTTTTAATTACGACAACTCCCATTACCAGTCATTCAAGTGTGAATTGCATTGACTTCTGTTAATTTATCCATAGACAAAGGGTCAAAAATTTTTCTCTAGCTTCCTTAAAATTATTGTGACTCAGGTGATTTTGTTTAATTTCAGTCACGTTGGAAAGGTTATTAATGTTCGGCTGCGAATCATTAAGTCTCTAAGTTATGATTTTTTGTGGTTTGGCTTTAAAGAAGTGACGAAACTTAAGAAAGCCTTCACGAAGTTAATATCAAGAAGTGTGAAAATATAATAACTAGTACTTTATTGTCAAAAATATTATATTAAAAGTTATTTTCTTTGAGCTTAATACATTCTCTGACTCCGTGCGTTGAGTGAGACTTATACACTAAGTTATAAATAAAGGCTAAATGGTAGATACAAACATTATCAATGCCTATAATTTCAGTCACTTAGTTGACTTCAAACGTTCCATCATATTTTTCTGTTTCATAATAATCGTTTAAAAAGCTTTACACCCTGAACAATTTGCAGTCTCTGTAGCGCCGGTTCACAACTCACGGACTGCCACCTCTCACCGTGCAAGATCTCACCTGACTGGCTGAGTCGAGTGTTAGCTTCTGCATTTATAGCAGATTTTGATTCTTCCTTTTAGGACATTTTTTATCCTCTTCAATGCTTGAATAATGTTGACGATGAGATATTGTAAGATGGTTTGTCAGGAGAAAGAGAGGAAGATGGTATGTAGGAATATGATGGCACATTGTCATGATCGAGCTGAGATGACGGTGCAGAGAATGATTTTGCGCGGGATAATGACACTGTTGGATGATGTATAGTGAGAAACGACTGTACATTCAAATAAAATTCATTTCTCAAAGGTTAAAAGGAAAGGTTAGACAAATTTCAGACAGTTAATGGCAGACCAGGTTGAGCACTGATTTAAAAAAAAAATTAAAGTATATCGTGCACTCGACCATGAGAGGTTGCTTGAAAATTTCGTTTGAAATTTTGCTCCATGCGCAAATATATGTTCATGAAGACCTGCAAAACAAGAATAGCTCTAATTTAAGTTAAGCAAAACTTTTTTATCATATCTAAACTTATTTTAAAAATATGGGAAAAACAATCATTTCAGACATATCCCACATAATTTGATTTGAGATAAAATTCTACAGGAGGGTCATGGGTTATGAATTTGTGTTTGACGAAACTGAAAAATTGTTGAAACGATACTCAAAATTTCATGTCAAGTCAATCGTCAGAATGGGTAAAATAACTACCCACATGTGCAGCTATGAATTAAATCCCTGTTAATATTAAGTACCATATGACATCAATCAATTATTATGAGGTCTGCATTGTTAGCACATTTTCTCATTTATGGAAAAAATGCCCTATTGTGCTCGTCATGTCCGTCCGTCTGTGTCCGTCTGTCCATCCGTCTGTCCGTGACTTCACGTTTCCGTCGATTTTGAGAAAATGCGCTCTCTGTCACTCACTGCAGTGATTATTGAGTTATATTTTTTATGGCTGGTGATGAGTCAACCTATAATATCCGGATTTTCATATGAAATTTGATCATCCGGTAAGTGAACAGAGCTACATGTAAATTCATATCCTTCAACAACTTCATCAATACGCACAGGAAAATCTCTAATTTCCATTATATTTTATGCTATTATTTTCAATAGAACATGAAAAACATGCATATTTATAACTTACCCAAAATTACCGTACAAACTAATTACAATTTTGATATATAATTGGGAAAAAAGTTAAACATTTTTTTCCAGCAATTGTTTCGATACGAAACCTATAATCTATACGGATTTTCATATGAAATTTAATCAATCGGTAAGTGAACAAAGCTACAAGAAAATTCATATCTTTACACCAACTAGTTCTTCATTACCTACAGGAAAACGGAATTTTCGTTTAATTTTCTGCTATACTTTACAATGGAACATGTAAAAAAACAGATGTATTTTTATAACTTAGCCGAAACTGCCGACAAACTAATTACAATTTCGGTATTTAATTGGAAAAAGTTAAACCTATTTTTTTCTGCAATTGTTTCGATACGGGAGTAAAATATTTTCATTCTAGTGAGTAAGGGAGAATATTTTCTATGCCCAACATGACCAAATGGAGCAAATTGCTCACTCGGCCCTGGTTTGGTTGTACTCACCCACCACCCGCGGGTGCACGCCCCGTGCATAGTGGTAAACCAGTGATTTTTTAGAATCAGTTCATATTTAATTTTCTCATTTGCTCAAGATTCAAACCAATATCTTATGTATGATGATGCTGGTATCCATGATACTTTGCTGGTCTATTTATAGGACTTAAAATTGAACTTGAAGGAGAGTCTAAAAAACTCTCTGCTTTGCCACCTACCACCCGCCCGAGGCTAGGAGATGAGCTGGAGTCCCAATATATGCAGCGCCGCCCTCCGGTCACGACAGGACTCGAGCTAAACCCGTTCTGCTTCACACACACTGACTCCCTCGGGTCACTGGTAGCATAAATCAGCAACTTATTGCCTTTTTTAGAAAAAAGGAGAAGCAACGTCGATCCCCCTTCTTTTTTAGGCATTAAATCAGGGAAGAAAAGTTTAAGTACTGAGTGGCTATAGCCACTTGGTTAAAAAATTTTTACCGCTCAACCGGGTGGTTCATGTATTAACTCAGTTGGTTGCGTTATGTTAAATAAAAAGAGCAGCCTATATGGCTGAATTATGCTGTGTTTGCCTATAAAAATTATGTGTTTATCCTTCGACGATTGCTTTCATATGTTTAACAATGATTTTTAAATTACTGTTGCCGAACTCACCGATACACCAGTGGAATCCCAAGCCATTGTTTGCAGGTTTAACAGACTTTTAATTTTACTCGATGCATTCGCTGAGATTATTTCAAATTATTGTTACATTGAGTTAGAGAAATTGCTAAAATAAAAGGAAATTATCAACTGCTTGGATCCGCATCCAAGGTCTTGCAATTTTCAAATATGTGAATAAATTCTTCAGCAATTGTGACGACACAAGCGCTTCAGCTTCTGTTCTTGTTGTCCGAAAAGGTTATGTGCATCTCGTAAGTGTTGTATTTTGCTCAAGAGGCATTTAATATTTCATGAAATGGATTCAATTCGTGTCCAGTGGAGCTCGTCCAGCATACGAGCCAAGGAAATATATATGTGTTTCAATATTTTCATAATTGTAATATTTCGAACATGTCACGGCAATCATTTTTTGATTAGTTTGATTTCCGATAAGTTAGAAAATTTAAATTTAATCTCGTGGAGTCGCGGTATGAGACAATTAAAGTTTAGTCGCAATCTTGCATTGAGTGTGATTCGTTTGACGAATCTATATCAGTCTTCTAATAATGTATCACAAATTGCTANTGTCTCTTATACACATCTAGATGTGTATAAGAGACAGGACCTGTTGAGACTCACAGGCCCGCTGGACCTGTTGAGACTCACAGGCCCGCTGGACCTGTTGAGACTCACAGGCCCGCTGGACCTGTTGAGACTCACAGGCCCGCTGGACCTGTTGAGACTGACAGGCCCGCTGGACCTGTTGAGACTCACAGGCCCGCTGGACCTGTTGTGGTGTGACCTCAGCCACAGTGACCGGACAGCTTCGAGTTCGTTCCTACGCTAGAATTTAACTTGATATTAATTCTAATCCCATGTAAATACTTACAAAATAGGAAGGAATAATAACAAAACAATGCGCATGAACTCACCCTGTTTACGGATTGATTACTTTTCTAAATTAAAGGCATGCATTGCTAATGTCAAACACGATTAAAAGACGCATAAAATTAATTTTAAACATTCACAATAAATGTAATTATCCTTTTTAAGGCCTCTAGAAGTTATAAAATTTAAAATTTGCTGCGAATGCTTCAATACTTGTTGGCTTACGATAGAGGACACCTAAAAAATAACATAAGTTAACCCTACTTGTCTGCGGCTTACTGATATATAAAGAATTTGTCACTGCGTTTCTGATCTAAAAAAATATTTAACCTTTTCCATTTTGAAATTTCCGGTGTTTAGACTCTCGCCGATTATCGCCGTGTCTTAAGTCGGTTTTTGCTATTATGTGGTTGTATATTATATGATTATATAATATATGATCATATATTATATGATTACATAGTATATGATTATATATTATTTAAAACCGGAGTTGCCCGGGATGGATAATAATTACTGCGACTTAACAAATAACCCGTTCATCAACTCATTACCGATTAAGTCTTCGTAAGGCAATGAGCAACTACACCTCATTTTATCATTATAATTTATAAACGAAATTCTCGTAAATTAAATAAACGTTCGTTCTAACTAACTTTTCACAACGAAAACAATTCAATCCCCTTTGCAAATTTGACGTAAAATCCACATTTTGAATTGAACGAAAAACGTTGCCAAGAAATAAATAATTTCAAAAGTGCAGATTTTAATGTAATGTGATAACGCCTTATATCCTGGTAATGTGGCAACACGTAAACATTATGTATACGTGCTTGAATTAATAGAAAATTAAATATATACAGCGTCAGGCTTGAAACTAACCAAAAACACACCAACGCTCTGAAATACACTGCGAACACGCGACTCTACTCTTGGATTTATTTGTCTACTTGGACAAGAATTTTTCTTCTTGTCTGCTTGGACAAGAATTTTCTCGTCTACTTGGATAAGAATTCTTATGTAAAGCAAATATTCCAGCAAAGGATTTAACAGACTTTGTGTTTAACGAAAAGAGGCACAAAAAATGGAAATATGATGTATTATTCTCGTTATCAGATAATTAAAAACCTTACAAGTTACAAATACTGGAGTTCGTTCACCCAATTTGCAGAAGTGAATTACCGGTGACTTAAGTCTGAGAACCAACTCTCGCTAATGCGACCGCCATGTCACGCAACTATGGACATCAAAGTTAATATTATATATGTGAAATAAATGCAAATATGTCGCAATAACCTCTTTTTTTATAGTGCCGGAAATTCAGGAAAAATATTCAATGAACGTAATAGATGCGAACAAGATACTGGGTAGGACCGACCAGCGAGGCTATGAGATTGGTCAGACCGACCAGCGAGGCTATAAGATTGGTCAGACCGAACAGCGAGGCTATAAGATTGGTCAGACCGAACAGAGAGGCTATAAGATTGGTCAGACCGAACAGCGAGGCTACAAGATTGGTCAGACCGAACAGCGAGGCTATAAGATTGGTCAGACCGACCACGAGGCTACAAGATTGGTCAGACCGAACAGCGAGGCTATAACATTGGTCAGACCGACCAACGAGGCTATAAGCAAGATTTAGCGCGGTCTGCTACATCCTAATCGCCATGTCCGCTGTCGTTTCATTTCTCTTAAATTCATGAGCTCTTCCACTGTTCACTGCTGTTGATCATTCTTTTTTAATTAAACGCAATGTTTTGAAATTCCTTTGTACTGGAGTAACAAACTACTACATGTTTGAATTAAACAAGAATTTAACAGAAAGAAAATTAAAATTTCTTCCACATAACAAGCTTAATCAATAGATCAACAAAATTTTCAAGGTTAGATTACAACAAAAATAGGCAGATAAACATGCGCAGAAGCGATAAAACCTATCGAATACTACACGTAATTTCGAGGGAATAATTAGTTTCCATAATTAGATTTTTCGATTTATTTATCAATTATGTTTTAATCACTACCGTGTAAATTTGGTTGCTCTATTGACTAAACTCTATCCTTGAAATTTTTGAACTGATGATGAAGTCTCCGAAAAGTTTATGTTAAAAACAACAATGAATTTACTTGATAGTTTATTCGCCTTTAAATTGTTTTGTAAATTTGCTACTTGAGCAAACCAATGTAATAAATAATGGAATTGTGCTCTTCGAAAAATTATATGGATAAATAATTCAAATAATTTCGTACAAATTGAGCGTTAAGTATTCACTTATCTACTTATTTTCTATTGTTAGGCATCGTATTATGAAGTGATAACTGTGAGCTGAATAAAAATATTATGATTATCATCTGTATTCACTGGTATTCTGAAATAAAAACAAAAGAAATTAACACAATACAATGGCCTTCGACGCGAACGAACGTTTCACTTTCCCTAGTTGTATTACTATAAAGGCTTTGAAAACTTCCCCGTGTCATGTCTGACCTGTTATTGATGTAAGTTTAGTAGGTAAAGTCTCCAATGTATGGTTCACAGTTGTCTGCCGTACTACTTCCCCATTATTTATTGTAAAATATAAATGATGCAAACTAACAGCGATTATATTATCAAAAAATAAATGATAACACACACAAGGGTAGGCGCAGAGTACAAAATGAAGGGAAATAGTTTCATCTTACGGGAGGAGGCCAGATTACCGTAAACCAGAGGGGCCAATTATTTTCTCTAGTGTGGTTGCTAGCGTATAATTGAAATCTGTTAAAGGCTCACAATAGAAGAAGTTCAAATTAAAGTGAAACTTTAATCTGTTCATCACACCGGCATGGCGTTGGCGGAAGCCATGTTGATGTCAAGCCAGGGGCGGTAGTAGGTGAGACGAGTGAACACTGCCGGGAGGCCAACGTTCTTGCAGAGCGGGAACCCGAAACTCACCACACCCACCTGAGTGCACACTTCGCCGCTGCACACTACGAGAGGGCCACCGGAATCTCCCTGATAACACAAAAGATAGATTACACGTTACTGATGAAGCGAATAATCTTCTCTGATATTCAAATGACCTACCCTAACAAAATATAGAGTCGCCCCAGCTTCTGGTAATCCAAATCAAAAGCTGCCGCGACTGTAAATTTTCACTGGGTAGAGTCCTATAGACCATCGAATGCGTAAGATTATATGTGCCGAAGAACCACGGTACAGATTTCAGAGAAAATCTTGCGTCAGCTTTGATACGACAGAAATCTTCACTTTATCATACATTAGACTTCTAAATGGAGTACTGAAAACTGTGCAATTTTTATAAGATTCATCAGGACCCTCAAACTTTCTAAGGAAATCAGCTTATTTTCATATAATAGACGGTTTAATTAATAACTGTAAAACTGCATGATTTTCAGATAAAATTTATCAGAGCCCTCACGCTAATAAAGCTAACATTTTCAAATAAATAAAATTTCCGGCAACATTTTCAGAGAAACGTTTTTCAAAAGAAACAAAATATAGGGGACATTCGTAGATGCAAGACTGCATAAAGCCTTACATGACACGGAGAACCTTTGCTAACATCGAGGCATATTTGTTTCTTCGGGTCGGTAGAGAGCTGCGGCTTGAGGGTAGATTTCGTGGACCACTGCCGGTCGCAGGTAGCCTCAGTGAGCAGCGATGAAGAGTATTCCTTGAGAACGTAGGACGAGATTCGCTTTCCAATTTTATCGCGGCCCCAGCCCGTCACAGTTGCGTTCAGTCCTTCAAACGTGTCATCTGAGTACAAAAATATGGCTCTAAATTATGCACTTAATTTTGGTGACGCTTTTAACTGCGTTGGATATCTGAAATTACTTACACAAACTGCAGTATATTTTAAACCAAGGGTCTCAATCGTTAGCATAACGGTCAAGCAATATTGAAATCTGGAATATTTAAAGTTTTTCCAGTTACCGTGATTTTCAATTATTAAATTGGGATTCAGCATCATTGAATGATTCCCATAAACGTAAAACTCTACTACATAACTGAACTCTACTACGTCAAACTCTATTACATAACGGAACTCTACTACGTCAAACTCTATTACATAACTGAACTTTATACGTAAAACTCTATTACATAAATGAACTCTACTACGTCAAACTATATTACATAACGGAATTCTACTACGTCAAACTCTATTGCATAACTGAACTCTACTACGTCCAACTCTATTACATAACTGAACTCCAATACGTCAAACTCTACCACATAACTGAACTCTACTACGTCAAATTCTATTATGTAACTGAACTCTACTACGTCAAATTCTATTACATAACTGAACTCTGCTACGTCAAACTCTATTACATAACTGAACTCTACTACGTCAAACTCTATTACATAAATGAACTCAACTACGTCAAATTCTATTACATAACTGAACTCCAATACGTCAAACTATACAACATAACTGAACTTTACTACGTCAAATTCTATTACATAACTGAACTCCAATACGTCAAACTCTACCACATTACTGAACTCTTCTACGTCCAACTCTATCACATAACTGAACTATAATAAGAACATTCTACTACAGAACTGAACATATGCATATATTACGAACAGAACTGAACGAACATTTACATATACTGCGTCAAACTCTATTACATAACTGAACTCTAATACGTAAAACTCTACTACATAACTGAGCTCTAATACGTTGAACTCCACTACATAACTGAGCTCTAATACGCCAAACTCTTCTACTGAACTGAAATCTAAAAATCTAATAGCAACATCAAACGCCCGACACTGACCGAGTGCCCACGGCAAGAGGACTGGGTTGATGGACGAGGAAAACATGACAGGTTTTTCGAGCTGCAGAAGTGCGATATCATTCCGGACGGTGTCAGCACGATAGTGAACGTTGAAAATTATCCTGCGTATGTCACGGTATGTGCTATCGGTCTCTTTCCTGGTGGAGAGATCGTGATCTCCAAGAATTGCTCTGATTCTGTCCGCTCTCTTGGACGATCTAACGAAAACGAAATAAAAATGAGGAATTTACAATTTTGAAATAATATTTATTTCGTGTCCCATGTTTGTGGGTTCGTAGGAAGTATCAATGATTTCGTATATCTGAAGTCGCAAGCTTGAACGAAAAGTAATTATTTGAACTCGAAAGATTTGAAATTGACCATGAAATTAAATCTATTGAGCAAAAATCTTAATTTTAGTTCGTATTTCATTCTCATATCACAAATTGATTAGTATATAACAATAGTTCTTACCCGAGGACGCAGTGCGCTGCTGTCAACACGAAGCTGTCACTGATGAGTGAGGCTCCGCAGAAAAAGGCAGACTTGGATTTATTTTTTCCAGGTGTTATGTAGAAGAGTGCGACCTAAAATGAACAGTTAACTTATGCTTCAAATTCTGATGTAAAATTGTAAAGTGAAAGTGAAGTAAAAGCGATAATTTTTGCCCTAGGTTAAGGGCCGATTTTGATGATACTAATCAAGTTCAAGAATCACTTCACATGGCGCATGTATTAATACTAACATGCAAAATTAAGACTCGCTGGTGAAATCATATTGACATATCGCGACTAAATTTTAGGCATAAGCAGGACAAATAATGGAAATTATATGCACAAGTTGACTTGAAGCATCAAATGCACCCAAGCTTCGTCATATTCTAAGAAGATTAGTATACTTGTATCATAAAATTCACCCGAATTTAAAATCTGCCAGAACTTGAATTAACTGCGTCATTAAATTCGCCCGAAGTTAAAATAACTGCGGTATTGAATTTACCCGAACTTGAAAAAACAGCGTCGTTGAGTTTACCTGAAGTTAAAATAACTGCTGCATTAAATTCACCAGATATTAAAATAACAGCGCCATTGAATTTACCCGAAATTGAAATAACTGTGTCATTAAATTCACCAGAAGTTAAAATAACTGCGTCATCGAATTTACCCACACGTAAAATAACTGTCATTAAATTCACCCGATATTAAAATAACTGCATCATTAAATTTAACAGATGTTAAAATAACTGCGTTATTGAATTTAACAGATGTTAAAATAACTGCATCATTAAATTTAACAGATGTTAAAATAACTGCGTTATTGAATTTAACAGATGTTAAAATAACTGCCTCATAGAGTTTACCCGAAGTTAAAATAATTGCTTCATTTAAACTCACCCGAAATTAAAATATATGCGTCATTAAATTCTCCCGAAGTGAAAAACAATTTTAAAAATCTCTTGTGAGAAATTATAATTGTATATACACAGATTTGAAAGTAATTTCACCATTTTTTTGGGTCAGGTTTCACGTTCGTAGATCAAGTTTCCGTTCTTTACTCCAGTTCAATTTCTTAAAATTAATTTTGGACAGAGGAGATAATAAAGACCGATATTTATTTATTTTTATGCAATTTCTCGAGTTTCTCACTAATTCACAGATTTATTCATACCAAAAACTACGGTAATTAGTATCGACGGTGAAAAATTTCCCCAAAATTCCCCAAAAATAAGAAAATTTATAATTTTTGGGGGAGATTTATATGAAAGAAGCGAAAATGTTCAAGTGAGATGCCACTCGCCTGCCATGGATACTCGTGGATATTGGCATAGACTCCATCCACGATCCTCGGCACAAATGAAATGTTTTCTTCCTGATCTGCGCATCGCGTTGCCGGCATGGCTTTCTCGCGGGCATAAAAACCTGCAAAACGAAAATTTTTGAGCAGCCAATGGTGCTAAAAATTAAATATCTTACTGGGAAAACATTTTTATTTTTATTTTAATCCTGTTGTGTGTGTGGCCTGGGTTGAGAGTTCAGCTCGAAATTTGATAAGCAGCATTTCTGCACCGAAAAATGATAACCGGTAGACAACCATCATCGTCTCGACGAATCACCAAATTAATGATATGAAACATGCTTGAATTTTGGGCGTGAAAACGCTGAACAGACGCAAAAATATCTGAAATAAAACTAGTAAACTTCGAAGAGAGATTTGACAATGCAAATCCTATAGAATCGATGGCAATCTAAGACCAAATTGACGAAACAATAATAAAAATTAATAGGTAAAAATGAGTCTGATTGTTATCACATTTAATATTACGCGCTTCTTTACTTGTGGAATCGGAGGAATTTTTCTGATTAATACTAATTTCAACATCAATTAAAAACAAAATTTTGCTGGAACCTTATACTGACTTTGCGGCAAACTTGAAAAAACGCGAAATTAGAACTTGTGGACACTATGGCTAAAACTACATAAAAAATTGCACGGATATTCATTTAAGACAAATGCCTAAAATATAATAGAATTTAAACTAAATAGGTTTAAGCAAACCTTGGAAGAATTGTGACATGGGAGTGACGTCAACCGTGTCATACGGCGCTTCGGAATCCCCGGTAAATGTACTACCCTGCAGGATCGAAATATTAACTTTCTTAACTATGATAAAATTAGTTACAGATTTCAGAGAAATTAATAGGTCATATTTTCCTAATGGAGACACAATTTCTTGCTCATACCACGAGCAGAGAATGGACGTAGTAGCACTGATACCGTGATACGCCGTCGTTTGTGACGGGCCGAACTGAGTTTGGATGACCCAACATAAGGTAAAAAATATGCGTTTAACAAGTACACACTTCTAAAGAGGCCAATATCTCCGATGTTACATAGATACAATGAATATCTTATTTTGTCTTTAAATATTTATATATAAAATAAATTACATTTTTTAATTATTTTCTTTTTATTTTGTTAATTGATCCGTGCATTGTCTCCGACTTTACGCAAGCGTGCAAAATTTCAGATCGATTGGGTTTTGAAGTGTATTAATTATCAATTATAAGATTTGTAGCAGACAAACAAACAAGAAGTGAAGTTAAATAGAAGTGTGGTAATAAAAAGTCCGTCTTTATTTAGGCAAAGTATCACTCATTTCATTGAATTTTGATCGCACTTCTATTGCTCATTTAGATCATAAATCATTTTCATCGTGTAGTTTGAATAAAATTATCTGTATTACATCAATGTAGTTAGTTCTCAATCATCCATAAAAAGAGTGAAATTAATTAAATTGAAAATATTAACTTTTTTCTCTATGGATTTAAAAAAAAGCTAGCCTCTGTAAATTTTAAAATATCTACTTGTCATATTGGTCCCAATAATTTTGGAAAATTTAACCATTGATTCCAGTAAAGTTTTCAATCTGTGGTACAGGTCCTCTTAGTAGATTTTATTAAAACCCATTGCAGATCGCAATAAAATTGAAACCATCAGCATAATTGTTATGAAAGCAATGGAAGTAAGCAATTCATCGATGCCTAAGTATATTGGGCCTTACTGAATTTCCCGTCGCTGTGAGAAAAATGATTTCATTTTTGATGCTTTATTTTTAACTCGTGAACGGGTGTCAATATGTTGTACGAAGCTTTACTTCGTTCAAATGTTCAGTGATAATAAATTATTAGATTCTGATAAAGTGAATAATTTCTAAAATCTTTGAGTATCCGCCAAGCTATAATTTAGACTTCACACCTTGCAGGTTAGGCTTAAGTTCTTAACCCTCCATCGCCTGACATGAGTAACAGGAGCAATATTGTCACGCGCCTACTTCCCAAAAAGGGTGCGTTCTAGTGAGCGCAAAATGACTTGCACTGATGGTTGCCGCCACGTACGACAACTTTAAAATGTTCTCTGTTGCATACAAACGTCCTCAGGTTGCTACACTCAATAGTTTACGTATAATTTAAGTTGATAGTTATGTTCCCGGAGAGTGACATACGGCGGTAGAACCTGAGCTACCAACGACAGCGTCACGTCGCTCAGCTCCTTCACTGCGAATGTCGCTGAAATTTTTAGGTAAAATTTATTATATGAACGAAATGATAGTAATTCAAGTGTAGTGTATAAGGCTTGTTGTAAATTGTATTTTACTGTTTGAATATAAAGCTTCTATTAAATATATAGGTATGGTAAATTTATAATTGATTAGATTAGTATTGTAAGAATGTTTTAGAGACAGTTGGAATCGAGAATAGAAATTGCGGATTAAGAACGAGCAGTAAGAACGTGGACTTGATGAGGAAGACATCGTCACGTGTTGTGGAAGGTAGCTGTTCGAACGAAGATAAATTGATAAATTAATTACCTGTGTGTCACGTGAACATGTGCTACGTATCCTATTTTATGCAGAAAGACTGTAATGATGATTGATGTGCAATAAATTATTTTAATGATTGTTGGTTTCACCACCAGAACCTGCCACTATACGCACGACAATAGTTATGCGGATCCCTTTCTTAACTTACTTTGTAGTAATCCAGGGGAGGGAGGGTCACCATAGGACCTTCGGCATTGCGGATTTTCAGAAAAAAAGCTTGGACGTAAAATCTATCATCTAGTATATAGGCCTGCATCAATCTATACGGTACGTGGTCTATGGCTATGCAGCGCATATCAGAGGCGACCCATGAAAACTCATCGTCGGATCTACCATTTCGTAATTCATCTTCAACCCTTTGAGACTTTCCTCCATTCAAATAACTCATCGTGATAAGAAAATAGAAGAGACTAGAATGATGCTTGCGTTACGAAAATCCAAAAACATTTTGGAAGATTCTACCTCCAAAATTTTTCAATGTATATATGTACTATTTTTGTCCCAAACGGGGAGACGTTGTTTGGCCTCTATGACGACCATGACCACCAAGTACAGAAACACAATTTCTCCATCATAAATTCACGAAAAGAATGTTTGTTGATATTTCTATTTTAATGCTAGGATGCATTAAAAAGACGTTTTATTTGATCGAGCGCATACAGATACATGAACATTATTCTAGTGCTCGAGTTCAATGTTGACGATGTAATGTAATATTGACTCAATTTTGACGATGTGGTGTGCTTCGGATGTAATGGCCCAATGACCCTGAAATCAACATCCCTATCCAATAACTAAATCCTTGATTATAATTGTATCTAATATGTATACGCACTTGCAAAGCCGGTCATGTTGCCACACAGGGAAGCTGTAGGCCCCTCAACCGTGCCCAGGATCACGAACATGTCGAAAATACAGCCGCTCTTTGTCGCAGGCTCCAGCTCAAACACGTTCATGTCCACTCTGAGGCAGGAAGAGATGTTGCATCTCAATAATTATAGATTTTATATAAGCGACAGTCACTGAAATTTACATCGTTGAAGTAATTAGTAGTACCTTATATCAGCAACGCTCGCTGGAGTGTAAATCGTTAAAGTAATTATGATTACTTTAACTGAGCGACCGTCACAGAAAGGGGATTCACGAAACGAATTAGGAATGTCCGATTTAAGCGACCATCACTAAAGTGTACTTCGTAAAGGTAATTAGCATTGCCTCATCCAAATGACAATCACTGAAGTGTGTATCGTTAAAGCAACTGGGACTGACTTAACACAAAAAGGAAATCCACGATTAATATGATTGTCAGCTTTAAGCAACTGCCACTAAAATGGAAATCATTCAGAAGATTTACCCTAGCAATCCATCTGAAAAGCACTCTGGAATACACAATAATACATTCACTTCAAGCCGATATAACTCTTAATGATGAATATACGAACTCACCGCATGGAGCAAATATCTCGACCGACTTTGATCATCAGGGGGCAGAGCCTCGGTCTCAAGTTCTCCAGCGGAAACGAAGGATTGCGGAAAGTCACTGAATGTGCGGATGTCTCATCGTCGCACGTCTTTTCCACTGAAATACAAGGACATTTTACCAGGAATGTCAGCAATATAATTTCACTCTAAATCGAAGTATAAATTGCATAAGTTTTGATTGATTGATGATAACTCTCGTTCTCTTGTTCATTGTTGGGGAATAATACCTGTATGTATCATTATTATGGAGTATGACATACATAAAGTTTATAACATTTGAATTAAATTCATCAAAGAATACGTTAAACATTTTGGTATACTTTAATCCTATTATTTTCTGGAATCCACCAGTCAGGGTTAACCTTTAGTTCACAATCCACCACTAAGCAAAGGGTTAACCTTCAGTTTACGATCCACCAGTAGTATTAACAGTATTAACCTTTACCTACCACAGTATTGGTAGGTAATTATTATCCTATTATCCTATTATTATTATTATTATTTTCTGGGATCTACCAGTCAGGGTTAACCTTTAGTTCACATTCCACCACTAAGCAAAGGGTTAACCTTCAGTTTACGATCCATCAGTAGTATTAACAGTATTAACCTTTACCTACCACAGTGTTAACCATTACTTAATAATCCTCCACTAAACACACATTTAATTCCTCACCCACACAACAGACGAGAGTAGGATCGCCAGCACAGAAGCCTGTGAACCTGCCCCCCTGCGAGGTGCAGGCCTCGCTTCAACACAGTATTAACCATTACTTAACAATCCTCCACTAAACACATTTAATTCCTCACCCACACAACAGACGAGAGTAGGATCGCCAGCACAGAAGCCTGTGAACCTGCCCCCCTGCGAGGTGCAGGCCTCGCTGCGAAGACACGCGGCCTGTCGTCCGCCCACGCTGCATACGGGATACACTGGCGCGTCCAGGGCGTTGTGAACCAATTTAGGGCGGTCCAACATGTCTGGTGACGTATCAGGCATCAGTTATTGATTTTCAAAGTTATAGCTTCTACAGTAGAAAACACATCAGGGAGAGCATCAGTTACAGTTTTTACAGTAGAGAATGCATCAGGGAGACCATCAGTTACAGCTTGGAAAAGTTACAGCTTTTGCGTGACACAACGCATCAGTTATTGCTTGGAAAAGTTATAGCTTTTACATTAGAGAACAAATCAGGGAAAGCATCAGTTACAGCTTTGAAAAGTTACAGCTTTAAAAAGTTACAGCTTTTACATTAGAGAACGCATCAGAAAAAGCATCAGTTACAGCTTGAAAACTTACAGCTTTAATAGCATCAATATAAAAACCAAAAAGAATGTTTTGCCCCTTATTTTTGATTTTTCAGCTCATTACTTGGAATACGAATGTCTGAAAAACCTTTCCCAAATCTAAATTAGTATGAGAAAATCAGTCACACGAATCAAGAAACGATAGAAATTTATTAGAATTAAGTCTAACTCACGTCTTGGTTGTCTTTCTGCCAGAGCACCACCAGCCAGCAGGCAGAACCTGTTCATGATTCATCAATAAGTTCAACGTAGATGAGAAATTCAATTTCATTCATGTCTGACTGAAATTAATGTACCAATAAAGCACCTTTGTACATCGAAAATTTTTATTGTAATTTACGCTAGCAACCTTAAGTAAAGCCCTCCCCAGTATAGTTGATAAGTGCCCGCGATGTAACTTGTCGCGGTTGAGTTCTCCGACCTTACGGTCGACATCATAGCTTATACCTCTGTATCGTACTCCTGTATAACCAACCCGTATATAAGATATGTTTTCAGACACACGAGTCTTACCTACCCTTTACAACCTTAGTCACGTAACCCGATCCTCAGGTAGAGCTTAATGTATGAGCTCTGACAATAATTGTCCTAATTCTTAAGTTAAAATTTTACTATTATTTTATTTTAGTTAACATTTTTACTTATTTTTAATTCCATTAAGTAGAAGATTGAATTTATTGTGCAACCGTAAATCATCAAATAAAAATGTAAGTAATTAGAAAAATATGATATGCTTCATGATTTTAAGGCATACAAAATGTCAGTGGCATATTCTTTGCTTTCAAATTCATAGATTCAGACGTATTTTTTTTAACATTTCACTGTTTTCCGAGTATTTCAAAATAACATTTCCCATGCATTAATTATTATGAATTGCTAAAATTAAATTAAAGTTAAAGTTTATTGAGTGTTCGCGTCAATGACTCCCTCACCCGGCGAAGGATACAGCAAGGATAATCCTCATAACCGCAGCCATCAATGAACCTGCACAAATAAAAAGATAATTATATCAAATAATATCTACATTCATTTTAACGATAATATGTTCAGAAGCACGCTACCTCATACGCGTTATAAATAATTTTAAATATCAATCGAACTTCCCGTTCGTTATTGTTTCAGTACAATCGTTTCGAGAAAGCATAAATCAATAAATTTTATAGGTATATATTTACAAAAATATTTATTTATTTATCTACAAACATAAATTTTGAATTTCGCCTGAAATAGAGCATTACGTCTTGAAATAATTATTTTCTTAATTAGATGTATGTGGACCCAAATATTTGATTTAAATTTGTTAGAAAAGCTTTTTGTTATCAGAATATTACGAAAATAAAACTTTAAATATATATTTTTCATCAAATCGTGCTCATCGAGGTTAGAAAATCTGAGCTCTTATATACATAATTCTAGCGGATCTTAGTAGCATTCGAGATGCAATTCTTTCACCGATTTATCCTTCCATGCGACATTGCTCCAATTTATAATTACAATTCGATTAATATTAATGTTACTGTTCCATGCAACTAAGCGGTCATCATGGCAGGTCATTCAAACGGTTTGTACTCATTAATTTGTAATGGCAATCCCCGACTCAACCTTGGGATAGGGAATATAGCTTCAACGCTATATGGGACAGTAAATCCCAATCTTTTTTATTTCATATATCCGCTTTTTAATAAAATTTGGATAGCACTCGTAGATAAAGAAGAATGTTTAGTTCAATGAAGTGACTCTTACATCGATCCAATTTCTCTTTTTAATTTTTCTCTACAAATCATCTTCAAAATGACACCATATAGAGAAAAAGTCATCATTTTATATTCTTAATTCATCTATAAATTGCAATTGAACGAATAAAAATTGGTAAGAAGCATCATAATGTCAGTATTACAGAACTGCGGCGCGTCTTCTTTGCAGAAAGTTCCACGATTGTCATGCGGATCAGTAATTCAAGGAGAGGTTGACCTCAGAGCTTATTTTAGTTCAGTTACTCCTATTATCTTCTCAATATATAGCGGCTAATTAACTCATAAGATCGCTTGCTAATAATATTTAGCTATCAGTGAATCTGTTCGAATTAGACTCTAATGAAAAATTCCGGTATAATAGAATAAGAATTATTTATAGAACATAATTTAATTTACAATTTATACAACGTAATTTAATTTATAGTCTATACAATCTAATTCAATTTATAATTTATACAACGAAATATAATTTAATATTTATGCAACATAATTTATAACTTCAAAAAATAACAACGCGATACGAAATCGCCGTGGCACACTCATGATTAGATCTGAAGACATTCATATTATGATCTTTTCTTTTAAATTGCTAGTAGTGAAAGCCGCTAATTTAGTTGTGTCGAAACTCTGAGTCTCATCCTATTTAATGTGCTAAACAAATTCACTGAACTTGATCATAGTTCACTTGGAGCATACCTGACTCTGACGTCCCGTTAATTGTTCGATTCAGAGCACGGCACCCCTTGCTCAGAACGTCCCGTTAATTGTTCGGTTCAGAGCACGACCCCCTTGCTCAGACGTCCCGTTAATTGTTCGGTTCAGAGCACGACCCCCTTGCTCAGACGTCCAGTTAATTTTTCGGTTCAGAGCACGGCATCCCTTGCTCTGACGTCCCGTTAATTGTACGGTTCAGAGCACGACCCCCTTGCTCAGACGTCCCGTTAATTGTTCGGTTCAGAGCATGGCCCCTTTGCTCAGACGTCCCGTTAATTGTTCGGTTCAGAGCACGGCACCCCTTGCTCAGATATCCAGTAATATTTAAATAACAATGCTATAGCGAATACCTTTATCACTGGAATAAAATTTGCGTGTATTTCCGTGAATGCCAATTTGGTTGGAACGAAATTTCTTATAGCAAAAAAGCATGAAAGTTTTCACTCAAACGAAATTCTTTATCTTAAGTTTTATAAGTTGAAATAAATTTCATCTTGTGAGAGCATAATTTAGAATTTGAAAATTAAATGATCTCAAAAATTGTAAAATTATGTAATCGTGCACAAATGACTAAATTAAAACTAAATCACAAATTAAATTGTCTGAAAAGGCGGCATGCTCTCGTGTTAGTAGCCATAAAATAAGTATTAAGTCACGTTTTTCGGAGTGTGATCTGAAAAAATTACCCAAAATCAATGAATTACTACGGTTCTATCGCTTCTACCTTGTAATTTCTAAATTAAGGTTTTTATGACGGATAATAAATGCTATACTGTTACACCACGAGCGAAACATCACATTTTTCGATTTTTTTTTCAACAACTTCGACTTTATGAAATGTAATACGAAACTTTTAATATAAATAACTTTAATTTTCGATACACTGACAATTAGATATGCCACTGATTAGATCACTGATATGGGGTATTATATTATGGTTACATTAAACCGTGATAAAGAAATTTTAATCATTGATGAAATATTTCCCGATCCTCGATTCCTATAACATTCGTTTAGCCGCTCCTGTGCATGTAATGCAAAGAAGCGCATTCTAACTCTACCAAATGCATCATCAACCGCCATCAATGTTTTCGTTCGTCAAGTCTTTGCAAATACATATAACGTTAATCGTATTTCGTAAATTCGTCAACAGAAACATTAACAGATGGCAATGCAATTCGTACCTCAAGTTTACAAAGCGTAAACCATTCATTATATCATTCATTCGTAAATATCATTCATTAATATGTTAAATGTATATATAAAGGCCTAGTAACTACATTTACCCCCAATTGACATAAGTTAAATCCTTTATCAACAGATGAATTGAGTTTAATCCTTGAATAAATCCGAAATCTTAATTCTTTGTATACATATGAATGAATCCTTTGTCTATATTCGTCAATGATATTGATAATTCGGAGGCTCGTAACTACAGTTACTATCAACATTCTAATGGTAAAGTTACGCGCTGCAGTGAGCGCACTCACCTCTTGCCGTGGAGGTCGTCGTGGTAGCACTGCAGTTCAGGGCGCGCGGGGTGTGCAGTTGTGCTGCCCACACATGCTATGCGGGCGCACTCCTCCTGTGTACTTTTTTCCGCTAAAAACAGATGCGCTGTTGGAAGTCATTCTCCATGGAATAATTTCTCCTAATTTGCTTATTGATGGTCGGTATAAGTGGATGTTAGCTGCATAAGGAGGAATAATGCACGAAGCAATTGCTAATCTCGGTCCATTAATGGAATTTTAATATATGGAGCAAAATAAATCTTTTATGTTCGAAGCAGTAGTTTCATTTTCTGAAAACTATTAAGGTAATTGGGTAAGATTAATACGAGGTGCGATCAATTCTCTTGAATGAAATCTAATTTGTTTATAGCAATGTTACAGACATAAAGTTACAGGATTTGACGCAGAACTTTAATGATGAAATAAATGTACGTCATTTATGTGACTTTTAACTTAATTTTTTTTATAATATACAAATAGATGGTGTTGAATTCTACTTAAATATCGTTCACACTTGAGTATGTAGTCTCTATTCTGCTTCAACTATTCGTAACTGTACATTGCATCCTATCAATTGCAAATTGCACGGAGTATTTTAAGGTCAAGATGTGTATTAACATGGGTGAACGCGGATTGGTAAACGCGGTATTAACAAAAAATATAACTCAGTACTCACTGCAATGAGTGACAGAAAGTGCATTTTCTCGTCGACGAAAACTTGAGGTCACGGACGGACAGACGGACGGACGGACGGACTGACATGGCGAGCACAATAGTGCATTTTTTCCTTAAATGAGAAAATGCGCTAAAAACATTCGTTCTCTTCATGCATCTCAAACACTTCTTCAGAAAAACGTAAGGAATTCATAAACTTTTTATGAATTTTTTTATGATAATACTAAAATTATTGTACACCGCCTTCTATTTATATTGGGTAAAAATTGAAAAAGTTATAATTCAGCTGCAATATGAAATATGTTATTCTTGAACGCATTGTTCATTTAATATTTACGGTACATATTATATAGCATCACAGCTTTGATTTCCTCGACTAAAATGCACGTTTTAAATTTCTTTTCTTAAGCACATAGCCTCCCACGAGCAACCGGTATCATGAGAAGCGATCCGGAACTTCCCTGCCAAGGATAATGAAATAATTAAAAAATTTTCTGGATCTGAAGCAACGGTTATGTATTTTTTTTCTCGGTTATCAAAGTTTTCTGGACCTGAAGCAACGCTTATGTATTTTTTTACCCCGCTTATCCCGGGTTCGGCTCCAGGGTTGGAGCAGAAACCTGTCCTGGACCTGGAATGTTTTGTCCTATGCAGGACGATCGAGGTCAACCGATTTCTTCACAGTCTGCAAGCCCTACTGGAGAAACCACTTCATATGCAGACAAATGATGATGGAATCATCAATATAACATAGGTATATAAATTTAAATTTTAGACGTGTGGGAGTGAAAGCATAGCGACTGATACTTTGGGTACAAGTTTATTTATAAGGAATTTAAAAGCAAAGAAAACGCCAAGAAAATTCACCATATCGATATTGGATAATGATATGGTGAATTATGATATGGTGAATGATGGATATGGTGAATTTTCTTGGCGTTTTCTTTGCTTTTAAATTCCTTGTGAACTTGCGATATAAGCAGACTAATAATATAAGTTTATTTATTCTTCAATTTTTATTCACGCAGAAGCACACAAAAACAAAAGAAGAGAACATCAGAAATTAAAACAAATTTAAAAGACGAAATGCTTCTTATACAGTGAAAGCTTATATAAACTGCATGCGACATAGGTGGTATATAAGTCTCAATATATGAAAGTATAAGATGACATGATCATCAGCAGTGACTTGTTAAATAATTTTAAATAACTCACGCTTATCCGAAACTTTATTATGAATAAAAATAATTATAAATAAAATAATAGCTATTTGTCCTTTTCTATGTGACCGAGACGAGCAAATAATTTTTTTATGCTCAAAATTTTTAGCCAAACCAAAAAAAAAATGGCATCATTAGGTCGATTTTAACTATGATTTGATAGAAAAAAGTAAATTCTTAATTATAAACACTGCTTCTATCGTCAAATCTAAACAAATGATCTCCATTAATTATTAAAGTAAAGCTTGCACAGCAGAAACCTAAGACAGTTTATAGGGTCAGCTTGAATATTATGCGCAATCGCTGGATTTTTATTACTTATTTTTTATTAAGTTAGCTAAGTTTTCTATGCGTGCAGTCAGTTTTCAATTTTAACATGTGTGCAGTCTATGTTCTTCATCTTTAATCGTAAGTACAACACATTTTAATGTCTTGTATTTCATTGATTAATATGCGTAATAAATGGCTGCAATTTTCTCATCATGGCATAAAAAACAAACAAATAATATAATAAACTATAGTTCAATTTATTCAATTAGGCTAAAAGAAATATTAGAGATGCAAATATGATTGTAATAATTGTCGTAATAAAAATATGATTCAAGCAGAAATAAACATGAAGTTCGTAAAATCTATGGATTATGTTTTATAACACAACAAACTTTATAATAAACTTTATAATAAAACGGGCAACTTCAGGACGAATCTTAACTACATAGAACAATCGAACATTACTTTTAAGCGGATATGAATATTTGGCAAGAAACATAGGATGCAATAGAAAAAAATTAAATAATGTAAAATAGTTTTGAAGTAGATTTTACTTTAGCTTAAAGTTTAGATTTAAAATGGTTTAGTAATCGAAAAAAGTTTAAGCTTTTCTCCGTATCACTTTCTCGATCCCGAGTCTTGTTCCTTTCTGAACTTTAGTTTTTTCTGCACAGGATCACTGGCACTGGGGATTTTTCATTGAATTTTTGTGGCGCAACTCTTCATCGCTAATGAATAGCTTTCTAATCGCTGTCCAACAACCATGTTCCTACTATCGATCGGGTTAGCTGTAGCATAGAGCCGTCTCTGTAAGGCAGAGATATTTTATATTCCGTCTCTGTAAGGTAGAGATATTTTATATTGCGGAAAATTTTCCGTATTACCAAGTCTGTCTGGCATCAAAGAGAGGTCTGTGTATAATAGGGACGTATCGTAAATGAAGATCCAACTCCGCATTGTAAGTGGAACTTTCTTTGTCTTATAGTTCACTGCATAATATTCCATGGCCACTAATCCATTCAGCTGAGTACGTTCAGGTTGATTAGATATTTTTTTGTGAACGTGGTATCATAAACTTACCGGCTAACATCAAGCGCGCTCACAACCGAGGTTTCGATATGATGCTACTCAGGCTGCTTAGCTGTTTTCGTACAGCCTTTGATCGATACAGCCTTTTCAGCCTTTTACATCGTACAGCCTTTTCTTTTCGTACAGCCTTTTCTTTTCAGCGTCAACATCATTAAAATAGTGATCGCATGAGACAAACAAGTTAATATTTTAAGGGTATTTTCACCATTATTGAATATATCAACACATTCATTTATGCCAAGTGCCAACATATTGCATATTTCTAATCCATGAAAAACAGCGTTTGAAGATAAACAGGGTATTAAGGCAAAAAAACAATCTCAATTAAAATATTGTACAACAATTGTTCCATAATCTTGTTCGAAATTATTCCGAAGACTCAGATCCGTCTGTGAGGACAAAATATGTTTTTATTTACGCCCCTTTCCACTGAGACTTTAGCAGAAAAGAGCATGGACCGAATAATCCAGGGCTTAAATGGAAGTTGACTTACAAATGCAATGATGCTTGACATGACCTGAATAATTTACCTGTTAGTTTCGCACTCATTAAAGTATCTTGATTGACGGCCTGGAGAAACTTTGATCCTTCGACGGGACTCCGTCTCAAGAGCATAAACAACTCGCAAGCATCGGTCGCGAAGCCGATCAAAGTTTTTCCAGTAAAGAAGGAATTTGAAATAATGCCAAGCAATATATTTTCAACTTATTTAGATTTTTTTTATAGAATAGAAGAATAGAATAGAAGTGTCGGCACTAAAGAAATATGCCCATGGCCTGTCGCCGATTCTTGAATTTTTCGTGATTTGATTCACAAGGGATCCGGCCTTTGGAACCCGATCTTTAACTGACGATTGTTGGAGATAGCTGCTGGACTTATTGCCTGGTCCGTAATTTGCTAGGCATTTAAGACTGAACATATGCTCCTGCATAGCTTCGTCTTGTCTGTTCTTGAAGGCGTTTTCCGTATTACTTCTATCACCATCTAGGTTATCATACGTCACCAGCTTTGCCAGTAATTTTAGTTAACTCAAAATTTTTACACTGCTAACTGTTTCGTTCTAACTGACTCATCGAACTACTATTTACATATGTTGTTCATACGAGAACACAGGTATTCGAGTAAAGCCTCTGTAAACGGAAGTTATCGTATGATAGCCTCTGAAAATTATGAGATACATAATAACTACATGATTGAAAGCACGTATTTATTTTGGTCTCACTGGACAGAGCGCGGAGAGAGTGATTGACCTGCATGGAGCGTGGGCGCTGGAATTAGCACGCCACCAAGGCGGGTAATGACCAAAAATTTATGGAAGCTACGGACGAGAAGGATTAAATGTTTTTGGAAAATTATGTTCATCGTTTAATATAATTCCATATATTGTGATGCTTATATTCACTTCCACTAGCTGCAGTAGCTCTAAAGAAAGAAGTGATGAGGAAACCTAACAAAATTAAGGTTAGATTCAAACTTCCATCATATGGAAGTCCTAGATCATTTAATAACAATTACTCATTGGAAAATATGTTATAGTATTCCCTGTATGTAAGATAATAATAGTAATACTAAGGATTTGTCAGAAGACAATAGTTTTCTTCATCGTTTTCGAGCGTAATGGTAGAAATCCTTACAGGTTATGACTCCTTCTGTGCGCGGCTTAGAAAAATAGCCATGAGCTGAAGAGTCTAATGTTACAAGTGAAGGTACGTTTGGGTTTTATTAAACTTAAATAAATAAAATAAACTTAAAATTTTTGCGAATAAATAGAATAACTTAATTTAATGAGGCCTTTGATGCAACGTTATTCTGTCTACAATCAATAGGTATATGTAATAATGTTTCGATGTAGGAGAAATCGTCTATTCTGATAATGTTCATTGGCCTCTTGATCGCTTCATGATATATTTATTCCTACTATTATTTTTCTGTTGGATGCCGTAAGCTCCTGGAACAGGGAGCGCATTGCGAGCGCATAACGAAGGCACAGCAAATGAAACAAAGATCTAGTGAACATTGTCAATTGGTCATGTGAACATGCGTGCAGTCAGTGGCAACATGGACAGCGTGAGCGCTGTGAAAAATAATGGCGCAGGGCCTTCGGCCACAAAGAATTCACTCAACCTTCGTTGAAGCCAAAGTTCATTACAAGAAAACACCCAAGTTATTTCTTTGGAAACTGATTCCGGGAAAAATACGCTCAAGAAATTTAATAAGCAATCGTATACACGATACTGGCGACTCGCGCGCATATAAAGCCGGACCAAAACAAAATTTCGAATAACTTTGAAGAAGCTCAAAGATTTTCGCGATTAATTGCACCGAATAATTTATTCCCCACCAAAAATGTCTCTGGAAACGTCAAGCACAGGGCGCTGCCAGGAGGTTCAAGACGAGCAAACGAAATGTGCCAACGAATTGATTGATGAGTAAAGAATTCTGGTAGGGTAGCACGACGTTCTCACCGACTACTTGCAGCAACTGGAAACGAAGGTTCTGTAACTTCAAATCAGCGCCCTGAGAAGGGATGCTAGACAATGGATGCGTCTCAGAAAGACAAGGAAGGCAAGGGATGCGTCTCAGAAGAATATGGATGTCTTGGAAGAGATGAAAACTATTGAAAGACAGAACAAGCATTGCAATGAAAATTCACTATAGCTCCAAACCCAAGTTAACATGTATTGCCAAACTGAGGATCATTTGAGGCAACGTTTAGGAGAGTAAAAAGAGAAAATTGAGTCGCTTCGTTAGTCTATTTGCAGGTGTGAGGAAAGAAATGCAAAGTAAATCGACGAAAAGTAGCGGTAGTTTGAAGAAATTGAACTACAAAAACAATTGAAACAAATCTGCAAGCTTGAGGAAAATGTGGAAAAGCTTTAAAATGAGTGCCGCAATATGAAAGAGGAGAACAAAAAATTGATGGAACGTATAGCTACATGCAATAAAGAGCTGACTTCCACACAGCGAACACTTTCAGAGCTCAAGGACGATCTCGACTAGATGAAAAGCGACCAAGCTAGTTTGAACCATGCATTGTTGAATTAATCATGGTGCCATGAATGCGAGTTGAATCTTCCTTTGCAAGTACAGAAAAATTTGAAGCTTGCGGAGGAAGAAAGGCAGCAAGCCTTCGACGCGATGTTCATGGCGGGAAGTGAAGTGCAGGAAGTTGACTTTCAGATACTCGAGAAGACGACGTGCAAGCTGGACCTTACACGCCGAAACAACGAAGCGCAAGTGACTGCTGAAAAACTGACGAAGAAATTGGAACTAAAGCAACATAAAATCGATTGCTTTAACGGTGAGATGAATGATTTGAAGTAAAAACAGGGCTGGCTCGAAAACAAATTTAGGAAAATTAAAGATCTCCTGAAAGGCTGCTGAACCAGTGGACACGACAGCGATTTCTTGGTTCCAACAATAACAGTGTTCAATCAGTCAGTGGTCTATTGAACGAAAGAGGTTAGGCCTATGCCATTTATGGTGGCTTAGCTATTTATATTTTCATTATTCGTTGATGCTTTGAAGTTTGAAGCAATTTTAAAAATTAACGTTGCAAAATTTATGTGTATAAAGCCCTAAGCTCCTCCTAAGCATATTATTATATTTTTTAGGTATTACATTCAACTTGATTCAAGTTAGTAATGACTGGTTGTGTGATCACTGTGATTATTTATTCAAACTTATATTCAGGCCAGTCTGTAAGGCCATATATATTGTTATTATTTTATTGAATTTATTATGATTATTTAAAAAAATTATTATTAATAAATGAATATAAAATTATTTTTGGGACTGAATCCTGGAGCTATATTAAATTAAATAGGCTGCTTTAGCCAATGCCTAATCGGCTAATCCTAATGATACCTTATACCTACCCATTCTGATTCTACTGATAGGAGCTTATTGTCTTCTTTCAAACATATTTTCTTCAAATTAGAACCAGACGGTCCAGACCTATTATTGAAAGTTGAAAATTATTATGGATTTTTTGGTAGTTTTACAATTTTATAGAAATATAAATGAATACTTAGTCAAGCATATATATATTTATACTCTTTGTTAAATTGTTACATACCTACACTTCTGACTTCTCATGTTCTCAGGGCTCAGGCCTTAGGGGGATGGATAATTGAGAGTTTGAGACAACAGAATCAAATTTATTGTATACTAAAGCTTCTAAGTTGAGCATGCATGAGAATTATTAGTACTAACTTAACCCTTTTTGTACTGACACTGACAGGGCTCTTGCATGATGCATCCAGGCCTTTGGGTACAAATATCATTGACAATACTGTAAAATGGGGTAACTTCGACCACTTTTTTTTCAAAATGATGCCATTTTTTTACTAGATAAGTTAAACTTAAATTGAAACATGCAAAATACAGGTCTATACTCTAGCTTTACTCACCATGGCATTAATTGCTGGCTCCTGCCTCTCATAGTTTTGTCACTGTTTTGATGTACCTAGGCTAATTTAAAAAAAAGTGATGGTCTTTGTTACCCCAGCTCTTGGCTCTTGGGGTTTCTTTGACCGGGTGGTAAAATCAATTTTATTTTTTGGTAAAATAACTCCAGGTTGTGGCGCATTGCCATGGTCAGGAAGATGTGCCAGGTGCGCGGGAATTTATTTTGTCATTTTACCGACCTGCGCGGTGCGCCGTACTACGTTGGTAAAAAAATGTGCCGTGTGCCGTACTTTAGAAAGCTAAAATAGTTCTACTATTTTAGTCAACAATATATGCGAGTTGCAGCGAGTATATTGACTACGCGAGTCGAAGTGACAATAATAAAATGTAAGACATGTCCGGGTTACTTCTGACTCTTCCGGTTGTCCGCCTTGTCGGATACGGAACGTACGGTAATCATAAACTGCGGCTGTTATACATACGAAATGTAAACAGACGGTGTTCAGTGTTGCCATATGACTTTGGAGAAAATTTCTTCTAAAATAAAGATGGCCGGGATTGCGTGAACATGTGCGCGAAGATAATCAATTTTCATTACATTGCGCCAACTGTGCACAGCAATAGCTTAAAAAAAGTGAAAATGCACGGGAAAATTCACCGAAAACATACATCATCCTGAGTGTGGGTGCATTGTAGTAGAACTCTTTTAGTTACATATGCAAAAGACAAATTTTAGGAAAGTGTCATAGTTTGCAAATGGGGGGTGCCGCCCCCAAATGGGCGAAATGAGACCATCTAATGGCAGCCGTGACGGGGTAACATTGACATGGTCAAAGTTACCCCGCCGGTCAAAGTAACCCCATTTTACGGTACCGTAGTTATTGTAGCTGAAGACAAAGGGTTGAGGGCACTAAAAGCATTCATTCTCTCTGGTAACAAATTTATAATATGGAAAATTGCCAAAAATTAATATTCTCATTTCTTTGAATGACAAACTTGGAAACTCCTATTTAATAATAAAAATACTAGATCAATAAATTTAAGTAAGTTAAATAATTTAAGCCGGCAAATTCAAATTTAAACTGAAAAGGGGGACAAAACTGAGTGTATGATTGATTACTCTTATCAAAATGTTCACTTCAAATTTAATGCAACTATTGGCCAGCATATCATATTAGTTTTGAAATGACACGCCAAGATAATACAGCTCAATATTAATGTAAAATGCTGCTAAACATTTATACCTGATATATAGAGTTTAAATCTTACATGTGGCGATGTGGGTATGTCTAGACTGACAAAGTGACTGGAAATCTTGTCGCTGACTCAAATGCTCTTGAGGTTTTGATTCAACACATGCTATTCCTTGGTGCTAGTTCAACATGACACATGGTGCTAGTTCAACTACAAATCCTAGTTCTGAACTTCTGATATCATTGAACCACGTAGATAATTAATTGGTAATAAAGAACTATTTTTTTTCTCACCAAAATGAATCTTGGAGGTGAACTTTTATTACGAATGAAGGAGAAGTTCCATCAACCATCCTGGGTATATGTTTTCAATTCTTCTCTGTTGATTTTACTGGCTAATTAAAATTTTACTCAGCATGGAAAACCTTAGCCTCAACTACGTTCAAAACCCGACTATGATGCACCCTCAGAAAGTTTCAATTTACAGAAAATCAAGAATAAAAATTGTGCACTTTACAGAAAATCAAGTATAAAAATTGTGCTCAAGAATAAAGTGCACTTGGTGCATTGGACTTTTAGCTTAATGGTTTGTACAGCTGGTCACAGTCTAGTCTATGCCAGGACCAATGTCTGCACTAAACATCTTCCTATGCTAAATTTCTACTTTTATGAGATGGGCATCTCCATTTATCTTTCATAGGGCTATCTCTTAATTTGCTTGATCCAGAATTTATATAATTACTCAACAATCTATATCCATGTGGAGGTTATGCAGGTCCATTGCTAGTAAACAGAAAAAAATACTATAGTTGAGAGGGTCAATGATGATTTCTTCCATAGGAAGATAAGTTTTCAGAACTGATGTTTTGTCTGATAGTGTCAGCTTAACCATAGTTTTAGGAATATTTTTTGGCAAACTTCCAGTTAATATTGCATGAATTAAGTGCTTCTAAACTATTTTCCCTGAGATTACAACTGCAATTTGTAACATAGAAAGTTATTAAAGCAATTTTAAATGATTTCTATTTTAATTTTATGGAATTTGAGTATATGTAGCATAATTAAAAGAATAAATCATGGATATATTTCATATTTTTTTGCTTGATTTGAAATGGAAATTGAGTTTTTAGGGAAGAGAATAGTAAATGATTCTGGACTAATTTTTTCTTCTCTCTGAAGCTTTCAGTAGTAAATTCAAGTGCAAGTGGTGTTGATTATTAAAATACTTTATTTGGTCATTTTGTGTTGGGATCAAGTCATTGCAAAACATCTGCTCTTCCCTCCGGAAGGAACTGGTCAGTGCTAATTCAGCTTGTGAAATTTGCAAAATTTAATTATTGATTTATAAATTTATTATTATATATTTTTTTTGCTTCCTCAAATTAGTGAAAGCAATTTTTGTTTGTCTTCTATAATGATTCAGCATCCCTTTGTAAGATATTTTTTCAGTAATTTGTGGCAGGCAGCTTAAATCTGAATTGCAGCATTTAAAACCTTGCTCTAATTATGAACAATTTTAGGCTAAAATAAATGAGATGTTAATTATATAAGTACTTGACACTTTGGAATCCAACTATTTTCAATGCATTATTCTTCAGGAATAATGGCAACTACTGAGGGTGATGTGCCAGATGGTAATGATTTACCTGTAAATTTAGCTGGAGGTGATGGTGGTGAAAAAAAGTCCTGTGATGAGAGTAAGCCGTCATGCCCAGCCCGTTTAGACGTCAAGATGTTTGGCAATAATACCACCGTAGATGATAAAGCAGCTGTGAAGTTTGAAGATGGGTCTCAGGAAGACAAGGACTCGACGCACAACGCTGGTCAAGACGTTGAATTAACGCGTGATATCCCCTCTTTACATGACGAGGCAGGTGGCTGCGGAGAGGAAAAGACCTGTGCAACGCAACCTGCCGGCCAAGACGTCGAGGTTATTCGGGATGATTCCTCTGCAATTGACGGAGCTTACGTCGGTAAAGAAAAGTCTCGTGAAGACAGCCATAAGTCGTGTAATGCTGACCAAGCTGTCAAGAAGAAAGACGCTAGCATGAAGACGAGCAACGCAAAGAAGAAGGATACCAAAAAGAGCAAAGGTTAGTGTGTCTGGAATCCAGGTAAAAATATTGAATTTGTTTATGAATGAAATTGACGTCAGTATTTCTACAAAAATGGGCTTATATTTTAGGTGTTGTTTCTCGTTTTATGGATATTTGCTTTATTTATATGTAAAAGAACAAGGTAGCTGAAACACTCCAAAGTTTCTTAGTCACAAATACGATATACTTTCATGCCTCAAACTGAAAATTAAAATACATGTACAAAATCTTGCGCTCGTTAGCATTTGGGTTCTCGTCATAATAAATTTTATTGTGTTATATAATGAATACTACGAGAGGATGTGGTTTGTAAGTACTGTTACTGAAGTGATGGGATTACAAGAAGTATACTAATACTAAAACGGGTACAGAGCAAAGGTTGACTACATGCATATACTCCTATGTTAAAGGACTTCTCTGTGAACGGTTGACTCTTAGCTGGGAACTGGCTACCAGGTATCTGACGTTGAAATAACATTGATTAAACGTTTTTCAGAGTGCACATATTATCAGTCATCTTCGTTAATTCACAGAAGGTTGCGTGTGTCCCAATCAATTATATTATCTTCGTTATCCCCCAGATGGTTGGGTGTGTCCTGACACTGGGTGCCGCAAACGCAACTCTTCCGAGGACGCCACCTGCACCAAGTGTGGTCTAATCCAGAGCTTCAGAGGTGCGTGGCTACGAACTGGATTTCTATCGTTTTTCGAAGGTGGGAGAAGGGGGATCTAGAGCCTTATTACCGAGTATTATCATATATTTAGCTAGTTCTGCGTTCTCCATGAAAGTGTAATAAAAGCAACCGTACATGCAACAGGTCGATCTTTCATCCCCGTATTTATTGGAAGGGGTTAATCTATAGCCATATGAGTATCATCAAGTTAGCTATCTTGACTTCTACTGAGTGTAATTAACGTGAATGTACATGTGTCAAAAAATTCCTGTATAGCGCCGCCATCTTTGATTGCTTCATCATAAAGCCACGACTAAGGTTTAGTTATCATAAGGGCCATCATAAGCTGTTTGGTCATCATAAAACCACGACTAAGGTTTAGTTATCATAAGGGCCATCATAAGCTGTTCGGTCATCATAAAGCCACGACTAAGGTTTAGTTATCATAAGGACCATCATAAGCTGTTTGAGCGTCATAAAAACCACGCCTAAGGTTTCGTTATCACAAGGGCCATCATAAGCTGTTTGGTCATCATAAAGCCACGCCTAAGGTTTCGTTATCGTAAGGGCCGTCATAAGCTGTTTGGTCGTCATAAAGCCACGCCTGATGTTCAATCATGACGCGGAAATCACATGATCGGTCACCCCTATTCTCAAAAAAATATGTGCTATTCTGTCCAAATACTGGCACACTGCACGAACTCTGATACGCCCTTTTGCTGGGCTTGACTGGGTTAGGATGACCCACACCAGAACTAAGTCTCACTAAATTCTCTAAGTATACGGTAACGTCTGGATAATTGTGTGTTTTTGTATAGGACAGTGGCATACAAAACTGGTGTAATATATCAATTTTCGGGGAATATAATTGATGTATGGCACTTATCTAATGGTATTATTTAGCTGTTTGTTTCATTTTAAATAACATTTGTGGAAGAGGAACGAAGCTCATTGTTGCACTTGTGTGTCTCGTTCACAAAACAATAAAGTTGGCATTTACTAGTTCGTGAGTCGCTTAATATGAACTCGATTCATTTCTAGGTTATGTATTGATTGTTGGTCTATAGCTTGTTGATCTGTAGATTGTTGGTATATAGATTGTTGGTCTGTAGATTGCTGGTCTATAGCTTGCTGGTATATAGCTTGTTGGTCTGTAGATTGTTAGTCTATAGCTTGTTGGTCTATAGCTTGTTGGTCTGTAGATTGTTGGTCTACAGCTTGTTGGTCTGTAAATTGTTGATTTGATTCTTTTCCCCTTATTATGTTGACCTCACAGTTGATTTTGCCATCAGCTGAGGCCCGATATTCTCGGAAGGCGCGCGTGTCGGGGCTGGTGGTGACCCACGTGTGCTCACCAGTTAGTCTGTACGTCCAGACGCCCCAGCAGCAGCGCGACTACGCACGCGTCCGCAGCCGTATGGCTGAGATGTACGCCAACGCTGCCTACCGACCATCCAGAATCGTCCCTAACATGGTAATAAACGCTGCCTAAGTGCTGGGCATGAATTTTTCCAGAGTATCTTGTACGAATACATTACCGTGCTGGGAATATGTTGTCAGTGCTGGGCATGAATTTTTCTAGAGTATCTTGTACGAATACATTACCGTGCTGGGAATATGTTGTCAGGTGCTGGGCATGAAGTGCGACGGAGGCTACGAGCGCGTGCGTACTGTACGAACGGTGCCGGGCGTGAAGGCGACTCTTGATCACGGCACTGCAACGGTCAACCTGACAGCAGAAGGTATAGGTCAGTTACACTTAATAATTTTTTTCCTGATAAATAATACAGATTTTACGCATTCGTATTTATGGATAAAATTTTTTCATTTTTAGTTGGTCTAAATTGTTCTCATCCTGATGGATGCAATTTTATCTTCAGCTAATTCAAGCTCGTGTTTAGCAATGGCGACTATTGTTGTTTCGTGGTGGCAGTGGTCTGTGTTCTCGAGACGCAGATCAGAATTTTCAGTCTACCGAAGTCAAACGGCTGCAAACACAAAAATTTTGAGTCCTAAATAATATGTTATATACTGAAAAATAGCATATTTTCGTACCCACGGTTCTCCTTGAGTCGTAAATATCTCAGATGGTCCGACTGATCTCCCCATAATTTGTGTTTTCCACAGATAAGGAAGCCCCAAAAGCCGCCCCGTCGTCGCCAGGTGGAGGCACTTCCCTGAAGTGGCGCGTGCAGCTCATGGATCGTGGCAGCTGGTGTGAGGCGCTGGAGGACGACTTCAACTTCCTCCTGTCAGGTCTCTCCGACCTCAAGCCCCTGGCCGCGATGTTCTCTCTCAATGAGCTCAGGGTGGCCCGAGGTGCTACGGAGGCTCAGATTGAAGAGGTCCGTGGTAAAACAAGAGATTTTTTATAAACTAGTTAATTTTCATATGCGTGATCGAGCTCAAAAATTTAGTGCAATAGAAGTCTAAAGAGTCTCTAATTTACTAATATACCGTTGACGCACTCATGATAAGGACTTATATTCCACCATATCTTGATTTTGTCCATTTCGATACGTAGTTAATCATCGTCTATTATTTGTATTCAATGTTCAACGCCTCTGATTCGCTTAAATACTGAAAAGACTTTGTAATTTTGCAATTATGCTTTTCTGACATTAGTAATCATGAAAAGTCGATAAAAACTGCCACGGAGAATTTGACACCAGTCGCGCTACTGCGATGCTTCATCTTGAAATTTCGCTTACACTACAAATTTTTGAATAAAATACTGGGTGTTAGTCAGTTTTCGTCATCTCGTACGTGGTTCGTTGCCATGCTGCCTCATTCGCAGTTCATGCGACATTATTTTCATCATCGTGTCGCATTCATTGATTCGACATGTTTATTTGTCCAGTGTCATTCAGTGGTCACTTAATGCACCGCAAATCGACGTTTCGGGTAGAGCTTCAAACACTGGAATAGTACACTTCCTAATTAGAATGCTTTTGAAGCTCCAAGAATTGCGTAAAATAAGCGGAAAAGTGCATTGGATTCTGAAAATATCTTTTGATCAACTAATGGCGCAGCAGACTAGCGCCAAATATTGTCTCATTAGTGAAACAGAGAGGCGTCTGTTTACAACAGTCCCTTGGGCTACGTCTACTTCTCAGTGCCGATTTCCCAAAATTTACGCTAATTCATATTATGCAGAGTTCCGATACTGTCGACTCGGGGGGGGGGGTTATACTATTTAATTTTCTGTCTTTTCTAGCCACTTGAGTTGAGCTTCCTTGCCTTTTTAGCGCATTTTTTCATTTATAGAAAAATGGCGCTATTGTGCTCGTCATGTCCGTCCGTCCGTCCGTCCGTCTGTCCGTGACTTCACGTTTTGTGGACGAGAAAATGCGCTCTCTGTCACTCACTGCAGTGAGTACCAAGTTATATTTTTTTGATTATATCAAACATTATTTTGAGTTTCTGGTGTTCAGAGCCGCGCGTGGCTGGAGCAAGAGCTGTCGTCGGGCGTCATCGAAGGCGACGTTTACAAGCAGACGCGCAACCAGTGGTCTCCTCCCTCTCTAGATGTGAGACTTAGATTTCATGCTGTAGAATAATACTCTTATAAGGCCGGGTTCACACCATTCTGCCGGACACGTGTCAGGCATATGCCAGTCTAATATTCTTTAACCCTCTACCGCCGTATGCCACTCTCCGGGAACATATAATTACACGCCAACTATTGAGTGCAGCAAACTGAGGAAGTTTGCACGCAACAGAGAACATTATAAAGTTGTAAGTTGTCGTACGTGGCGGCAACCATCAGTGCAAGTCATTTTGCGCTCACCAGAACGTATTCTTTTTAGGTAGGCTTGTGTGATAATATTGCTTCGGTTACTCATGCCAGGCGGTAAAAATTTAATGCGTTTCCATAGATGCATTCACTCCAGCCGCGCAAGGCACCTGCCCTACCCATGGTGTGAATGCTTCTATGGAAATGCGTTAAAGAATATTGGACTGGACCATGACTGGCATATGCCTACATCGTGCTCGGCAGTATGGTGTGAACTCAGTCTAATGGTCTCGATTTAATCACGTTTTGATTATCGTTGCTATAATATAGCAATATTAAAAGTGGAGTAATCGAAAGAGATTTTATCACATCTGGCCTATCTCTGATTTTTAGACATTGCAGAATTTTAACAGCTAAACGGGTCTCAAACCGCACATTTTGCCGTAAATCTTGAGCTTTCACACTTGTTTCAATAAACCTAGTGAAAGCGAATGAGGCGTCATGAAAATTACTTTTGGAACGCAAGTTTTGTGCAAAAAGTTTGTTTACATTGTTTCCGCTGCTAAATTTTTTAGCTAGAGTATGAATCAGAAATAATGTTTCACATCACTAATCTATTTCAGCTGTTCAAAGACGGCACGCTCATCAACAAAGCTCTCCTTCGCTTCGCTGCCGTCGAGTCCACAGCCAAGTCGAAAATACTTAAGGTAAGATGGCAAGTTATTACGTTTTCTGCTCAAATTTATCGGATTAAAATTCGTTACTAAGTGATATTTACGTCTTGATTTTAGTTTCAGGAAAAGAATTCTGTTGTGAAGATCGTAACTTCCTACAATCGGAAATTGCAGGCGGATGTTGTTGGGGCTCACGCACCGTCTGCGGCTGATGAAGGTACCTCTCTGCAGCCGTCTGCGGCTGATGAAGGTACCTCTCTGCCGCCGTCTGAGTCCGAGCCGTCGTCTGAGGTCCCGATGTTGAATATGGCGCTTCGGCAGTGCTCATATTGTCATCAAGAGGGCCATTATGAGCCTTCTTGCCGAAAATTCATTGCGGATTGCAATGAAGATCCAACGATATTGTTTGCGACCGACGAATGAGCACCTCGCTGCCACCGTCTGTGGCTGACGTTAGCTCCATGCTGTCAGCCTGCCACCAGTGAGCGTCTCCCGCTAGGACAGAAGCCAAGTTCTTAGCGCAGAAGTCCTCACGGAAACAAGATCATTTTTATTTGCGTTAAAAGTTTCAAATATTTGTGCGTTATACCTCACGGATGGTAATATTATTTGTCTTGGTTACTATCTTTTGTTGGTTTATGGATTATTTCAGACGTCATGGTTGTAATCTCAGATAATTTACTGAGATGTATTTTTTTCGCTGCTAAGGCTTTTTTGCAGTAAAAGGGAATAAATTTTCAGTATCTTTGTTTCAGTGTACTTAACAAATCCGGTCTAGCTCAGTGATCGTGCCTTGTATGCAGGTAGATTTTGCCTAGTATATGCATGTCATACCGGTAATTATGTAGATTCATTTGTGACCACTGAGCCTATTATTTATCTTGTACTTTACCGTGTTTATGGATGTTCTTCATCGCACATTAAACTGCAAATTTGCATACATTTTTAGTTAACCCCAAAGGTGTTTTTTGACGTCAGGCTGCGTTGAGAGTTTGGTCAAGCTAACCTGAACAGCATTGTCTCCTAAGTCAGTGTACTGACAGCATGCTCCTTTAAGGCGGTCTTCTCAAGTGTGTCTTTACTCGTTAGAAGTTTCGCGGGATTTAAAGTTCCTATGGCATTGCCCCAGTGAGCGCCACCACAGAGGTTGTTGTTGTTGTTGTGGTTCCCCGGTCTCAATTTTACAAGAGACCCCCCTCGCGCAAGTACGACACCACCGACAGGGGGTCGCTCCAGAGCTGTAGGGTCGAGGTTATGTGGTGGTGTTGTCTGAGGTCCTGCCAGAGCGGACATTCCAGGAGAATGTGAGTGATTGTGTGGGGAGCTCTCTGGCAGGATGGGCAGGTGTCTGTGTCTGCTTGGCCTATTCTGTTTGCGTATGTTTGGAGTGAGGGGTGGTGGCCGCAGCGAAGCCTGGCTAGGTGTACTCTCTCCAGTCTAGAGAGCTGTGTTTCTGTGCTGCTCATGTCAGGTGGTGGGTGTCCAAGGACTTTGTTGTTGCCGGCCAGCTCCAGCGTTCTAAGTGTCATAATTGTGTGTAAGTGTTTTGTCCAAGGACTTTGTTGTTGCCGGCCAGCTCCAGCGTTCTAAGTGTCATAATTGTGTGTGTTTTTTTTGTGCTGGTGTTGCCTTGGGGTGGTGGTATTGTGTCTAGTATGTTGACCACAGAGGTCGCGATTTGTGACGGCTGGACAAAAGGATTAATATTATTATTCAGCGTTTATTAGGCCGTAAAAATGTCGTCGATTCTTACCATCGCAGAGCACGCACAACAGAACACGCAACTCACTGCTCCAATTTTGCGTTGCTTCGTAAAACCTGATTTTTTACAGGCTAATCCTAATTTAGCCTGGCTTAATTGCATTTCTCTTGTTTCGCTCGTGAGGTGCGGGTGGCCGACATCTCGTGTAAGCGACTCTGTGTACGTATGTATTTGTTTTTGTTCACCTGTCTTTCCATATTCTATAGTTTGTGTGAGATGGTAACGCTGTGTTTTTTTTGCCAAGTTGCACTTCTGCCAGCTACTGCCTTTGTTCTCTAACGAGTTGCTTTAAGGAGCATTCAACACGACACCAGCTCGCCGAATTATTACTCTCGCTCAATGGATTAATCTTAAATGGTTTTGCGACTCAGTTCTTTAAATGGTCAGCCACTGACAGCGCTTCGTATTTAAATATGCATAGTTACTGAAGTCGCTATATTTACGTTGTTCTTGGTGCAGTGGAATAGATAAAAATCGAAAATAACACGAAATCACCATGACCATTAATACCCAATATTCAAGACTAGTGTTTACATGCGGCGTTACAGACTACAAGGAATAGATGCTTTGTAAATATCAAGCTGGCTTGGCATGTGGTCAAATTTGGTAAAAGAACCAAGTACGAAACTAGGAATTAACCCATCCTTTCTGTGTTAAAGTTCAGAGTACCAAGATTGGCGCAGAGAGGCGCGGGTTCGATCCCAGCTCTGTGCGACAGTTTCTGGTCAGAATCGGCAAGGAGGCCGGGCGGTTAAGCATAGCAGAGTTGTAGCAGTGAGTTGCGAGTTCGAGACCGCAAAATGCTGTGAATGTTCTGCGATGTTAAGAATCGGCGACAGGCCTACCGCCTACGGCCTAATAACGCTGAAACCGCTATTATTATTATTATTGAAGGACCTTGAGCTCGGTTGGAAATTGCGAACGCTTATGTACGTTTCAGGCTTGTCACAAAATTAAATTACATTCTATTGTAGGTGCGAATATTGATCTAAATAAGACTTTTGAACGCTTTTAAATTTTTGCCTAACGTATTTTTTGATAAACTACAACTACGTTAAAAAAAATCACAATATTGCAAATCCGGATATTATTTACAACATGAACTTTCCGTCCAAATATTGGGACTTTTATTACGATGCAATTCATGCTCGTTCGTTGAAGGTTAGTTCTGTGAAGAGGTAGGTAAACGTGAGTAACGCTCTCGAAACTTGTACAAGCTTTAGACGATTATTTCATTCAATTTAGGAAGATAAGAAAGGGTGGGAGTAGACGTAGGGAAAAGCAAGAACACCTAGACTTTCATGTGGGACGTCTGACCAGACCAGTGAGTAGTAACCCCGAGGCGGAGATTGAAACTCCCGTTTCGGAGCCTGTACCGATGACAGGGCAGCTAGGACTTGGAAGCAACGCAAATATACTTGGGGACTCTCGAACATCAACGAACCTGATGACTTCCCGTTCCCAAGCCTAGTAAGATATGAGATGCAAGCATCTAGACAGACGAGAGACCGGAGACGGCAGTTTGCTGTTGACAGAACAGCAAATAAGGAGCAGTTAAACTACAAAGAAAGGCTGGAAATGCAAACTTTGAAGGGTTTCCGTCTTATTCTGATTCACTAGGACTGGGAGACTTATCTGACTCTGATACTGCTCAGTGCTCTCACCTATTGCTTCATCTCGCCGTCAGCCCTGAGACGCACGTCGATGACTTCTACACCAACCTCGTGTGCAAGTTAGTCTTGTATAATGTTCTGTTTTGCTTGGAAAAGTGTCGTGAATATCCTGTTCTGTTTTGCTTAGAAAAGTGTCGTGAATATCCTGTCCAGTTTTGCTTAGAAAAGTGTCGTGAATATCCTGTCCAGTTTTGCTTAGAAAAGTGTCGTGAATATCCTGTCCAGTTTTCCATGATGGAAACTCAAACTATTTTTATATAATTTGACATTGTTGATTATAGGATAGGAGCTCAATTAGAAAATTGTCGTGAATATCCTGTTCTGTTTTGCTTAGGAAAGTGTCGTGATTGCTATCAAAATGCTAGTGATCCTTTTAGTTAAAAATGATGTACAAATTTCTTACGGATTTTCTTTTTAATATATGTCCGTATATTTAATATATATCATTGTGGGAACGTGAATAATTTTTCCCTTAAATTATAGTCAACTGTCAAATTTGACACATTTTTCGATGATCTCACCAGGTGGCATGCATTGTCTCTCTTTGGATCTCAATATTTTCCCACTAGATAACCAAGACCTAGTGTTTTTGCAGTATTTCGACACGCAAATGTATGACGTCACCATTTCAACCATCAATGAACGCATGGAACTAAAACAAAGCTTAATATAAAGGAAAAACTAGAAAAGGGACGGAATTACCTACGATTTCGGAATATACCGCGTTTACCCTACTTTACTGGTCTACTTATAGGACTCAAAAATGAACTTGAGGCGTGAGGGAGAGTCTGAAAAACTCTCTGCTTTGTCACTATGCTGAGTGTGGGCTGTGGGCCACTGTGCAGAGTCAGCAGAGAGTGGATGAATATTGCAAGATCTTTGGCGACACTTCAGTAGCAAAATTTACGCCTTCAGAAGATCTTGCCAACAGATTTAGATTGAAATTCTTGCATTTAATATATTTGTCAGTCTTTGGCCAACTATTTAGAAAAAAAGTAAGATTTCCGGTATGTTGGATGGATCAGGATGCAGTAAAGTTTGTCCGGAAATCAGTTGCGATGAGTTCCCTCCAAAAAAATGTCAACATCAAGTTTACAATTAGGTACCTAGTTGTGGTCACATGATTAGTGTGGTCAGACTGCATTATCACATGTTCAGTTGACACTTGCTGTACAATCGGACTGTTTTTAGGGTAAAATTAGTTAATTGGGGTGACACGTGCATGCAACCTTGTAAATAAGTTTGTGGCTTGTAAATAGTTTTTCATTACTCAGCGTAAATGGCTTTTCATTTAAAATTACCAGGCAACGCATCTTAAAATTACCCGGCGACGCTTAGGGCTAAAAACCCATATATTGGCAACGCTGCTGCATCCACCCTCTGCACCCTGGGCTGTGGCAAACTTCTGCTCTCACTGCTGAAGTACCTGAGCAAATCATACCTGCCAACCCAGGCAACCCCTTAGTTGTGATTATTGAACCTGTACCAGAAACCTGCCTGATGAATGTTCTATCACCAAATTTCTTGCAAATGATTTAGCTTTTAGCAAAGCTCTAGCCTCTGTGCCACATCATATTTCTAGCCACTCAACTTGACTCAAGGGAGTTCAGAAAAATGTTAGTAAAAATCTTTTGATAGTAACAAACTAACAATGGACTACCAACTCCAAGATTCGAAATGTCTTACTATTACTAAACTCCTCGCTACTTGTCAAATAGGATCTTTGAAGGTCTAATGCTGACTCCCACACCCACTTAATCACACTGAACAGACTACCAGTACCAGTGAGTGACCACTGACCACTGCGTCGGCAGAAGTAATAGGACCTTTTGGTGATGAGACCTTGGAGGAAGAGCTCACCCAGAGGCCTAGAGTTACACCTGGGCCCTGGCTGGATACAAACAATGGTGCCACAGCTGTTAGAATTTACAAAGGATAAGGTAAAGGCTTTAAGTTTAAGGTACTTTTTGCATCAGATCATCTACCCTCCTTCCTTTATCCTGGTCAGGGCTGGAAAAGCCCTATTTTTTCTGAAATATTGCAGCTTTAATATCATATAATTTCAGTAGATATGAAATCTTGCAGCTCAAATGTCATAAATTTTTGTTTGATTGAAAAAATTGCAGTTCAAGCTTTGCAAACATGTCATTTTATAAAATTTTCAACTTTCGCAATCTGCATTACTTTACCGTCCTTGCCAAAATATCATGCAGAACATATGATATGAGTAATCATTCATTGTAATGTAAACAAGTCAACCTAACGTTTCGTTGAAGATTGCCCATAGATGCGGTCACATCAAAGCCGTCAGACTGCATTAACATGTGTTCAGCTCACAGTAAAGAGTGACTAAAGACAAATGTTATTGTTGCTATTTGACTGTTTTAGGGTAAAATTAGATATTTGGGTAACACATGCATGGACTTTGTAAATAAATTCGTGCCTTGTAAATGGCTTTTCATGGCAAAGATATGGAATTCACGGCTTGAGAAAATGGAATCATGGCTCAAAGAAAGTGAATGACAGCTGGCAAACCCATAAAACCACAGCTCAAAAAATTCAGTTGTTGCTTGCCAAGTAGATATATTCCATGCCTGATCTTGGTTACCAACACTTCAAGGTAAAAGCCTTTGTGAGTAAGCCTTGGCAGTGCTATAAATGTTAGGGATTCAATCATAATATAAATGTCATGGGCTGATTGGTTTTGGGGCTCATATATTTGAGTTCAGGGAGGAAATGCTATTTTCAGTACTCATTTAAGACTGAACTTCTGAAGAGACTGAACACTGAAAGAAGGGTTATATATTAAAGATCAACCCAGTAGTCGTACTCTCGTCCAGTTTGTAATTTATGTTGTCATTTTATCCATATTTTAATCTTTTCCATGTTGTGTTCCTAAAGTATGAAAAATAAAGTACGATCCAATCATCCATTACTTTTGAAATATTTGGAACTTAGATATGGACTGCATTCACTGCAGAGTGGAGTTATGGATGGTTGCCACATACCAGGTTGCAGGAAGTGGGTGAATATCTGATGATATTCAACAAGGCATCAGCGGCAAAATTTACCTCATAAGAAGATCTTGCCAAAACATTTGGATTGAAATTATTGCATTTTGGAAATTTGAAAATCTTGGGCATTGCTAACTGTGGAACAGGAGGTACACCAGTCTGTGACAATTGGCCACATTGGTTTTATAATTTCTGATTTCCAGTTGGTCAGTTGAGGCTGCAAAGCAAGATCCACAATTTGCTAATTTTGGTTGTGATGCAATTGTTCACTGCAATACCTGGGGTATTGAAGTTATAGTTATAGATGTCTGATGTCCACAACTTTTCCTTCTAATGGACTAAAATTTTTACTCCCATCTAGAATGGTCTCCAACTTTTACTCAAATGTAACATATTGCAAGTGATTTATTATATATAAATATATATACACATTAACTATAACTGTAATTTTTAGTAAGGAGCCTTCTATTCAAGATGGCAAGTGCCAATAGTGCTAGTGTCATGACTGTGCCAAACCTGGAGAGCATCAAGAAGAAAATATATTATGATGCTCGTTCTGGCATGTCTGTTGCTCTCAAAGAGCTGTTGACGGACAGTTCACTTGATGCCAGTACCATCAAGGATGTTCTCTCCCAGGTAATATTTGTACTTCATTTTAATTCTAATAAGGTTTTGATAATTATAATGGGATTCCTAAATAATTGTTTTTATGTATATCTTGAACCTCAAATTTTTTTCACCCTGTTGACTGGTTAAAAATGACAATTTTATTTCTTCCAGTGGATCACTTAATACATTTTTGCTAGCAAAGAACATGGACAGTTTAACTGTGAGAGGTACATTTAATTGCATTTAACTTATCTGTGCAATGTAAGACTGTACAATATAAGAATAAGTGGATGGTTACGGTACAGGAAGAACAGGATAAACAAAAACCAGATTCGGTCTTGGATCTAGACTAGGGTTGAGTCTCGGTCATGTGAAGAAAAGGAGCAGAAAATGAAAAAAAATGAGATGAGAAGTTAAGGCACAGCCTGCTGGAATGAAAGGGTTGCTTAAAGAGAACAACTGGCAGCACTTAGAGTCCCAATGATGAGGCTGCACAATTTGAATTATTCTTTAACAAAAGTTGTATCTATAGGTATATTTTTAAATTTATTGTTGATTCTGAGATGCAGCATATTTTGATGCATTTACTACTCTGAAGTCTATTACTTTTCTCCATGGATCAAATCCTACAGCAATCCAGTGTTCAAGATAAGCAGTGGTTAAAACCATCTTTAAAAATGTTCAACGAATACTACATTTCATTATTAGCTTTTTCAAGAATAATATTTACAATATCAAAAATATCAGTTCTAAGAAGAAAAATCCTATTGCAGCTTGTTGAAGAAGATGGTCAGAAATGCACTCCGCTCATAATAGCTGCACGCAATGGACACGACAAGGCAGTGAGGGTGCTACTGCAGTTCAACCCTGACCTCGAGCAGGAGGGAACCGTCAAGTTTGATGGCTATGCCATTGAGGGGGCCAGTGCCTTGTGGTGTGCTGCAGGTCAGTTCCATTCTGTGCCTTGTGGCAAACTGATACAATAATTTTATTATTGTATTTCTTCAAATTCATGTGTAGTTGCCAAACATTATATCTATACTGGTACCATACTTGCCATAGAACTTTTTTCCTCAGTGTTGGCACATGATGCTGGTTAGTTTCATTCTGTGTCTTGTGGCAAACTGATACAATAATTTTATTGTTATATTTCTTCAAAATCAAGTACCTATAGTTCCCAAACATTATATCTATTCCATGCTTGCCATAGAATACTTTTCTTCAGTGTTGGCACATGATTATTAGATTTTTCAGTAATAAGTTTTAATGAATGAATGCAAGTTTCACATTTATTAGATTTCTTCTCCACTGTTTTCCTAGTTGGACTTGAATTCACACCAGTCCATGATATGTCCATTATCTAAGAATAAATTGAATTTGATTTCATTCTTCAAGCACTAAAGAATATTTTATAATTTGAATTAATATCAATTCCTTGTCATTCCACCAGCACTCTCTTATCTTTATAGAGCTTCTCCAAAATGGTGTAATAAAATTCATAGTAGTAAATTATTTTCTCTAAATTGCGCCACCACCAGTAACATTCCACAACTGCTATTTATTATAATGCATTATAATGTTGTCATTCTTGAAATGAGGCTGTTTTTTCTTTGTATGCTTATAGTTTTATTATATAAATGTACATGCTCTCAACAAAGTGTAAAATGCCGTTATAATCTTAGATATCAAACATGATTTTTATTTTCTTATAATTATTCTCATCAGTGTTTTTTATATTTGTACTCCCATGTGCAGGGGCTGGCATTTATATAATAAACTACATTTTATAATATATAATGTATTATATACTAAACTAGCTCATGTGCAGGGGCTCTCAACAAAGTGTAAAATGCCGTTATAATCTTAGATATCAAACATGATTTTTATTTTTTTATATTTATTCTCATCAATGTTCTTTTACATTTGTATTCCCATGTTCAGGTGCTGGCAACTTGACAGTGGTGAAGATACTAGTACGAGCTGGAGCCAAAGTGAACCACACGACTCGGACCAACTCCACGCCAGTGCGCGCTGCTTGCTTTGATGGACGTCTTGACATTGTTAAATATCTTACAGACCACGACGCTGATATCCACATTACTAACAAATACAACAACACGTGTCTCATGATAGCTGCCTATAAAGGACATTTGGATGTTGTCAATTTTCTTCTCGAGCTAAAAGCAAATCCTAATGAAAAAGCTCATTGTGGTGCCACGGCTTTACATTTTGCAGCGGAGTGTGGCCATGATGAAATTGTCATCACTCTTTTGCAACATGGTGCAGCGATTGTTAGAAATGAGCACGGTATGACTCCTCTTATAGCAGCAGCTGAAAGAGGATGTTCAAAAGTAGTAGAATATTTTTTAACAATAAATGAAGTAACTGAAAGAGAGAAAATTGATGCCCTTGAATTGCTCGGTGCATCTCACGCTAGTGACAAAGATAACTACAACTTAGTGAAAGCTGCTGAGTATCTTGAGCGAGCCATGCTGCGCAGATATGCTGATCCTGACAACATCATAAGTAAGCATATTAGTAGTCAGATAGTTTATACTTTTCAGATGTATTTTAGTTACTCTTGTAACACTAGAATATATTTAATTCTATTGATTTTGTTTTTCTAACTCTAGTAGTTTGGATTCACATCTAACCAAGCTACCACTTCACTTTCACAAAAGAATGGCTAAACCTTTAATTGTTTTGTTTTAAATTTGTTGTTCACAATTAATTTGTTTCTAATGCTGTTCTCAGAATTTTTATGTTATTAATTCTTCATTCACAATAAATTTTATTTCAATGCTGTCCTCAGTTTCAGCATTATATATACTCATAATAATTATATTATTTACCTATATTGTAATATATGATTCACACAGGATTCATATCTAATAATTATTTCATTTGCAATCAAACTTGTTTAAAAGAGCAAATTCTGCCATCCTATACTAACTGATTTTTTGCTATAATACTTATATCTGATTCATAAAATTCGCACAAATTCATATAATATATAACATTGCTTCTATACTTGCAACATTGAATGCTTGCAGTGAAGGAGCTACAGCCGCCCCAGGCCCCCTATACTAATAAAAGATTTTGCTATAATGCTCATATCTGATTCATAAAGTTTGCACAATTTCATATAAACATAACATTGCTTCTATACTTGCAACATTGAATGCTTGCAGTGAAGGAGCTACAGCCGCCCCAGGCCCCCTACAACAACCATCAGGAGAGCACCTCGCTGCAGGAGCTGCGTGCCGTGCTGCTCTCGCCCGCCAGTCTACACATGGAGGCCCTCGCCATCAGGGAACGCATCCTAGGGCCTCACAATCCCGAGGTCTTGTGTCCCCAGAAAAATATGAGCATAAATGCCGAGGTGTTGTAGGTATCCCCAGAAAAATATGAGCAGAAATCCCGAGAAAAAAATATAAGCATAAATCCCGAGGTGTTGTATCCCCAGAAAAAAATATGAGCAGAAATCCCGAGAAAAAAATATGAGCATAAATCCCGAGGTGTTGTATTCCCAAAAAAATTTGAGCATAAGTCCTGAGGTGTTGTATCCCCTGAAAAAAATATTAGCAGAAATCCGGACATTCCCTTTTATTCCCCTTTATCCGGACATTCCTTAGCAAACAACGATACTTCACGTTAAATAAATATGAAGATGGACAACATTACAGAATAATCCATAGTACTGTGAAGAAGAATAATATATCTGCCACATCCTAGCAATCTTTGCGTTATTATTTTGTTTATCTCCTATTATTATAATTTTTTCTTCACGGGATTATGGGTTATTCTGTGATGTTGTTCATCTTCATATTTCTTTAAGCTGAAGTATTTCTTTTGCTAAGTGACATTAGAGGGGAATGTCCGGATTTATGCTCATATTTTTCTGCTTTTTATTTCTGTACCATAAAATACCTACTATCTCTTTCAAGGTGATGTTATTATGGAATTATTATCTTGACCTAATCTGAGAGTTCCAAGGAAATTGATTACCTCTACGGCTCTACCGCAGACTAATGTCATTGACAGTTCAGCATTTGGTCGATGCGCTATCGATAAGGAAAAATTCGCGCAGTATTTAATGGGACTGTGTGTGATTTTTAGTAGGACACTAAACCATATTAGACATACGTAATATACATTGTGGCATTGCACAATATTACACAGTATACATTNCCCAGGCAATATTCTATGAGATATTGTGTCCCTAGATACTAATACATTGAAAGAATATTTCATATCCCAGGCAATATTCTATGAGATATTGGTACATTGAAACATTATTTCATATTCCAGGCAATTTTCTATGAGAAATTGGTTCACTAGATATTGGTACATTGAAACAATATTTCATATTCCAGGCAATATTGTACGAGAAATTGTGTCCCTAGATATTGGTACATTGAAACAATATTTCATTTTCCAGGCAATATTATAAGAGATATTGGTTCACTAGATATTGCTACATTGAAACAATATTTCATATTCAGGCAATTTTCTACGAGAAATTGTGTCACTAGATATTGGTATATTGAAACAATATTTCATCTTCTAGGCAATATTCTATGAGAAACTGTGTCACTAGATATTGCTACATTGAAACACTATGTCATTTTCCAGGCAATATTCTAGGAGAAATTGCGTCCCTAGATATTGGTACATTGAAACAATATTTGATATTCCGGGCAATATTCTATGAGAAATCGGGCAATATTCTATGAGAAATTGTGTCACTAGATATTGATACATTGAAAGAATGTATCATTTTACAGGTTCCACCAGCCATCATATTCCGAGGGGCTGTGTTCGCTGACAGCTCTCGCTTCGACCGCTGCCTGCAGCTCTGGATGCACGCCATGAAGCTTAAGCTCGACATCAACGTGTGTGTCGTCAAAGATCTGCTCAGGTTCTCACAGGTGCGTTTCTCCTCATTAATCCATGTGTTGATTAATTAATTGAGGTGAATTGATAGTCATCAATGGTATATGTATCAAAATAACTGATAACGAGACGAAGGGTTAACTCGTCGTCTATGGAGTAATTCACTGTTGTCAATAATATGAGCATAAAAATGCCAGATAACCAGAGTTTTGAAAAAATTTGAACCAACAATCTTAGTTAACTATTGCGGTTTTCGACAATAATTATTCTTCCACTGCCATCATTCCTTTAAAAGATTCGAACCATTATTATTTATGCTGTCTGGAGTTGTGTTTTCTAAATTATGGCATAGGTGTCATTCCATGTCAAAACAGAAAGATTATTTTGACGCACTCAACTGCCTTTTATCATAGAAAATATATTTTCAAAGATTTTATACCGGTACCATAATCAAAGATTTAATGCATAATTTTCATCAAAATTTAAATACTCTGCCTTGTAATAGAATTTCATCATCCACATTTTTCTAATTAATTTTTCATATTTACTTTATGCTGTTTCCGGGATTTCTTTTTCCGCTCTCTCTGGCATCTACATTTTTACCTGAAAGTTGATCATATTGCTGCTCTTCAAACAGATACTGAACCCATCCGTTTGGTAAGCTCGTGATTCATATATTATCATAACAGCTCTAACTTGATCTTTTTTCAAAGTCACATTGAGAAATATTTTTTATGGTCGCATTGAAGAATCTTTTTCAAAGTCACATTGAAAAATCTTTTTTCGAAGTCACATTGAAAAATCTTTTTCAAAGTCACATTGAAATATCTTTTTCAAAGTCACATCGAAAAATCTTTTTCAAAGTCACATTGAGAAATCTCTTTCAAAATCACTGATGGCAGAATTTTTTCCAGGTATTCTCCCAGATGGTACACATCGGCGCAGACCTCGACTACAGAGTTGTGTTGGAGGTGCTGGACTCTGCTGTCCTGGAACTCAAATGTAACCATTCAAAAATAACTAACCCGGGACCTAAGGACGATGTAGAGGCTATCAAGGTAAGACTGGCAATGCTGATAAGCTATCAAGGTAAGACTGGCAATGCTGATAAGCTATCAAGGTAAGACTTGCGATGCTGATAAGCTATCAAGGTAAGACTTGCGATGCTGATAAGCTATCAAGGTGAGACTTGCGATGCTGATAAGCTATCAAGGTAAGACTTGCGATGCTGATAAGCTATCAAGGTAAGACTGGTGATGCTGATAAGCTATCAAGGTGAGACTTGCGATGCTAATTATGTAGTTGATAAAGGATGAGGATTGAATTCTCTTGTACGTGTTGTGGCCTAAGTATACGTATTGCCTGATTTCACGTCTGTACATGATCGGCTAACGTCAGTGATTGGCTGACGGAGTTACAAAGTTGTAACTACTTTAGTAAGTACGGCCTCTGATCCTTCAATAGCGAGTTATGTACCAGTGCAAAGAAAATTGTTGAATTGCAACATGCGATCGTTTCAGTTCACAAGTCAGTCAATAACGTCAGCCTTAGTAATTTTTTCTCAATTATGTAATTGGAATCAATATCGCATTTAACTTTCCTTTGCGCCATTGTATTTATTAAATAGGCTTTACGCCTATTAAAAAAATTTCGCTGAAAATCTTAATTTTATTTTATTACTGTGCCTCTTTAGAGCTCACAGGTTGTAATATCCTAGTAACTATTCAAAATTTCTCTATTTGATGTTAATGTTCTAGTGTATATTAGAATGTAATTAACTGTATGGATGATGTCTGTAATGTTCTAGTGTACCTATATTAGAATGTAATAAATAATGTCTGCTACAGGAGGAGTTGGAGCAAAACATGATATCCTCGCTGTACTTGATCATGATAGCGCAAAGAATCATCAAGTCTTCAGCAAGTTCATCACAATCTCATAACGACACCAAGAACAACAACAAAAACAACAACAATAATAACAACAATAATGCCGGTCTCGCGTGGGGAGACCTCGTGGGTAACGGCGAGGGCGTGGTGCTGGAAAACTTCCCTTTGCGTGCCGCTGAAACTCATTTATTGAGACTCAGAAACGAGCGAGAGGAGAAAGATGAGGACGAGAGCCACCGAGCCAGCGTCAGCGAGAAGGAAATGAGGCTCTACACCGCGATATACAGGTCGCCATCTGGGGCTAGAGGCAGATGTTTTTTTTTATTATGAAGTGTAGAAGCAGATTTTTTTATTATGAAGCGTATACACTGCAATATACAGGTCGCGATCTGGGGCTACAGGCAGATGTTTTTTTTTTATTATGAAGTGTAGAAGCAGATTTTTTTAATATGAAGTGTATATACACCGCAATCTACAGGTCGCGATCTGGGGCTAGGGCAGATGTTTTTTATTATGAAGTGTAGAAGCAGATTTTTTTATGAAGTGTATACACCGCAATCTACAGGTTGCGATCTGAGGCTAGGGGCAGATGTTTTTTTTTTTATTATGAAGTGTAGAAGCCGGTTTTTTATTATGAAGCGTATACACTGCAATCTACAGGTCGCGATCTGGGGCTAGGGGCAGATGTTTTTTTTTTTATTCTGAAGTGAAGCTATATTAATGCATCCTATATATATCGTGCCGAAATCGCGGAATTGCCGATTCAGTGGAATCGGCAGCCAGTTTGCCGAATCTCTAGAATCCGCATTTTCTTGCTCATTCAGAAAATCGGACGAAATTCTGGTATTAATGCTCTATTTTTATCCAAAATGTATAGGTTTATTAATAAAGGTTTTTTAAAGACCACAGAGTAGGTATTTCTAAATTATATACCGATGTTTATGCATCCTATTCACGGTACGGGGTCTTCGAAAGTTTTTATTAAGAAATATTTATTTCTTAATAAATATAGTGCATCTAATACATGGCCTGAGTGCGACTAATATTTTACCACGAAAAATGTGTTGAATTCTGGACTTTCCTATAAATATTGCCACCTTTTTACTGTGCAAAAGTTCTTAATTTCTCGATTTACAACTGCATTTATACTTAATGAGATGAATCCTTATTGTCTAATTTCTGTTATCGTTCCAGCAACATTATTTAATGAACGAGCTTTTATCTCCAGTCACGTTATTAATTTGTTAGTTGGAGCATTCATATTCTTCTATTACGCTACATTTACAGTAGTTGTAACATAGTACATATTTTCCTATTTAGTTACATTTATACATGTTATAGCATTTATGCAATCCTATTGCATTATAGTTGTTGTAGTTATATTTTTATATTGAAGTAACGGTAACAGTAGTTAATATCCTGTTTCATTCAAGTAACAGTAGTTAATATCCTGTTACGTTAAAGTAATAGTGACAGTAGTCATATATCCTGTTTGGTTAAAGTAATAGTTGTTACAGTAGTTATATATCCTGTTTGATTAAATTAATAGTTACGGTAGGTAGTTATATATCCCGTTACATTAAAGTAATTACTGTTACAGTAGTTATATGTCGTGTTTCGTTAAATTAATAGTTGGTACAGTACGGTAGTTATATATCTCCTACATTAGGTAAATATCCTGTTTCGTTGAGCAGACTGCTGCGGACGAATTCGTTGACGTGTCGCGGGCAGACGTTGCTTCATCTCGCCGTCAGCCCTGAGACGCACGTCGATGACTTCTACACCAACCTCGTGTGCAAGTTAGTCTTGTATAATGTTCTGTTTTGCTTAAACAACAACAATAATAACAACAATAATGCCGGTCTCGCGTGGGGAGACCTCGTGGGTAACGGCGAGGGCGTGGTGCTGGAAAACTTCCCATTGCGTGCCGCTGAAACTCATTTGCTGAGACTCAGACACGAGCGAGAGGAGAAAGACGAGGACGAGAGCCACCGAGCCAGCGTCAGCGAGAAGGAAATGAGGCTCTACACCGCTATATACAGGTCGCCAACTGGGGCTAGGGGCAGATGTTTTTTATTATGAAGTGTAGAAGCAGATCTTTTTATTATGAAGTGTATACACCGCAATGTACAGGTCGCGATCTGGAGCTAGGGCAGATGTTTTTTTATTCTGAAGTGTGTATACACCGCAATCTACAGGTCGCCATCTGGGGCTAGGGGCAGATGTTTGTTTATTATGAAGTGAAGCTATGTTAATTCATCTTATAGGTACAAAGTGAAGCTATATTAATTCCTCTTATAGGTACATATCGTGCCGAAATTGCGTAATTGCCGATTCTGTGGAATCGGCAGCCAGTTTGCCTCATCTGTAGAATCAGCATTTTGTTGCTCATTCAGAAAATCGGACGATATTCTGGTATAAATGCTCTATTTTCATCCAAAATGTATAGGTTTATTAATAGACGTTTTTGAAGACCAGAGAGTAGGTATTTCTAAATTATATACCGATATATATGCATCCTATTCACGGTACGGGCCATTCGATAGTTTTTATTCAGAAATATACCTACCTACATTAGTGCATCTAATACATGGCCTGAGTGCGACTAATGTTTTACCATGATAAATGTGTTGAATACCACTGAACTTGTGGATAAATATTGCCACCTTTTTACTGTGCAAAAGTTCTTAATTTCTCGATTTACAACTGCATTTATACTTAATGAGATGAATCCTTATTGTCTAATTTCTGTTATCGTTCCAGCAACATTATTTAATGAACGAGCTTTTATCTCCAGTCACGTTATTAATTTGTTAGTTGGAGCATTCATATTCTTCTATTACGTTACGTTGGATTTACAGTACCAAGTTGTAACATAGTACATATTCTCCTATTTAGTTACAATTATATATGTTATAGCATTTATACAATCCTTTTGCATTATAGTTGTTGTACTTATATTTTTACGTTAAAGTAACAGTAACAGTAGTTAATATCCTGTTTCGATAAATAGTTGTTACATTGTCGTATATCCTGTTTCGTTAAAGTAATATCGTTACAGTAGTCATATATACTGTTTCGTTAAAGTAATAGTTACAGCAGTTATATATCCTATTTCGTTAAAGTAACAGTTACAGTAGTTAAATATCCTGTTATGTTAAAGTAATAAGTTGTTACAGTAGTTATATATCCTCATGTTTCATGAAGCACAGACTGCTGCGGACGAACTCGTTGACGTGTCGCGGGCAGACGTTGCTTCATCTCGCCGTCAGCCCTGAGACGCACGTCGATGACTTCTACACCAACCTCGTGTGCAAGTTAGTCTTGTATAATGTTCTGTTTTGCTTGGAAAAGTGTCGTGAATATCCTGTTCTGTTTTGCTTAGAAAAGTGTCGTGAATATCCTGTCCAGTTTTGCTTAGAAAAGTGTCGTGAATATCCTGTCCAGTTTTCCATGATGGAAACTCAAACTATTTTTATATAATTTGACATTGTTGATTATAGGATAGGAGCTCAATTAGAAAATTGTCGTGAATATCCTGTTCTGTTTTGCTTAGGAAAGTGTCGTGATTGCTATCAAAATGCTAGTGATCCTTTTAGTTAAAAATGATGTACAAATTTCTTACGGATTTTCTTTTTAATATATGTCCGTATATTTAATATATATCATTGTGGGAACGTGAATAATTTTTCCCTTAAATTATGGTTTGAAAATGGTGATTTCTTCAATTATGTCTCTCAAGCTACTAAATTAATATATTTCATAAATGGTAATCAGTTAATTTAGTGTTTATTAGTTATATGATGCTTTTTAGAGTCAAAATACATTCTCATTGCCACCTGAGGAGCAAGGGGTTTTTCTTCCTTTCTTATGTAAAATTTTTTCTCTGTTACCATGATTTTACGTGCTGCTGTTGAGAAGTGAGTTTTATTGTGTTTAAGTTGTTCAGAATATTTGCCTTCATCACTGTTTTTTTATAGATATTTCTCTCCTGTTTGGTACTTGAATAAAAGTTCGAGGTTCAGTGACATTTTTTCCTTGTTCTTGTTTATGTGTTCATTTCCATGCAGACTTCTTTTGCTTCAATTAAAACTTTATTATGTTAAACTTTAAACTTCATACTTTTATTTTTTATTAAACTCTGTCCTGGAAAACCATCCTACAACGCCTATCTTGTAATAATAATACCTATTTAATAATAAAATAATTAATGTGTTTTTTTATTAGCTCCATGTGGCATTCAAGAATAAAGTTACTGTATACTTACTTAAAATACTTAAAATTACTGGAGCACTGCGAGTGAAGTAAAACTTAATAATAATGCCATAATATATACACTATCAACATTATTTATTATCATTTTATTATTATTTCAATTATTATTCCAGATTCCCCTGTGCCAGCACCGCACGGCTGCTCATCTCGTGCGGCGCTAACGTGAACGCCTTGGACAACGCGCGTAACTCCCCCCTGCACCTTATCGTGCCTTATCAGAAGCCTATCAGGTTAATTTAAATTATTAATTAAGTTAACTCCCCCCTGCACCTTATCGTGCCTTATCAGAAGCCTATCAGGTTAATTTCTCTATAAAATTTAGGAAACGTATATTTTTTATATGAAGTCTTTATCATCTGCTGTGTTTATTTTTTCTGCCAAATTTAAATGAAATTTTGACAATGAAATTTTGATATCTTCTATTCTATTTCTACATCGATGAAACATTTTTTTCAATAACTATAGTACGTTTCGTTTTCTCTTTTCTACTTCTACATTGATGAAGTATTTTTTGTTATCTAGGGTATTTATTGCACTGACCTCCTGATATCATGATCCTTTGAATCGCTATTACTTTTCTATTATTATCTTTGATTATATTTCTACATCTATCAAACATCGATGAAATATTTTTTGTAACACTATATATTTATTGCAGTGACTTCCTGACGATATACAACATCATACAAGGGCTGGTGGAGGCCGGGGCCCACATGGACATCGTTAACAGCGCGGGCCTCACGCCCATGGACTGCGCCTCTACTGCCGTGGCCGAGATGATCCTGCGCCTCCAGCAGCGCCTCAGTCTGCAGTGCCTCGCTGCCCGGGCCCTCGTCAACGCAGGTAAATATTATTATTAATTAATTATTATATTAATTACATTAATGAGCGTCCGGGCGCTCGTCAACGCTGGTAATTATTATTATTAATTAATTATTATATTAATTACAATAATGAGCGTCCGGGCGCTCGTCAACGCAGGTCAATATTATTACTAATTAATGACTATAAACTCAGCACAATTTTTATGAAATCATCAAAATTTTTATAAACTTATCACACTTTTTATAAACTTATCACAATTTTTATGAACTGATCGCAATTTTTATAAACTCATCACAATTTTTTATTGTGCAGTCAGTACTTCAAATTTCTATTGATTCATTCATATGGCTCATTACCATCTGAATTTCAGCATTGTCTAAACATTTTTATTGTTTAAGTATCAAGGTTTACAATATTCTTTGATGAAATTGCCATTAAATTATTATAGCCATTAAAAAATGAAGGGTTTTGATACTGAAAAAATCAGTATAAAAAAAAAATTCATTACAACTGGAATAAAAAGGTTAGTTTCATCCGAGACATAATTTTTTTTTATTTCAGTTTATTTTATTTTTAAAAGGAATTGTTATTGTATAAGGCAGACGAATTTATTACATGGTCGAAAGTGTACATGATGCAGGCGATGATGTGTACATGATGCAGGCGATGATGTGTACATGATGCAGGCGATGATGTGTACATGATGCAGGTGATGATGTGTACATGATGCAGGCGATGATGTGCTCGTTATCATCACAGGTGTGCCGTTCAAGGGGCGTGTGCCGAGGGCTCTGGAGGCGTTCGTTGAGCTGCACGGCCCCTCCAAGCCCCTCAGGACGACCCCTCACTCCCCCATGCAGCAGTGAGGGCCTCAGGCACCTCTCCAGGGCACCTCATCTCGCTTATCTATTATAGAGAACTAAGAATTCATTAGTAATCCTGGATTGCTAATCGCGAAGTTCTAATCTTCGATAACTAAACCCGTATCTTCTTATCTTCGATAACTGATCCTAGATAATTAAGCCCGAATCTCTAGCTAATTGCGTGAATCTGTATAGCCAATTGTGGAAAACTGAATGCTGAAATTTATTCCTAAATGGCTAGTCGTGAATATCTTATATTTGAAGCTGGAATATTTAATCTCGAATATCTAATTTTGGTAATGAATCTCGGAAACTTGAACCTGGATATCTTATTTGGGGAATGAATCACGGAAATTTAAACCTGGATATCTAATTTGGGGATCTAATATTTGAAGCCTGGAATACATAATCTCGAATATCTAATTTGGGTAATGAATTTCGGAAACTTGAACTTGGATTACAGAAACCTTATCCTGGACCATGCACTCTTCTAATCTTTGATGAATATCAAGATTATCAAGAATAATCTTCTTGATTAACATCAAGCACGGTACACTGAGTGACATTTGTTATTCATATTCGTGGCCACATATGTGGGTCATGGTGACAAAGTGGGTCATGGATGAAATAAGACGTACTTGCACATGTGAAGGCTCATAGTTAGATGTGTTGCTTAAACATCATATGGCATGAGAAATTCCGAGGAATGTGTGTTATGTTATTTATTGAAGTAGGGTGCAACTGTCAAGTGGATTTATCTAGCTAGAGAATTTAACTGTACAAAGGATTCAACTGTCAAGCAGATTTATCTAGCGAGAGGATATAACTACGAAGGATTCAACTGTCGAAGAGATTCATCTGGCTAGATGATTTAACTGTACAAAGGATTCAACTGTCAAGCGGATTTATTTAGAGATAGGATTTAACTGTACGAAGGATTCAACTGTCGAGCGGATTTATCTAGAGATAGGATTTAACTGTACGAAGGATTAAACTGTCAAGCAGATTTATCTAGCTAGAGGATTTAACTGTACAAAGGATTCTATTGTCGAAAGAATTTGTCTGTTACGAGGATCTAACTGTACGAAGGATTAGATTTTCGAAATGATTTTACTTGTCTTCGCTCCAGGAATTTCTGGGAATAGAATGCCTAGCAAGTATGAATCACGAATTAATTTGTTTATTACAATAGCTTGTTTATTTGAGCTTGGCTCTTAGTATATCGCCTGCTTGACTTGCATTCGTGCCTTATTTTCAATTTAATTTCTTTTGCCTGCAAATAAAACAAAAATATGCTTACACGAGTGAACGTTAATTATTTTCTGCGTGTACATTATTGCATTTTGTTGAAACTTGTTTTGAGTTGAACGTCGCTTCTTACATTTCTCTGCTGCTACTTTTGTATTTTGAGTTACTATATATTTCCTTCTTTAGTAAGTTATGTTGCCTTTTTGCGGTCGTTATTAAATAAATTTATCAGTGATATGTTTTTATCTGAGAAACCTACACTTGTTCAAGTATTTATTATCGTATTATTATCTTATTTTCTATTTAAATTCGTTCGCGTTCTTTTTACTTAGACCCTGGCAGCTCCTTATACTTTCTAGACTTGCGTTACTGTCACTTACACGTCACGTTGCTTACACTTCTATTATCAATCTGTTTATATTCCTTGCTTGCACTTCTATTATTTATGTTATGGTTCAGGTTGTCAACATTTCTTGGTTGCATCCTCTTGGTTTAACTCGTTGTTGTTTTATTGCTTTTCGTACCTACCCGAAGTTTCGTTTGTTGTACATAAGGAACTAATGAGCTGCCTTTTTTCGCTTCCAGTATTCTGAATATTTATTGTTACTGAGCGCGATCGTTCAAATTTCACAGGTCTTGGTTTTTGTGGGTTGGTATGTTAAATTATGATATATTAATATTTTTTTGGGTGGAGAAAATAATCGGCGCTTACACCGATGAATTTCTATCGATTTAATCGCATTTTATTATTGTTTCAATGTAATTCCATTGTACGGATGCAAAAAAAAAAAAAAAAAAACATCGCCGTTAAGGCTATTTTGTGATATGATTAATTTTTTTATGAGAACAGACGGGAGTTTCATCCAATACGAGATATTATTTCTTCTACACGGTCTGGTATCTTGTATAAGTTTTGTTTTAGTTCCCCTTCTCGGCAATCGACGTTAATTAGCCCAAGTTTCTCTCTTATTCGGAACTTGTCTCGCCACAAGTTCAGTCATATTAATTCATGTTTGATTTGTTTTATTTGTTCATCAATATTCACGGTGTGTAATTTATTCATGAAGGACAAAATATCACGTTTTTTCAAAGATAAAGATTTTTGGTGGACTACGATAATATTTTTTCTTATTTTACGCATAAATTTGTCCATATTACTGTGTGCATACATCCAGGTCGATATATTATGTTTGAATCGGAATAAAAATTTAATTCAATTCGTTCTTTTAATAATTTTTAAGCTGGTGGGTTTTGATTTTCACCTCGATGTAGAATTTCCAACGCATGACTGAGCTCGTCATAGCGAATTCTACGTCTAAATAGGCATTTAAAAAAAAATGCCTATTAAATAGGCATTATCACTTGCCTATCACACATATTATTTTTGACTGAGGCTTTCTGTTGTGGGGTTAGGTTGTGGAGGCAGGGCAGTTGTGTGTTAGGTTGAGCAAGTAAAGATAGATAAGTTGTCATAAACAAATTCAAAATTAATCTCAGGGTTTTTCGTTTTGACAATGACATGTGCTCGATTGAGGCTTATTGGTGCACAAAATTGGTGGTGCACGGCTGCGCGCCCGTCTACGTCTACATCTTCAGTGTAATGCTTCATTTTTAATCTCTTTTCTATCACCCTGATGTTTTGGTTGAATCGTACCCATGATGTGAAGCAAAACAACAGTTATTAAGCTGTTAGACCACACCGAGAATTATTTAAAGAATTATGTAATAATGGCATTGACAATATATAATACACAAGACGCTACTTAATCATCAAGTAGCGTCTCAAACATCGGCCGCAGAAGCAACTAAATAACTAATGTGCTTGCATGACACAGTAAGCAACGGAATCCTTTCGTGCAGTCGAATATATGGGAGCGCAGCCGTGCACCACCAATTTTGTGCACCAATAAGACCTGAATCGATCGCTTTGGATCTCTCCGGATATCCACCAATCAGCCGTGCACCACTCGGCTTTGTCCTCCTCCGGCCTTGACCACCACCTGCCGTGCACCACCAGGCCGCAATTTTACGTTCACCGCATCTGAGGTTAGGTTTCAAATAGCATAGTTCTGTTCCAAAATTTAACGTCCGTCGACAAGTGGCCGTTCGACCGAGGGCTGGTTCGACCAACGGCCTAGATACGGACGGCTTGAAGTGTTGAAGGATCGTTCCGGAAGGCAGGAATCATGGTGGTCCATTACACCCAGGGCAGTTGTGGTCTTCGGCAGGCGACACGAATATATGACTTTGGCCATTTTTATTCGATATTTCTATTCCATAATTGAGAAAAATGAATAAATTTCTGGGTTTGGAGAAATTTCAAGGTAAATTTAAAAAGTTAACAATGCTAACCTTAATAAATTTCAAGGCTTGGATAATTTTCAAGTTGAACTTAAAAAATTATTAATACTAATTCTATTTAAGAAACAGCTGACCTGACACTCGTGAAATTATGAGAATTTTTGTCTCCTTAAAACGAATACATTTCTAGGTTTGGCAGAATTTCTTTAGAAGAATTTGAAAAGTTCTTAATACTAATTCTATTTCAGAAACGGCTGGACAGACGCTCGTGAAATTATAACAAACTTTTTGCCTCTTCGAAACTAATAAATTTCAAGTTTTGGGAGAATTTTAAGGTAGAATTTGAAGAGTTAACACTAGCAATTATATTTCAATAACGGCTGAAGTGACTCATTAAATTTGGACAGCATTTTTGCCGTTTTGAAGTGAATGAAATTCTAGGTTAGGGAGAATTTTCAAGTTGAATTTAAAGTTACTTATACAAATCCTAATTTAGAATCGGCTGAATTGACGCTCGAAAAATTATTACAGACTATCGGTCTTTTAAAAACGAATACGTTTCTATAGGATTGTGAGAATTTTCAAGTAGAATTTTAAAATATATTGCAATTGTAATATTTCAACAACGCTGGAGAGACCCTCGTTGAATTTGAACAGCATTTTTACCGATTTCAAATGAATAAATTTTTCGGTTTTGGGAGATTTAAACTGTAACCCAAAAAATTTTATATACTAATTCTATTGCAGAAACGGCTGATCGTACCCGTAAATTAGAAGAGACAATTTGCCTTTTTAAAGTGAATAAATTGCTAGGTTTTGTGTGGGTAATTTCCCAACTGAGTCTAGAAAGTTTTTCATACTAATTCCATTTCAGAAAGGGCAGAACTGGCGCCCGACAAATTTAAACAAAATTTTTGCTGTTTCAAGTGAATAAATTTCTAGGTTTGGAGAAATTTTCAACTTGGATTTAAAAAGTTGTTGATACTGATTCCATTGCAAAAACGGCTGAACTGACACACGTGAAATTCGAACAGTATTTTAGCCGTTTAAAAGTGAATAAATTTCAATTGAGGGAGTCGTGCGTTGTTTAGAACATGCTTCAAAGTTGGTACATTTTCACAAAATTCCTCACATATTGACGAAAAGATGCAATATAAATAAAGTGTTACTATAAGGTAGGCATTAACGCGAATGGCGTATGTTCCAAATTTCATGGGGATCGATTCAAAATGGTGGAATTTTTGAGCGGGTTAGCACTGGCTAAGGTCGATATTAAGCTAGATTATATTTATTTAGATGACGCTGCAGGAATTTTGGTGCTGCAGGAATTAATCGAGTGTCAGTTCACACGTTTCTGAAGTCAATTTAATTCCAAAATTCGTGTGCTAATTGAACTCGAAATTTCCCTAAACCCAAGAAATTCGTCAACTTGACAATGGTATAAATGCTTTCTGAATTTTTCGAGTGTCAGTCCAGTCATTTCTGAATTATGATAATTCAATTAAAAATTGTTCCATAATCCAAAATATATGAAACCATGATGTAACCATTTCATAATTGTCAGCTTAGCCGTTTCAGAATTGGACTTTCACTGAATAACTTTCAAGATTCAGCGCCAAATGTCTCATATCTCAAAGATTTTATTCACTACAATATTGCGCAATGGATATTGAATTTTCATAGGTGGCAGTTTATAATTATAATCCACACACTTCTTTTTTCAACTGTCCAGTCCACTGCGTATCAAGACGCGGTGATACGGGCTGCTTATCACCGCGCAACATCGACCATGTGTCCCACTTTTTGCTTGATCAAGTTAACTGATCAACTTGAACTGATCAAGTTGAATTGATCAAGTTGAACTGATCAAGTTGAACTGATTAAGTAGAACTGTTCAAGTTAAATTGATCAATTTGAACTGATCATGTTGATTAATTATTAAGCAATTTTATGATTTTTCCAAATGCCGTTGTCTGTTGTAATCGAAAGAAAAAATTATGTTGCTATTCCACAGCAAGTGGCCTCGTTAGGCGTTTTAGCTGCACCGCGCGCGACAACGAGTGAAAGATCTACAACAAAAATTCAAAAACCTCAACCAAAAAATTTACTATATATCATCGACTTCAACATTTCCTGTCCGCTATTGAACTTGCTGGACATACATAAAATATCCCACAGTGATGCAGAACATATCACAATTCAAATAGCGAATTTACATTAGATAATATTACTTTCTACCGAAGAATTCTGGAAGTCGCTGACCGAAGATGGAACTTGCGCGATGCCTGCAGTTGCTTAATTGCGTATGTGCTGCTGCTCGGTACATATGAGCACAAGTAATGGAACATCTTTATGCCTCTACTGTACATATGAGCACAACCACTGGAACATCACCGGGCCTCTACTGTGCATGTGAGCACAACAGCTGTAACATCACTGCGCCTCTACTTCAACTTCTATATAACAATAGAATTACTAAACACAAGTTAAAATATGAGTGACACCCATAAAATTATGCAATATTTGTACGGAATAAATTTTCCATTATGATGCATACACAAGTTGTAGGTATAAATACAGTAATGAATCAAGGAAGTTATAACAGGAAAATAACATTCTGAAATTACAGAACTGAACGACATACGAGTTTCGCACAGCCGATGCGCATAAAAAATTGAATAGATGCATCGAGCAAGGGGTTATTCTGCATTGTAGTAGAGAAGTTATTACCGGAAGACTTCTGTCACAACTTCGTCCACAGTGTCAACTTCTGAAGAGAAGCTGTCGGAGTCCATTCAAAAAATATATGCAAAATAAAGCCGTCGGTGTCCTCAGACATTATTATCTTATCCTCAGATATTATTATCTTATAATGAATATTCGATGCTGTCAAAATTATTGATAAATAGAGCTGAATAAAAGACCAAAAATGATCATTGGATCAACCTAATTCCAAGGACAAAATTACTAGAATTTAAACCAACGGCTAAACTTTCGGCTAAACTATCGCTTATAAAACTTTCAGACGAGAAGCAATTCGAGTCCATGAATCTCTGCCCAGATCCTTTCAGCAAACCCAAACAAAAAAATTTGAACTTACGTCATAAATAAACTAATAAGCACAGGATATCACAAGGAATCAAGGATTGCATGAAATAAGTGAAGAAAAAATATAATTGAGAATATTTAAGGTTACGTTTAAAGTTTCATACGAGTAAGTTTGGAAGAACTCTGCAGTATGAAAGACACTTTGCTGAGAAGATAGTAGTGAACAATAAGAACGATGGGCACAGCATCATAACTTGCGAAATGTTCTAATCACTGATACCAAGTCGATCAGTCGAGTCATTTAAAGCGTATCGGATGGTCGCCATGCAACATTCACAATCACTTAAAACGCCATTGAAAAACTCGAGTATATGTCTACTGTATCTTCTTCTGGGGCCGGATTATCAAAACATGCTAAGTATACGTAGCCGCTAACGTTTAGCGTAAGTACAGCTAAGTAGACGTGACTCTACTGAGTGTTATTATCGAAACATTTGCGCGGGAAGCTACGTACAAAAATTTGTGCATAACAGAGTCATGCGTAAGACAGTTTTGTTAATGCCAAATTTTGACTGACTTACGCCATACGTAACTTTTTGAACGTAAGTACGAAAAGTTACGTGAACTTGGCGAAGTTTCGTTAATCTCTGCCCTGGATGCCTAGTCATTTAGCATATCGGATGCATGATCGCTATGCCAACATTCACAATCACTTGAAACACCACTGGACAACACGGGTATGACTATTTACTTCTTGACACTTAGTCACTAAGCATGTATATGATATATATCGGATGATCACTAGGCTACATCCACGATCCAATGCGAAGTCACGTCATTGGTGACTAAAAACCTGAGTGATAAAATAAATAATCTAATGTTTGGTACTTCCTTACTTTCCCTTAGAACACATATGAAATACATCAATTCAATAAATTCGTTCACTCATCCTCGGGGTTTCATAAATTTCATTTACGCCATTTCGAAATTGGGTTCTTTGGGAACAACTTTCATGATTCAGCATCTATACTCACCTGACTTGAGAAATTCGTTTACATCTCGACTGTGAAGTAGTACTACCTATTTCTTCAATACGTCCAGTCGTTTTAGATTTGAGGTTTCCGTCAAAACCTTTCATAATGCAAGACCAAATATCGTCACGATAGCTGAACGTTCCACAGTCACGATCGCAGAAAGTTACACAGTCACGACAGCTGAACGCTCCACAATCACGATTGCTGAACGCTCCACAGTCACGACAGCTGAACGCTCCACAGTGACGATTGCTGAATGTTCCACAGTCACGATCGCTGAAAGTTACACAGTCACGACAGCTGAATGTTCCACAGTCACGATCGCTGAACGCTCCACAATCACGATTGCTGAATGTTCCACAGTCACGATCGCTGAACGTTCCACAGTCACCGCTGTTAACCCTGCGGTTTTGCGAACTAATTCGTATCGTTCCAATCGCACAGCGGTGGGCACAGCTAACCGAAAAGTTAGCTTCGATAACCGATAATCTGCTAACTAAAAAGTTAACTTTTATAACGCTAAACCGATAAATTTCCGAAATATTTGGCTGAATTTCTCGCTAACCGCTAACTTTTAGTAAATTAATTTAGCTTTGGCCTAATTTTTTTTGAGGGGGGGCTCTAAAACTCTGGAAAACAGACCTAGAGAGCTGAACTTTTAATATGTTGTAGCATTGACAAGGAGCTTTCCAAAAAGGTGTAGCATGCCAAGATTAGATGATGATAAAGATGTACATAAATAATTAAATGAACAAATTAAATTAAGCAGTAATTGACAATCAACATACAGTTTATTAAACGAATAAGAAAGTTTATTAAACTAATAAGAAACTGACATGTTTAAACCGACGAATAAGAAAGTGACAGTTTATTGAACGAATAAGAAACTGACATGTTTATGATAACGTACCTTGTCGTCTTTGACACTGTAAGACTGTTACGTGACTAACGTCCAAAGTGAACTGAACTGCAGAATTACTCAATGCTGCGTCAACCAATCACGTCTTTTGCTACTACAATATGTAGCAGTAACACAAAACGTGATTGGTTGATGTACATATGTTGACGTAGTCAGCCGTCAGTGTGGCACACGGCTAAACGCAGCATTAAATATTAACACCTGAATTTTCTATCAGAAGAGATTTTAAAATTTTTTTTATCGGTTAGCGGATTAGCGGAACTGTGCCCACCACTTCTATCGCACAACAAATCTCTTTACTTCTAATGTAGCTCCGCAGTCAGTCGTTATTCAGAGGTCCTCTGTTTACTGGCGGAGTGGACTATATATTAAAAAAAGTTAGTTAGGTACTCACTGCAATGAGTGACAGAGAGCGCATTTTCTCGTCGACGAAAACTTGAGGTCACGGACAGACGGACATGGCGAGCACAATAGTGCATTTTTTCCATAAATGAGAAAATGCGCTAAAAAGTTTGTTAGGTTAAAAGGTAAAAATGTTTGCAGTCACGTTTGCAAGACACAAGCGTGCAAGGCTTCTTCATGTCGTCTATTGGGCAAAAATTGCAGATTTCTAGGTTGCAGCACGTACGGTAAGACAAAACTCAAATTCATATGAATAATGAAGTTCATGACTATTGCTGCAGCTGAACGGTGCTAAAAAATTCGTCTGGAATTGCATACTTGAGAAAATCGAAAAGAGTGACAAAAAAGTCACTCTTGTTAGCGCATTTTCTCATTAATTAAAAAAAGGCGCTATTGCTCTGGGCCTATACTTTCAAAAAAAGTTAAGTGATCATAAGTTCATCAGCCAATCGTTGCCGGCCTTTCAAGCAAAATCCACCAATCATAGATAAGAAAATAGAGCGTAAGCACTTACGTTCACTTAGCGAGTTTTGAAAGTATGGCCCCAGATGTCTGTCCGTCAGTGACTTCACGTTTTCGTCGACGAGAAAATGCGCGCTCTGTCACTCACTGCAGTGAGTACTGAGTTATAAGTCAGTACTCACTCAGTACTCAGTGAGTACTGAGTCAGTAATTATTAAAGTTAGTTCAGTTACAAAATTTGGGGGCGTGTGGCTTTAACTAGATAAATACTGTATATAGCGTTAATATGAGTTGATTTGTGGAATTTAAATTTTATAATTATTATTTAGATAAAGCTCATATCTGAGGTATTTCATATTCCTCTGTTTTGATTCCATGTTCTTCTACAAATATTTTTCACTTTCATTCTTTTCACTTCAACATAATAACATAATGTTGTCATTAAAATATTTGAAATGATAATAAATAATAATTGCTTGAATTTGCTGAGGATAATTTGTTTTAATACAAGAGATATTTGTATCGTGTTTGTGTTCAGCTATATGAGGCTATCAGATTTTAGGTTATCTTCGTTCGATATATTTAAATTTAGTCCCAATTACCATTCATTAACCATTTTAAATATCGCGGTCAAGACTTCAGAATTTTTTTATCATGTTACAAACTATTTTTCTTAATCAGTTCATAGAGATACAACCTTAAACTCACAAAGGTAATCCATTCCAAAGATTCAAATTTAGTTTTCAATTATTCTCCGTACTATTCCAAATATCAAAAGCATGAGTTATATTTTTACTCAACAAAATTTTGTAGTTCTGTCTGACGCCCAGGCACTGCATAAAAAAATCTGGAAGTGTTCTTTCATGCTGGAAAAAATCTCAGAATCTTGCTGTATAATTTTGCCTCTGATAATTATTTACTCGTGCGATTAGATGTTATTCGCATGCCTCCGTAGTACAGGAATTTCTGTATAAACTAAATTTTTTGATCCACGATCCAGTTAATCGTCCAAATCCTGTAAGGAAATGAGAAGAAATCCTTTTAAACGCACGTGATTATGGCGGACCTCCAAGCAGCACTTTCAGAGCTGTGAGACTGTTAGGTACAAATCAAACCCAGTTTAGGCAAGGGGCTTTATGGACTAGTTTCCACTGCTCCTATAAGCTATAAGAATAAATAAGAAAGAAAGAAAGAAGACCTCCAAGCAGCTGAGTTGTTTTGCGTTGAGGTCAGATGAGGTGAGACTGATAGTGTACCAAATAACTGCCAAACGCAATCACATCAATTCCAAACAGCTATCATAGGATGGCTATAAAAATGGAGGGGCCGACTGTGATGGCCACAGACGTTTCTTTCGGGTTCGACCGACTTGGTCCTCTGGGTGCGATCTCTTCAACTTCTCCGACATGGTAAAAAGACCTTACAGTGCTCGTCAAATGAAGAGCATTATCTTTTTTTAAACTGCTGCAATATTTTTCATCAATTTTATTACTCCAGCTGAAGGAAATATATAATTTCAGTACCGATAAATCTATATAAGTTAATCTTACATTTTATCCGAAACCATTGCTCTCGGTTTTAGCCAGTAACTACTTAATACATTATTGATTCACTGGTAAATTTTTTATTTTGTCATAGCAAACTATTAATTGGAATCATTTACTTTCCAGATTGCTTTTTTCCGATGTCTGCTGTCCTTGAGCGCTTTTCTGGCGCTCATCGCATCCGGGCTCGCCTTGCCTGCTAGCGAGACCACGGTTGAAAAAGTCGACGATGTGTGGCATCCGATCACAACTCTCGATGAGACGCTCGTCGGCGAGTCGGGTGCTAAACAACAGGAAGATGACGACAAAACTAGCGCTAAATCTGCTAGTGATGACGATGACGTCAAAGTCAAGACTGTGTTACGAGCCATCCGATTGGTCGAAGACAGCCAAAACCCAAACGAAGATAATGGTTCAACTGTAAACGAGGCTTCAGTTAACGGCAGTACAGATGATTTTTTCTATAATTATGAGTATCCCTTGTACGACACTCAAGAGGTTCCAGAAAATGTGGCTGAAGGTTCAGAGGCAAGTACCAAGGCTCAGGATGAACGCAAGAAACGACACTCGGTGCCGGTTGTGAGTGGGCAACCATTGCAAGGCGGAACTTCTGTTCAGACATCTGGTCAACAGCAAACTACGGGTCTAAAATTAGGTTCTGCAGCCGCGCTAAGCCACCAACAACAATCCTCGTATCGTCATAAATTACAACACCATCGATTACAAGACCTTCAAAGTGGCGGAGTTTTGCTGTCTCAACCAAAAATAATTGTCAGGCAACAGCTAGAACGAGGACCCATCTCTACCGAAACCAGCCAGCTCGGATACAGGCTTCAAGCGGTCGTGAGCGGTAACAATAATCAAGAATCTACTGAGTACTCTCCATCTCAGCAAGAACTCCAGCAGATTTCAAGTACTCTTAATCCAGCTTACACGAATACCAATTCTCAGGTTGGACTTGCCCAAGGTACTTCTTCCAGAACCGACGCTGCGAAGGTTCTCTATGTACTGGGATTGCTCTCTAAGTTTGGAACCCAAGGAAGTGGCTCATCTGCAACATCTCAATCCGTTAGCCCGATAAGTACGTCCAGCGGATCGTCTTATTATAGTTTGAATGGAGGACAACCATTGTCGTTGACTGGGTCTGTGGTTAAGTTGGGTGAAAAACAGGACTTCAGTCAACTCTCTGAAATTGGTAGCCAGGCAAATTCTGCTTCTGTTCAACGCGTTTCAATAATCCGACTTCTACAGCCTCTCATTCGCTATGTTGCAGTGCAAAAAGATTCTCCTCAGGGTCAATGGCAGAGCTTTTTGGAAAAAATTAGCAATCAGGAGTCCACCGTTGGTTATCAGACACTAATTGAACAGATTCAGAGTGAAAACTTGCGGCAACAACGCTTACTACAACGACTTCAATTCTGGCGAAACCTTGCCACAAAACTCAAAAAGTTTCAAGACGGGCTCCAATGTGTTTCCAACTAGAACCTTGCCAACTTCTTGGAATTTCGGATGATATCGCTCAAACTATAAGGATGTTCAACACTATGAAATTTTACACGTTTGTGTCAATAATGACTATAAGATGAGGATTTTCGTTTCACTTGGTTGTGTTAAAAAATATAAAAGCGTTCGGTCTGTTTCTTATGTATGCCCTGAATATTGAAGGGGAAAATCGTTGCATTTAATCTCACTCTTGTGCACGAAAAATATCGATGTACTGCATTCCTGATTTTTTCAAAAGGCTGAAAATTTATTGCACATTTCCTTCTTTCACCTACAAAGATATCATGTCAAGTCATTGATTGAAGTTAATTATAGTTAAATGTAAATCACTGCACAGCATTTCCTTGTTTAATTTCACCGAGCTCAACGCATAAGAAGAAATGAAAAATATAACAGAAATCATTCAAACAACGCCAATGGGCGTCCATAACGATGCATGATGAAGGGTTTCACAAATGAGACCAGAGTTAAAACTCAACGACAAATTAGTAATGATAATTTTGACTCAATAACGTTGAATAAATGTGCGAGAATCATGATAAAAATAAATAAATTATGAGCAAACTAAAACATTCCATATATTCTTAGCCAATTAGGGCGCGTTAAGCGCGAAAATGACCTCGGTTTGTTTCATGGGAAGTAGCCCCCCTTTATCAACGGTTTCTGTTACACTAAACAATGTCAGTGGCACCTGATGCTAAGTTAATGAGAATAAACGGGAATAATTTTCTTGGCATTAAAAATGTTTGCAAAGACGAAGTCTACGCCAGCTAATCAGTTATCGCCGCTCGTGTTCTCTTCCTTGACTGCCAAGCACCGTAAGCTTTCTGAGAACCGAAACCAAGAACATACCATCTATACAGAAAAAATTGATACAACTAATCATACATAATTGCCTTGCAATACCTCTAAATAAATACTAAATAGTAAAATTATAAATTCGCAATCATTACAAAATAGTGCGGGCGGTATCACGGAGCTGTTGTACCAGCCATTGAGTATTGATAGAATCCCAAGTTTCGACACGATTCTATCAATACACATGACACCAATTGCGACCGGTAACTACGCTATTCACACTCTGCACACGCTGAGCACCAAGCGACGGCAGACTATCAAGGCTGCACAGTCAAAATGATTCAAACATTAATTCTTGCTGAGCAGTGCATTCAGAAACGCATTTAATACTATTGAATTATCAACGCACAAGAATAAAGCAAGTGACTTCCATCGACCATTCATAGGATTAGCTGCATAATACATTGAGCCTGTATGATCGATAGCAAGTAGGAAATAAGTTTTCACTAATTAGGAGAACCTCGCTTAGGCAGGCCGACTTCATGACAACGCTGACAATATAAGTTACAACAAACATTTATCGATGGAGACCAGTGAACCCCTATCTCCGATCAGCGCATCGTAATAAGCGGCTTTTGAGCAAATTCCAAATTACCGGTATGGCTAAATTAATCTTGTAAGAATGACTGATATTTGCAAATAAGTTGTCAATAGTAGAATGATAATAAATTCAATGAATGATAATATAAAGGTACAAGTCTGGCATAACAAATTTCACATTCGAGCAAATAATCAGTTCGCACAGGTTTTTCAAACTCAGTATCTGCCAACCGTTCGCCTATCCGGGTTGTCATGGACCACAGTTGGAATTTGTTCAGTTGGAATGGCCCACAGTTGTTCAGTAGAATTAATATAGTTTGTAATAAATTAGTCTACTATATTGTGTATTATTATACGTGTTTTGTAAAGTATTTATGAAAAGTCGGACATATGTATATCGATGTCGAGAATCGGTCGTTGGGGAGAGGCAGTTGGAATTGAATCACAGGCCTTATGTCTTCACTTAAAATCTGACAAATAATAATAAAGCTATACTTATCGACTGAAGTACGAGTTCAATGTCAACATTTTCTTGAACCCCTAAGAATTTTTCAAAAATTTCAACGGGCAGTATTCAACAAGCAAATTTCCAATCAAATTACCTTATGTCTTGACTTTCTGCCGCTTTTTACTACGTTTCCTTCATCTGAATGTTTATCTTATCACTTCCAGCGTTAAAATAAATGTGAATCTTTAAACAACTATTACCGCTGGTACGCAAACCCGTACGGGATATGCCAATAACAATGAATAGCATGATATGGGTTGGAAATAATAGTATGATACTAATCTGGCGATAACTGGCAACTATTTGTACCCGTAGTCAGATGCCATCCACCTACTTCCTGCAGCGCGCTCTCAATTTCAAGGAGAGCATTTACTTAATTCACTAATTATTTGAGCATTAAAATTAAGTAAGATAAGTTACTTGAATCCGGCTTTAATACTTTCATACCAACCTATTGAATACTTTAAAATCTTTTGCGACCAGCTGCACTTTTGGCAGGCAAGCAAGTGGCCATTGAAGTAGAAGGAAGAGCAGACCAATGCGAATTACGAATTGAACTTGAAAGAAAAATAAGTTATCCTTATGACGGAAGGTGCAAATTTTAAGGGTTCATTGGAAGTTCAAGGCCAGGGGCCAAGGTGGTCACTGTAGAACAAAAAGCCAAACCCAAGAGCAATTCAGAGTCAGCCTCCTAATTAAAGCATGAACAAACGTGCATTTGAACGTAAATAAACATGACTGAAAAAACGAGTCCAAGAGCACGTCCAAGATAAATCAGCGTGGTAACCATAAAGATTCAAAGCCTTCTGAACTAATCACAGATTTCTATTTATTGCTAGGTAAAAAAAGCAAGCAAAATCGAAGGCCCGCAAGTTTTGAAATTTCTACAAGCATTTACCCAAGGTGGACAACGAGCTCAATTCCCGACCTGGAGAATTAAATACCTTAATCCCTTTTACTATCACCTCAAATGTAACATTACAAATATTTATATAGAAGAGCAAATATTTTTTATCTACTATAGATAAAGGATAATTGGCTTCTGTATGGCTCGTACTGACCATATCACGCAAAGTTTGAGCGATAACTACGCTGTTCACACTCAGCGCCGGCTTAGCACTCTGCATCGGCAGACTTGTGTATCGTGGTTGCACAAACAAAATTTATCATTCCAAGCATTAGTTCAAACTATGAAGGGCGTTTAGAAACGCAGTCAACACTTTTCAATTATAAAAGCACAATAAAGAAGCAAACTAATTCTTCTGACCATGCATCGGATCACCAGCGTAGAAACATTAACATTACATGACTGATAGCAGGTAGCAAAAAAGTTTTCTCAAATCAATCATACATTATATGATCAGGTTATCAGTAAATCTTGGCAGAAAATGAAGCGTTATCGCTTGTGACAAGTGATGTCATTTTTATTTTAAGCATATCGATAGCATGAGCGTCGACTGACTTGTGTATCCTGGTTCCACAGACAAAACCAATTATTACAAAATTCTTTCTTGCTTAGCGGTGCGTTCAGAAACGCAGATGACACATTTCCATTCTCAACGCACAATGAAGAAGCAAGTGACGTCCACTGACCAAGCATCAGATCATCAGCGAAGAGACATCGAACTAAATGGTTAATTGCAGGTTGCAAGCTGCCTGATTAAGAAAACCATTAACTGGAGCGCCATTTGAGCCTCAGCCTATAGGAAGACTTATTCCGTGACAACACAGACAACATGAATAATTCATAGCATTTTCCCGCTGTGTGTGTGTATAATTCATAGGCCTAGTTAACACCTACTATTCTTCAGCTCATTGTAATTTAGCAAGCATCTTCATCAGAACAAACTTCGTTAACGGGCATTAACAAATTAACCTTGCATGACTGATTTGTATTTTCGCATAAGCTATCAATGGTGCTATATGAAGTACAAATACAGAATACAAAATAGTGCGTTTGAAATGACCATCAATTTGCACTATTTACAAGTAAGCTTATGATTCTTCCAAGCCTCAGTTATCGACGTCTGCGTGGGGACCTCATTGAAGTATACAAGTATACTCATGGCTTATACAAGGTCCCAGAAGGATTACTAGAATTTGAAACAAGAACCAACACCAGGTGCCACAATCACGATTGCTGAACGTACCACAATCACGATTACTGAACGTACCACAATCACGATTACTGAATGTTCCACAGTCAAGATCGCTGAACGCTCCACAATCACGGTTGCTGAATGTTCCACAGTCACGATCGCTGAAAGTTACCCAGTTACGATAGCTGAATGTTCAACAGTCACGATCGCTGAAAGTTAAACAGTCACGAGAGTTGAATGTTCCATAGTCACGATCGCTGATAGTTTAACAGTCACGACCTCTGAACGCTGTTAACCTAACAGTCACCGCTGTTAACCGTGCGGTTTTGCGAACTAATTTGTAGCATTCCTATCGCACAGTGGTGGGCACAGCTAACCGAAAGGTTAGCTTCGATAACCGATAATACTCTAACTAAAAAGTTAGCTTTTATAACGCTAAACCGATAAATGTCCGAAATATTTAGCTGAATTTACCGCTAACCGCCAACTTTTAGTAAATCAATTTAGCTTTGGCTCTATTTTTTGGGGAGGCTCTAAAACTCTGAAAAACAGACCTATATAGAGAGCTGAATTTTTAATATGTTGTAGCATTGACAAGGAGCTTTCCAAAAAGGTATAGCATGCCAAGATCAGATGATGATAAAGATGTACATAAATAATTAAATGAACAAATGAAATTAAGCAATAGTTGACATTCAATATACAATTTATTAAATGAATAAGAAAGTTCATTAAACTAATAAGAAACTGGCACGTTTATGAAAACGTACCTTGTCGTCTTTGACACTGCAAGACTGTAATTAGTTACGTGACTAACGTCCAAAGTGAACACTGAACTGCAGAATTACTCAACGCTGCGTCAACCAATCACGTTTTTTCTACTACAATATGTAGCAGTAACACAAGACGTGATTGATTGACGTACATATGTTGACGTAGTCAGCCATCAGTGTGGCACACGCATTAAATATCAGCATTAATCTAATTAATGATATTATGATTAATTAATTAATTAATCATAATATCATTCAGCATTAAATATTAACACCTGAATTTTCTATCAGAAGAGATTTTTTAAAAAATTTTAACGGTTAGCGGATTAGCGGAACTGTGCCCACCACTGCTATCGCACAACTAATCTCTTTACTTCTAATATAGCTCCGCAGTCAGTCGTTATTCAGGGGTCCTCTGTTTACTGGCGGAGTGGACTATATTTACTCTAGATTTTTTTTTACTGTGGGAAATGAAAAGACTATAAACACCTCCACAAAGATTTGGATAGAACTTTAAATAATCCATGACATATCCCAAACGCGGGTCTAATTCAATGAGAGCAAAGAGGCTGTTACTTCCAAAACATGTCCAATCCACGAATTAAAACACTTCTTCTCCCAGGGCAGCAGTAATAATTAAGCCAAGGGGATGGCAGACGTCAATCACTTACTCACTCATAGACTAAACAAATTGTTTTATTAAACTTCGAATGAGTGCATGTCTCATAGTACTTAATGAAATGAAAGACTAGGAATCATGGGTAACTTGCAAAGTAGCTCATTCCCATCGAATCACATTGCCCTTAGGAGGCTGTTACTTCCAAAACATGTCCAATCCACGAATTAAAACACTTCTTCTCCCAGGGCAGCAGTAATAACTAAGCCAAGGGGATGGCAGACGTCAATCACTTACTCACTCATAGACTAAACAAATTGTTTTATTAAACTTCGAATGAGTGCATGTCTCATAGTACTTAATGAAATGAAAGACTAGGAATCATGGGTAACTTGCAAAGTAGCTCATTCCCATCGAATCACATTGCCCTTAGGAAAGATCGTGTATTCTTTTCAGGACATTTAAATCGGTCGTTCACGCCGCATAAAACCTCTTTTACTGCCATAAAAAAATTTAAATTGCATGTCACACTCGTAAGTTAACAAAAAGTTCAATTAATGTATATTCACAACAATTCTAAAAGACGTAAACATTCCGTTATGCATGTCAACATCCTAAAAAAATACAGAAACAATGTACTAAAAACATTGGGCACGGTCACCTGTGCCTTCCCGCCCTCCCCACTGGGCCTCTCTCAACCCTCCACTTCACAAGACTCCACTCTTGTCATCCTCCTCCTCTCTCTCAACATCCACACGTTCTCCAAATATCCTTTAACACTCTCAAACATAGCCGCAGTTGCTCCCTCAGACAGACCCACAATAATTTCCATCCACTCTTCGCTAGTTCTCTCATACCACACGTCGTTAATCTCGCCTCCCTGATTCAGAATCACCTCCATCAAGGACCATCATATACTGAAGCTCCCTCTCACACGCCCAACATTTCATCACAAAGTGCTCCACAGTTTTCTTCTCATCCCCATCACACATTAAATTTACATTCCCTCCTCTAATTCCACCTGTATGCACGTCCATTCACACCAAGCGCCACTGCCCTGACACAAAATAGAAGGTCCCCACCTCTACTATCATTATACATGTACTCATATTTTGGCATCGCTTTCAGCTAATACAGTCATAGAGAGTCCTTTCCCTCCATCATGGAAGGAAATAATATTTTTATGCTAGACAGCTAGAGGGGGCTAGACAACACCGGGCTGAAGTACAGACGGCAGTAGATCTTTTAGTGATATAGAAGCTATGGAAGGCGATTAACATGCAGCAGGATAAAGCAAAGCGTGCAGAATACACTCATCAGAGAAAGAAACAAAAAGTCGAGGATTAACATGAGTTGGGAAAGCGAAGAATATGTGTGGGTGCTAAGGTTTCACGGTGTAGCACACAATAACTATGAAACACACCTGCATTTTATCTTTAATCTGATGTGTGAGCCGGTGCTTGCAGTTGCCCAAGTGCGGTTCTAACCATGGTTGAATTAATACATATTAATTCAAACATGTTTCTAACAACCTTAACTTTTAATCGCAAAATAATTCGTAATATATACGCCTAATTTTGCTGTATAATTTATAAAACATACTTTTTTCTTTCTGTGATACAAACAATTAATTAAATCAGTGAAGAATAATTTTGATGCAATGAAATATCTATAATTTGAGGAATTAAAATTGGATTTTTTGAATATTTCTGCCAGAACGGAAGCCCTGAGATTTTCGAGGCTGAAGTTGGGGTGGGGTGGTGCTTTTTTTCTGCAGAAGCTCTCAGGCCCAACGGTCATCCTTGCGGTTGTCATGCGGCTTTAAGTCCACCCAGCATGGACACCCGGAAAAGAAGAAGTGGTGCTTTTAGTGTTATTGTAGGGGCGCAGTCGGAATTTTCACTGTTCCGAAATTAACTTTACTTTTACTTTAGGACAGGTCGAGTGGACGCGACGGTGACGGGTGATCGGATGTGTAAACGAGAAAAACGACCGAACTAAGCTCCAAGTTATTGGGAATTTATATCTAATTTTGGAATCGCGATTGAATTTTAGTCGTTGATTCAATCATTCAACTGCTTTCGTCATCACGTCATGGGATAATTGGGATTACTATAAACTGGCAAGAATCAGATAAAAAAGGCAATCTTTCCTGATCTTCCCACACCTCTGGCTCTGGGCTCTGAATATGAATCTGAGAACGTCGCCTCGGAGTACCTAGACGGAGCTCATACGGTCATACTGTTTACCTCCTGGACAACCGGTAGCTAAGCATTCTGCACGTAAATGTGACGTAATCAAAAAGCTGATGGTGGCATGTGCCATGTGTGACGTGACAGTGCAAATGTGCGATCATGCGATGGCCGCCGCCGTCCGCCAATGTGCCAATACAGTGCCATGGGCATGTGATCTGCTTAATGTTGCAGTTGTGAGTCCGGAGCTGGGACGTAGAATATTTACTCCATATTAGAGTGACTAATGACCAGTGAAGTCTTAGTCTAGTGTCTACAACCTTCTTTATTATAGGAAACCTGGAAAACTAAAAGTAATACATAATAAACTAGCTATTAGCCTATTGACCCTATTCATGTCTTGTCTCTTGTGGAGATATCCTTTTTTTACAGGGCATAGGGGTTATTATTCATAACAATATTCTGTATTTTCTTGTTTTAATAATCAATAAGTAGTTTAATTTTAATATAAGTTGTGGCCTTGTGCGTTTGCCTGCAACTGCATAGCTGCATCACTGCATGATGCATCCCATCAAATCATCAATGACTCAATCAGTCTCAATGTCAATGTTGTTGTGAAATGTGAACAATGAATTGAAAGATGAGTTTCAAAGATCCTTTCATCTGCTTTATAACTGAATAACTCCTGGTCATTTGATTCTTGTACTTGTAGTAGCCTAGTAGGTAGATGCTGAAACCATGAAATGGTTGTGTAACATTTAATTTTTTTTGTTATGGTGGACAGGTGGAGTTTATACATAAACTCTATTTTATGTCAGATATTTCAGTAGTTCATGAATTGATCTATGAGAACTGAGCACCAAATTTTTTTAGTGCAATCACTGCATTCTGCAATGTGTTTTTGTAGCTAGGGTAAACGCGGTATATTCCATCACATTAAGGACGCATCAAGAAATGAAAAACTATAAAAAAATAACCGTATGCATTACTCAAGTTCTGTTTGCTTTATTTGACTCGCAAAACACTGTACTACATGCCAGCAACATCCGTCACTGTGTGTGGCAATATTCAGCACGTGGTGAGGCGTATTACATCCGCGCTTCAAGTTCTACTGATTCGTAATGCCGTCATCCACGTGTTCGAATTCCGTTTGCTGTGTGAGCTGTATTGGAATACAACACGGCTCTGAATTAGAACACGAATGAATATTGAACACTGCTTAATTACGCTTTTAATTAACAACTATTAAGCTTTTAATTAAGCAAATTTTAATTTTTGTACACAGCTTGGAACGATCTGTGTACTCTCTTTGGATCTCAATATTTTCCCACTAGATGGCCAAGACCTAGTGTTTTGGCATTAGTTCAACGCGCAAATGTATGACGTCACCATTTCAACCATCAACGAACGCATGGAACTAAAACAAAGCTTAATATAAAGGAAAAACTAAAGAGGTGACGGAATTACCCACGATGACGGAATATACCGCGTTTACCCTAGTTAACCACCCGTATCTTTTCTTTCTATTTAAAATAAATTTTAATGATGGCAAAATTTAACATTGAAAGCAACAATAAATAATTAATTTAATTTGATGGTCAAATTTTGGGGAGTTTGAAGATTTGAATAAAATAAAGGAAATAATTGTGTATATAAGTTTCGTATCCTTGACCATGACGACTGACTAATTCTTGAATTCATGTCAAGCAGAAGTGTTTAACTTTGCTGCCAAGTTGCCAACAATTCAGGAAATCTTGCAAACTGTGGTCAGGTAGATCCTGCATACTAACTCAAAGTTTAATGGTTTGTGTTAGTTTCTGGCTTGTTGTTAAGTCTGTTTGGGTTTGAATGTAGTTTTGAGATTTCTATGTTTGGTGGTTATTGGCAAACCCAGGTACCAATAATGGTTATTTAAGGGCATGTTATATCTACCAGATGCTTATTGTTAACTTTTAGATTAGGATTAAAGATATGCTTATTCTTTAATGCTCCATCATTTCATTACTTTCTCAATTATCTTTCACAGTTTCAAAGGTTATGAAATTAGTTTAAATTGGGCAATAATTTGGTTCTTCTATGTTTGGTGTTATTTTAGCTATAAAGTGAGAGAGATGGTTCCTTGCTGGGGCATTGTGCTGCTCTGTGTGCTTCTCTCAGTGCTCTATGTTGCAAGTCTCTATATCTGGGATGTCAGCAAAGGCAGGTGAGTGTTCCCATTCAAAGCTCTGTGAGAAAATAAATTCAAGTAAATTGGAAACTATTTCCTCCTAAAAAATTGCAAAAGTATTTTATTAAAGAAAGACCTCAATTAATGTTTGAAACTTGCACAAAATCTATTTCCTACATTTGGCCTTTTTATACCTTTAGTTACAAGAATAAATGCATATTGTGTTCTAGTTATCATATATACCGTATTATATATATTATTGTTCTAGTTATTAATGTTTGATGTTACATCTTTCAAGTTCAAGGGAATGCTATTATATTCATTTAGTTACAAATCATATTAACCAAGACTCAAATTCCTGCAGGGATCACCCAAGTACCATCAAGAAGCGCTGCATCAGTGTTGCTGTCATGACAATCTTGTCTCCACTCTTTGTCAAGTTCACCATCAACCCTGATGCCTTTTTACAGGTACATACAAATTGAGGAGACTAAACCATATGATTTACATGAAGTGGCAAGTTGGAGGCAAGTCCAAAGTATTTTTTATCATAAAATTTGTGTGCCTTTTAGGTGTTGATAAAAACTGGCAAATGAAAATAAAATATAGAATATAAGCCTCAAATTTTCTAAGTTGAAAATTATTATCATTGTTAAATGTTTACTGCATCTTGAAAACATATTCTTTTATATAATAGATACATATTGATTTACTAATCTCACTGCATTGTAACAGTACCCTCAAGCTTTTCTGTGACACTTAGATTAAGTTCAGTCCACAGCTTACCATGCAATTCTAATATTATTCATCAATTATTTATACAAAATATGAAGTAGAAATTGAAAATAACATGATGCTGTGATACCCCATACGTAGGAGGTATTGATACCTTAGTTTTTGTTTCACTGTACATTGACCATGAAGATCAGTCGATCCTGTTTAGCACTGGTAGTTTAGGTAATATTTTGCATGAGTTATGTGGCACATATAGGTGAGCTTCTCTGAACTCCAGTTCTGCTTCTGGCATTATAGCATGTGAAATTTTTTTCAGAATTCTTTGCAATTTTGATGTAGGTACATCTTTACTATGGTCAAAACTGGAAACCTTAGGTTATGTCCACCCTTCTCCTCTTATTTGCCTTTGTCCAAGTACTAGGTGTATTTTCATTGTAAAATATAAAATTTTAAGCCTGCAGCAATTGATTTTATAATTTTTTTATGTATTTTTTAGTTGTTGCTGTGAAATACTCAGTAGAATTCCATTCTTCTCTCACACAAACTTTTATCTATTTAACAGCATTAAACATCTATTTCCTTCTGGACCTTCAGTCAACTTATCCCTGCCAAAATCTACAGCAGTAATGGACTTTTATGGATGCTTCACAATTAGACAATTTGTTTCATCTTTCATAATACTTATACCTGATGATTTCCAATGTTCCTAAATGTTCAGTAGAATTCATTTATTGAAATAGACAAATGAATTATGTACTTAAATTAAATAACTTCTAATTTGTCAAGAATAATTATATTTCTGTTGTTGGGGTTTCTATTTGGTTCATCCTATTAATATCATTAGTTTAGTATTTCTTCCCACAAATCAAAAAATATTCCCACATTCTTGTCATCTTCAATATGTTCATTACCATATTAATTTTGGTCTATAAAAATGGAAGATTGCAATATTGTCCTTCAATTATAAATTTCTCCAAGTGTATAGTATAAATTTTTAGATCTTGCATTTTAGGTCACTTATGTACAGGGAACTTTGCTGTGAGAAGAATGACGACTTTCAAATTGTACTAACTTAGACGTTTCCATTACATTAATAATAATTAAAACATTAATGTAATTCCAATGTAATGTTGAATTATTTTACATTAATATCAACTTTTATTGCAGTACGAGTACCCTGCAAGTCCTGAAGCCTTGTTCAGACTGCATGAAGTTATGGGGCTTCGGTACGCAGGCCTGGGCTTTGCTGTGTTGTTGCCTCTGCTGCTCACTGCCACCTTCTTCTCAGGCCCCATCATCTACTGCGTCATGCATGCCAACAACGTCTTCTACTTAAGTTAGTATCTAGGGTTCATTTTATTGTTATTGTTAAGTTAGTAGGCTTTGTTTTATTGTTATTGTTGCATACGCGCATCCATACGCGCTCAGAGGGCGGCTCTAGTGGTGAACATGAAATGGTGGTTGGGGTAGGAGAAATTTATGAAAAAAAGAGGCAAGAAAGCGATTGGAAGGGATCCAATTATATTTCTGTTGTTGGGGTTGTCATCTCGCCTCCAGTTGAAATTTAAGAAATGATTAAAATGATTAAAAAAATGGCCCCTCAATGGATAATGAAGCATCCATAAAGAGGGAGCACATTGAGTCAGCGGTAGGGCCTCTCTCATTCGACCCGACCTGCAATTTTGGTTAAAAATTCATGCGGCATTTCAGGCCATTGATGCTTAAACGTCTTAGACGCGGCGCACGTCGGAAGTTGCTTTGACTTACTCTTAGTTGGCTATTTCTTATTCCTGAAGTTACGTTGGGTGAGAAACCTGCAGAGCCTTGATATTTTGTTTTCATTTTTGTTTGCCAAGTAAGTTCATTTGTCGTTAACCATGGAAATCAAAATCATTAATCAAAAGGCCACTGTTATAGCGTATTTCCCTGTCAATTAATGACATAAAACCTTCATGCATTCTTGGGTTGAAGCAGCTGATTTAAAAAACCCAGACGATTCCGGAAGAATATTCCTGATGAAAAGCCACAAGAACACTAATCAATCTTGCGTCCTATCTTGACTGAATGAAGAAAAAGTATTTCTGCACTTGTGTTCAAATTATCTACCAGTACATGTAAGATGTTGGGCCAATACATGTTGATGCAGAAATGTAAGCCAATCATGCTACACTTGTGACTTGACGCCTTTATTATTATAGTCTTGCAAACCATCTCGTCATATTGCCAGGAGTGATCGTCCCTGATTCCTTTTTCCATGGACAAACAAAGCAACACTACATTCTAGTAGCCCACTTTTTTGCCCTAGCTCACTAACATTAGCTGCCACCCGTCCAGTTTTGTACCATAGCGACACTACATTCTATTAGGCCTCTTTTATGCCCTAGGTTACTAAGATGAGCTGCTACCAGTCCAGTTTTGTACCAAAGCAACACTACATTCTATTAGGCTATTTATTTGCCCTAGCTCACTAACCTGCGCTGCCACCAGTCCAGTTTTATACCAAAGCAACACTACATGCTATTAGGNCATAATGAAATTTTATTTTTATTTTATTTTTATTTCATTTCATTAAAGTATTCGTATATTTTAATGTTCACGTGATCTGTTTCTACTGCTGATGTTTTTGTTCACAAGGAAATTTAAGCCTCTTTGGTGTAGGTCAGTAAAGTATTTTTTATTTGCTGCAAGCTGTCCGGTGAAAAACACTAAGATTGTAAGATGTTTCATGGTCACTTCATCTGTTTTACTACTACAATTGTTTTTGTTAAAAGGGGAATTTTAACAGTTAAATTTATTTTAAAGTTTTTTTTTGTTATGGGTCACTACTCACTAATATGATGAAACTTTCAAGATATGACTAAAAAATGTAGTTAAGCTTATATTAGTTGTTTTTGCTTTTAGATAGAATACAGTTTGATACGAACAGTTTTGATGGATCAAAAATTCATTGAAATCTTTTATCGCAATTGAAATATCAATAATCTAGTAATTTTGAAACCTTGAGAGATGAAAACCACTTTCGGTTGCAAGTAGCTCTAAATTTTGATAAAATTATTTATTTTTAGGCATCACATTTTTCATTGGATGAATGGAGGCCGAGACATTTTTTAATCCCAAGTGCCTTGGAAATAACGAACTTAATCTTTGAAACTTGAGCATAGAAAATTCCTTCTTACTTTCTGTTGCTGTTCTCCTGTTCCTTCTTACTTTCTGTTGCTGTTCTCCTGTTCCTTCTTAATTTTTGTTGCTGTTCTCCTGTTCTTTCTTACTCTCTGTTGCTGTTCTCCTGTTCCTTCTTACTTTCTGTTGCTGTTCTCCTGTTCCTTCTTACTTTCTGTTGCTGTTCTCCTGTTCCTTCTCACTTTCTGTTGCTGATCTCCTGTTCTTTCTCACTTTCTGTTGCTGATCTCCTGTTCTTTCTCTATTTCTAGCGCTGTTCACACACCACATTTTCATTATTCGTCTGTCGCCGCCTCTCTCTTGTCTATTTTCACACCTGGAAATAGACGAGATTTTTCGCATGTCTCTTATAATGAATACTTTCATCTAGAACAATTTCTTACATAATATTTTATTGATGATTGAAGCTTCCATTTTGTTGCTGTTGTATCAATTCTACTGACACTTGTTTGCTGTGCAGCACACATCCACCACGCCATCGAGAGAGTGCGCATTGGCATTCCGGTGTCGGCTGTCGCCCTCGGCACAAGTCAGTCTCTATATAATTACCTTTGTTCTTCTAGCTCTTGTTTAGTCCTTTGATGTTCCTAGTGCAATATAAATCTACGTTTTCTTTTACATTTTATTGTTTATTTGTTTTTACTTCATTTATGTTTCCAGTTAAAGGATTAAATTTGTCTTTACTGGGAAACAACGGTCAAGTTTTTCTGTAATGTGCCTCGCAAGTATGAAAATAGGAAAAAAAATCTTTAAAAAAATCTCAGTTCTCAATGCTTGGCTGACGAGTCAAAGGCTTGCATCTGAAAGCGAGGTAACGTGTTGTAACATTTTTTAGTTTAGTTATAAAAATAAAAATTTAGTTCCGCTAACACTAAGTATAGAAAAAAAATTATTCACACTAATCTGTTATTTCAGCGCAGCCTCATAAGAGTTATTAGTTAGTAATCAACACCAAGAAAATGTATTGGTCATTTTGTCCAAATAATGATGCACTATTCTAGCAGAGAACGGCCATATGTAGCACTGATACCCTCTTTTGCCGGGCCAAACTGTGTCGAGATAACCCACTCGAGGGCATGAAGTGCTAAGCTATTTGGATTATGAAACACTTGTTTCTCTGAGTGTATACAGTGTTGGTGATGAGTGATGGCCGCTTGGTTAAGTATCCTCATGAATGGAATTTATCTCATGTAGTCTGATGAATGCAAGTGCTATGGTTCTCATTGCTGTGCACAAACTCCAAGTAAATTAACCATTTAATCATTGAAACCGTCTTGGAAAATGCCATTGTATTCTAAATAGTTTTTTGAACTGATGATTTAGTTTGTGATTAAAACGCTTCCAATAACGATTTGGTGACATTGGTTTCTCTTACTTAATATTAATAATAATATAATTATAAAGTACTTATAATATTATTATTATTATATTTATTCTACATATATTATTATACATAATATTATTACATTTACATAATCACTAATCTCTTGCCAGCGTACGAGCGTTTGCTACTCTAAAGTTCCATCCACTATTTCTCTCAGAGAAATTCATGATACTTTGTCCAAATAACGATGCTCTTTTGCCCTTACATGGGTCGTCTTGACCCAGTTTGACCTGATAAAAAAACTTATCAGTGCATCACAGAGCAAGTTTGCCACTATTTGGATAATATAACCCATACATATCCATGAGTGATATTTCTTGATGATGAATAAGTCTTTATATTTTAGCTTAAGGCAACTTGCTCTAAAGTTAATGTATTATTTAAGTATTTTGAATTGCTATTAAAACTTGTATTTTATCTTGCAGTATTCCAGTGCATCTTCACGTCGGTGTTCGGCATGTACAGCGCCTTCTTGTTCATGAAAACAGGTCCGTGTGTCTGCCTTACATATAAAGTTTTTTATGCCTCACCTTCCTTAAAAGTTTTTTAATGCCTCACCTTCCTTAAAAGTTTTTTACGCCTCACCTTCCTTGAAAGTTTTTTACGCCTCACCTTCCTTGAAAGTTTTTTACGCCTCACCTTCCTTAAAAGTTTTTTACACCTCACCTTCCCTAAAAGTTTTTTACGCCTCACCTTCCTTAAAAGTTTTTTACGCCTCACCTTCCTTACAAGTTTTTTATGCCTCACCTTTCTTAAAAGTTTTTTACACCTCACCTTCCTTAAAAGTTTTTTACGCCTCACCTTCCTTTAAAGTTTTTTAAGTTTTGCGGGCCTTGCGTTCAGAGTTTCTTCTGGTAACCAAATTTGTTTCCGTTCTTAGCGCAAAAGTTAGTTTTTTTATTTCAATTTTAAGATTCCACTTTATTAGTTTTGTGTCAGAACATCATTTTATGCATTTATGCATATTTTACAAAATATTTGTTGTATATTTTTTCATCGTTTGATGTCATGAATACATTTAACGGCACTTTCCTTGATAACCGGCAAAGCAATACTTATTAATTTTATAGTTAACCTTAATACCTACCGCTTTGTTTGCGTTACTTTTAGCTAATTTTCAGTGCATTTTTTTTAATATGAACAAATGCTAAATTTATGTGTTCATATTTTCTGATTAAACTTACTTTTTTATTAAACTTTAAACTTAAACTGTCAATTACGGGTCATTATAGTTTGCTTCCATCTGCATAAGTGGATGTAAGCGTTCAGTCAAAATACATTCACAACAAAATCTTACAAAATGTTTTCATAACAAACATATTAACATAAATACAATAAAAAATAATGAATGAATTGTGTTGACAATAAGATCATGTCTACCTGATGTCGCACTCAGATAACTCAATACATCATATTGTCCAAAACTCGGCAGCCTCCGTTGGCGCTTCTTGACTTGTTGTAACTCCCTTTATTTGATATCTCTGTTCCGGTTATATTGGCTTGTGGTCAAATTACGCATCAGTTGCTTCGGGTCTTTTCTGCTGTGACGATTTACTTACGCTTATTCTGGCACTCTCAATTGGCCTTAATGTCGGCTCATAACCTAATAAATTTTCTTCCAAACGAGGCAAAATTTGTAAAAATCACGCGACTCGTGGCAAGTAAAATAGGCAAAATTTTCTCTCGCATCCAATTTTAACTTCTTATGTAATTTTTACTTATGTCATTATTTACTTCTGTCATTATTTACTTCTGTCATTATTTACATATGTCATTATTTTACTTAAAGCGCAAGTTCACCAAGAATTTAAAGGCAAGGAAAACGCCAAGTACATTAACCATTTCATTATTGAAAACCTTCCGGAAAATACCATTGTATTTTATACAGTTTTTTAAACTGATGATTTAGTTTGCCTTCAAAACGTTTTCAATGACGATTTGTTGAATTAACTAATCATTGTTCTGTGTCAACTAATTAACTAATAATCATCACTAATCAATAAACTAACCATTGTTGTGCCTCAATCTTTACTATCTACAGACTGAGTTCCCTTAATTATAAATTCTTTCAAAGATTTATATTCTTCATTGCAGTCAATCGTTAACAATAACTTTTAATGTGCAGGTCACTTCGTATCTGCGTTCGTGACGCACGCTTTCTGTAACCTGATGGGCCTCCCTGACGTCATCGAGATCTTACAACTACCTGCACGACAACGCTACCTGCACCTGTGCCTGCACCTGTTAGGTGTGGTCATGTGGTACCTGCTGCTACCATCACTCACAGCCTCCTGCAGGTTCCAGACCGTCATTAATTACCTACCTGACTTGTGAGACCATGACTACCATCAAGCATCGTAGTAGATTTGTCTACACTGAAGGGATGTTAAACGCTACTTGTGACTTCGCAACAACGATCAAATTTTATGGCGGAGATTCTTGTAAACTTGAATGAATTTTGTCGATATTTGTGAGACTACGGCAACCTGAAAACCCTGTTGTAGATTAATGATAGCTTGAAGGAAAAGTTAGTATTTGAATCAGGCCCACTGTAAAAGTATTCGGTTTCGAACATAAGAATTTAACCTGAGATCCAAAAAAATAAACTCGGTTTTAAGCACAAATAATAAAACTTGGCAAAAATTCTAAATAAAATCGACGCAGTATTGAGCTTCAAGCTTCTGCTTGCCTCTCTTGCCTCTGTGGCTTCCTCTAATTTTTTACTCAAATTTTGTGTTAGATATCGCAGGATAACTTTATCCTTCACTCCTATACTTAAGTTCCTGTGCCAAATTTCGTCTAACGTAGCCATACCATATTACAATTTATTGCATATTACCCTTTATTGCATATTACCCTTTATTGCATATTACCCTTTATGTTTAGTCTCTGGAAAGTTTCTCGACTGCATTTTCCGTTGAAGTTGTTACATGGAACACGACTCCATCAGCAACCCTGGCAAAAAAATCCTTTAAATGCTTACAAGACGTCGAGCGTTTGGTTCATTGCTTTACATAATTCATTAATACTATTAATAGCTGCACTCAATAAGGTTGCTATTAATTTATGTATACTATGATAACCTTTAGTTTTGAAGTTCGGCTAGACCTTTTAATTACTCTTCCTTTGCTACAAATTCTAGTTTTGAACTAATCGATGTCTTGCAGAAAAAAAGGGTCCAAGTTCTAGTTTGCCACTCGGCTAGACTCTGTTTTTTATGGATTGTTTGCTGTACATGTTTGAAAGAAAGCTAGACCTACTTTCGGCTTGCATCCGATTGTTATTTTTAATTAAGAAGTATTATTAAGTATTGAATAAATAACCACTACCATAAGTTATCGAGCGTCGTGTTCAATATTTAAGTGTTCAACTTCTGCCTTTCACACAATGTTAGCTCACTTAAAAATGAACTGAAGCAAAACAAATAATTTAAACTCACCGGTGAACTAAGCCCATCATTATTCAATAGATTTTTTTATCTTAAAAATTATGTGCACCGAGTATTATTGAAGAGCAGCCAATGGTGTCGGGGCTTGGTAGCGCGATAACTCAGTTGTTGTGAGCGCAGGAGGAGGCGCTGAAGTTGCCCGTCGCGGCTCAAGCCTCGAGACGGAATGTTTTTATACAAGTTAACATTGATACCAGTTAACGTTGACAGCAGTTTATGTTGAAACCAGTTTATGTAGGCAGAAGTTTATGTTGAAGCCAGTTCATGTAGGCACAAGTTAATGTTGATACCAGTTTATCTCGACACCAGTTTATGTCGTCAGAAATTTATATCGGCACAAGTTTATGTTGATATCAGTTTACATTGACACCAGTTTTCGCTGACACAAGTTTAGCAGTTTATGTTGACATAAGTCAACCAGTTTATGTTGGCACAGGCTTAACCAGTTAACATTGCCTCAAGCTGTCCCGTTGATGTTGACAGAAGTAGCTTTTGTAGCTGAAGTCTTGAGCAGGCGAGTGCAGCTAAAGCAATAGACACCAAGCCAATAGCTTCATCGCTCGTCGTCGCAGTCTTGCTGGTGATAATTTGCTGGGATAAAACATTCAAGTGTTACGTACTAAGTTGTGTTCAATAGTAACGTCTTGCATTTCCTTTGTAAAATTACTAGTTTATGAGGAAACATTAATCGGTCTGTGAATCTCCTTGTATAGCGCACTCGTCTGTTGTTCCCTTCTTAAGCATGAACGTAACTCTTCATGGAAATTTATTTTGTCTTCATTGCTGACGTCAACATGAACATTTTTATGATGATTTACTCTGTTGCTGAAGAAAGATATCGTTTGAACTACTCCCCGCACTTCAGCCTCCTGCCTATGTCTAAATATTTTGCAATACTAGACATCGCCATACTCTCAACTTCGTGCATTTATGACGAGAATGAGAGATTACTGATATTGCTCGGGCTTCCAAGCTGTACAATTAAGAAGAATTAGTAATTTGCAGTAATTTTGTATATTGTTACTCTAAATTGTACCATCTTCCTCTGCACGGCGAGCGTATCTTTTCTCCAAAATATTTTATTATTCACATGAAATATCTTCATAAATTACAAATTAGATATTCTCAATTCTGTTTGTTTCAAATTCTGTTCTGTTAGATACCGTCTGTTATTCGCTGCCATTCGTATTGAATAAGAATGTCTGATATTTTACATTATTTTAATTTCTAGCTGTGATCTCTAGTCCGAAACTCTGTTGCAATTTGTTTGCTTGATCCTTTCCGTTCCCTTGCAATCGTCTGGGCTTCCAATTTCACGAGTTCTCTTGTTTTTGCTCAAGTGTTCGCTGATTCTTAGTTACATTCATCATAAAGTTGTTCAAGCCGCCATTTTTATACAAGTAGTCAAGTAGTGTAGGTGTATATAGATGTTGATCAACTTGTCACTAAAGGCGCAAAAGAAAATCTACCGTTTTTTAAAAAAACGCTAGATTGTACCGTTTTAAATTAACGGGTACATTTTTAATTAACGATTAATTTTTAATTAACGATTAATTTTTAATTAACGGTTAATATAATTGTTCTTTATTGCATATATTATCAGGAGCTGTACTATAAAAACTTGCTTTAGTACACTTAGCGTAGCGTGCTATGTTTGAAATACTGTCAGTGATTGGCTTACGGAATGAGGAACTCGTAACTATTTCGATAAAATAGCCATTGATATTTTTTATTCATTAACTGTACTTATTAATTTATATAAACACATCTTGTACTTCGCGTCAGTGACATCATCAGCACCAGCCATTATAACTCTACTAGTGAGACAGGTGCCGCTAGACTTGTCTTTATTGCGTCCAAGTAATTATAAATGGTCAGTTATTAATGTGTCTAATTTTTTATAAGGTGTCTATTAATGAATCAATTTTAATTGATGAGTTATTTTCTAACTGGAATTATGGGTGATTCCTGGAGACGTTCAGCTCACGGAACCCAGTTACGCCGCTGCGCGTTGCCGTCGTAGTTTTCGGTGATGTGGAATCTCATGACAAAGATTTTCTGTGTCGATAAAAGTAATGATTAATTTATTGCATTTCTTTTTGATTATCTGTGATGATTAACGCAGTGCGCGTTTTGTAAGTGTAATGATTTACGCATTGCGCGTTTTGTATGTTTAATGATTTACGCATTGCACATTTTGTATGTGTGATGATTTACGCATTGCGCGTTTCGTATGTGTGATGATTTACGCATTGCGCGTTTTGTATGTGTGATGATTTACGCAGTGCGCATTTTGTATGTGTGATGATTTACACATTGCGTGTTTTGTATGTGTAATGATTTACGCAGTGCGTGTTTTGTATGTGTAATGATTTACGCATTGCGCGTTTTGTATGTGTGATGATTTACGCATTGCGCGTTTTGTAAGTGTAATGATTTACGCATTGCGCGTTTTGTAAGTGTAATGATTTACGCATTGCGCTTTTTGTATGTGTAATGATTTACGCATTGCGCGTTTTGTTAAGTGTAATGATTTACGCATTGCGCGTTTTGTAAGTGTAATGATTTACGCATTGCACGTTTTGTAAGTGTAATGATTTACGCATTGCGCTTTTTGTATGTGTACAAGGTCAGCCATTCTTCAACAAGGGTTCAATTTTAACCGTTATCTGATAGAGAACAAAAATTTTTCGATATACGTCGGTCTCTAGAAATTATAGAACTTGAAGACAGACAAGCAGACCGGAAATACGAGCTTTTTGGTTTTCCATTTTATCGCTTGACTATAATATTTATTTATTTGATTATACAAGTGTATGTTACTCTAGTTGTATTAACAAAAAAATATAACCACCAACGAAATCAGCATGTTTGCTTCTATTTTATGTTTCCGTTGATTCCACGAAACAGTGCAGTCACAATGCCTTTACGCTCATTTGTTCTCACACTCTTTGTCACGGACGATTTGCACGTATTTACGATGCATCGAACTATCAAGCAGGACAGCAATACATTGTCTTACTTCCTTGCTTGATCGCTGGTGACACATACCTAATAAACCATCACCAATAAACGATTGAATTAATAACCAGTATTACTATCACAAGCTTTATTTTTATTCAAAATAAAGGAGAATTGGTTTTGCCAGAAGGGTATGAGTAGCGCATCAAGACCACACCCCCGGTCCGGGCGTCTTGCCACACACTGAGCGCCGTGCCCTGGAATTGGGCACCTGGACCCTTGTGCTCCAGCCTGGAATGTCCGGCAGAGGGGCGGGGAGCTGGCCTTCCAAGGGGGTGTTGGCGTCGCTCTGGAGACGCGATTGTACAAGAGACGTGTACCTCACATGTGCTTTATTCCAACACGAAGCACGGCTCGTTAGTCGCGGTCCTAATTAGAAATCGTTTAAATGCATAGTAAAATGCATAGATGAAGCATAACCAACCAGAGTATGTGTGCATCAATGACGAGCAGCAATAATTTAACGCTAACTTGCGGTTGCTTTTTTTTCTCCCCCTGCTTTTCTCTGTACAATTACGATGACAACAAACCGTTATTATGGCCGACGAAAACATTGAAATTCTTGTCGTGGCCTATCGTGATGAAAAGGCCACATTTGATGACGATTTTAGATTCCTATATCAATATTTCCTAAATGAAGAATAACGAGTCCACAAGTTCAATTTTGTTGCAATACGACTAACATATGCAAAACGACTAACATAACATACAATATACGACTTTCAAAATCAACTCGTCTCGTAAATCAATTTGTGCCCTATAATTTTTACATCCTAAGTGACAGGCCTTTAAATGTAGTGAGAGAAAAACACAGAAATTCAAAACCGTTCTTTTTTTTTACTGGAACTCTTACACGAAAATTCCGCGTTTAAACACGAGTATCTCCGCACTACCCAACACGTGGCAACTAAAGTGAAAAAAGCCTTGGCTGAGAGATCGATATTGAAACTCAACACGTCGGTAAAATCAATGCTGGATTTAAGGGTGTAAAGTGTAAACCGTCGGCGAGTACCATAGATACTGATACACATACACCATAGATACACAGCTCCACAGTACCAAAAACAGTCTCGGCGAAAACCAAAGACAGTCACGAATCGTAAGCTGTGTTCACGGCATAAGAGCAGATTTCATCAACCTATCAGTACGTCAGATAATCTACGTCATATTCCAATACAGTAGTTAGTACAATATGATTCACAAACTACCATTCAGTGAATGCCGACATGTAAACTAATTAAACTGAAATTAAACTACCATTCAGTGAATGCCAACATGTAAACTAATTAAACTGAAATTAAATACTATATTCAGTTTGTACGAGTACTTCAAAATTTACATATTTTACTGACACTTTTTAAAGATGGCAAAAATCCTGAAATAACACGGCCGTTTGTCGGTGACAAAATGCTGATTCATCTACATCGTGAATGCTTCATCTACAAAAAAATTGTAGATGAAACATGGTACAGATTCGTCTCCAAATGCTGATTCATCGTGATGAATCAGCATTTGATATAACATGCTGATTTATCACGATGACAAAATGCTGATTCATCGTTATAAAATGCTGATTCATCGTTATAAAATACTGATTCACCATGCCAGAACGCTGATTCATAAAGAAATATGATAAAATCATATTATCATTTCATAATCAGAGATTGAAAACTACATAGCAACTTGAAAATACACATAAAAATTATGTCAATATTAGCTCCAGTTTATACGGTGTTCTCAGGCTGTGACGCATTTATTTAGTTCATGAAACGTATTAACTGATATAAATCAAAATGAGACAAGTTCGTAATATTTAGCACGGCCATGTTGTTAATGGCAAAAATCATGATACAAGGCCATTAGACCACCATTAGACCACAAGGCCATTAGACAAATACCATTAGACCACAAGGCCATTAGACAAATACCATTAGACCACCATTAGACCACAAGGCCGTTAGACCAATACCATTAGACCACCAACCCATCACCAACCTCGCACGCACAAAAGGACAGTGTTCACTAACTTAGGGATGGCCACCGCCAACACCAACAAGGTTAGCGGTGCCACCGCCACCGCCAGAAACACTTTCATCCAGAAGCCATTTTGAACCGTCGCGGGAAGACGTCTACCTATAGTCCACCACCAGACAAACACAAGCACCAGGAAAACAAAACGCATACTTTCCTCAAACAATAAATTCCCAACAGGCCAATAACCAACCTCAGCGACCACAGTCACAACGCACTGAACATCAGCGGGGCAGTCGTCCGGCTCTGTCACGTCCGGCACGACGAGCATCATCTGACGGCAGATATTGTATCATATTATTATCTATTATATTAATAGTACTGACATTATCGTTCATAACACTATAAATATCTTTTAATTAAAGATATTCATAGTAAACATGTTGCGCACCACTCACCTGGGTGCAGACTAAGAGGTGGTCCATGTTTTCCAAGTGGTCGTCAGAGAACCATGATGGTGACTCGGGTAACCTGCGCGTAGCCATCATTAATTCCGACATATTCCGGGCCTGAAACATAGCACATGTTCAGCATATTGTTCTGCACGGCGGACAGTCAGCAGCACGGAGGACAGAAATGATTAAATATGATGATGGACAGGAAACGTATTGGTACATATGCGTACCACGAAATGTATTTCTCCAGGAGGTAGTGGTACATAATTCAGGTTGCCTAAAATCGGCCAAATCCGAAAACAAAAAAGGCCAAAATTTCAATGTATACTAGTTTATTTGTAGCTTCCGCTATAAAAATTCCATTTATTTTCTTTTTGCAGTATTTAAAATTTAATTAGGAAGTACCCCTATCATAAATTTTAGCCAGCCAACGCAATTGAGAAAAACTAAATCACGGAATTTATCCGGAAAAAATGACCGTCTGGCAACCCTGCCTAAAAAATTTACAAAAAATGAAATAATAGTACAAGATGAAGCAATCGTAGTCAACATGTTAAGATTAGCATCAGCAGTACAGAGCTATTCTATTCTTGTTCTAAGCTATTAAATTTTCAGTGAACTACCAAAATGGACTACGTATCATCACTTAACATATATAAACAATAATGCCAGCACCTTCACTCCTGCAATTTCCACTGCTTCTAGAAGGGCGCGCCGCTCAGGTTGGTTGAAGGAGGCAGGCACTGGGAAGATGACCTCCTGAACCTGCTGCCCGGTGAGGGCCGACACTTGTTTCTTCACCTCCTGCAGCACATATGCCACCAGTTCCTCAACGTTCAAGCTTCGCTCGCTGCACAGGAAGTGACCATTTTAAGAGTGAACATCAAGGCGGTCAGCCGCGGTAGTCGCCTATGGCGTTTCTAAGCTATGTGGACATGAGGGATGTGAAGGACATGAGGGATGTGAAGGACATGAGGGATGTGAAGGACATGAGGGATGTGAAGGACATGATATGCGTCCAGCAGTTGCACCGCCAGGACCTCAACTATCAGGCTTATCTCTCTGCACTGGAGGTGGTCGTATCAAGTATATATATACGAGGAAAAGAATAAGGGACATGAGGGACCAAAGGATGCTAGTCTGGATGCATCATCTGATGTATTTATTTGACAAATTGCTCACTCTGAGGTCCTGAAAATGACAGTCTCTCGTTCAGGGTGGGGGAGGATGTTGTAGAAGGGGTGGGCCTTCATGTAGGCCTTCACGGTGGGGTGATCCACTGGCTTGCCTAGCAGCTGCAGGATGTTGCCGTCCAGAGCACTCGATAGCAACCTGTGGCAAAAACACAATGTTCAGAGTAACTTGAAGTTGTTGAATTTTACATCTGTTTAATGGTTCAAAGCTAACTTTAACACTATAAGAATGACGAAAATTATTAAAGCTCAAAATTTGCTCTCGAGGTAAAGATGCAAAATAATCATTTTCATTGCGCCACATAACAAAAACAATATTTATTTCAACAAGATTTTTATCAAGCCACTTTGCTGCTTGTTTTATATGTTGATAACTCACCTCATGCCAGCAGTGATGGTCCCAATCCTCTTGCCATCTAGGGTGCCAATAGCCACAGGTCCATCTCCATTGCGGTCCATCTCCATTGGCATCTTCGGCTGCACAATAAAGCATACGGTATGTCTCAAAGATTGTTGATATTCCTAGACAAGGAATCATTGTAATCATTCAATTGTTTGTCTAGCAGAAACCTAGAGATTCAAGGACAAAAAGTTATTTAGAACAATAGAACAAAAACAAATCGTTAGAACAAAATTACAATAATATGGACCAAACAGTGGCTGAAATTGTCATCTATTTTGAAATGTTTTGCCACAGCAATTGAAAAATTTTTAAAATCATACATGAAATTCATATTCAGACAACATTATTGCTCATATTCAATACAAATAATGCAGGAAAGTAAAATGATAAAAAATAGAAATGTACAATAAAAACAACATAATAAAACTTTGTAATTTCAAAAACTAATTGAGTGTAATTCATTTAAAAAAGTTGAAACTTAAAAATAAAATGCAACTTTTCCGTAAGTCATTAGACCTTGGTCACAATTAGACAATTGCATACCTACTAGTAGGAAAATACTGAACTAAGATAAAATACATATAATTAATCTATTCACTTACTACTACAACAGCCACTTTCTGGTAGTCAGTAGGATGGCAGCCAGGTCTGAATAAAAGAGCTAAAACAATGCCATACATGGCCAAATAACAGACCAACTCTCTGGAACTGATAGGCATCCTGATAAATGAACTAGAAGCAAATGGGATGTACTACTTAGTGAACAGTTAGGGGCTGATAATAGGGGCTTAGACTGAGAGCCTGTTGGAATGAAGATAAATTAGAAGAATAGTACAGATAATATACCATAAAGGGGGTNAATCAGGGTTGGCAATGATTAAATCAAAATGATTAAATCATGTGATTAAATCACTAGATTTTTTATAAAAAAATTATGATTTTTAAATTTTTTTTTCAATTTTTTTTATATATTTAAATATATTGAGTGACAGTCTTCAATTTATTTTGAGGTATTGTTATTCATGGTACAGTATAAATGTACTATGAAAAATTGGAATATAAACCTATTGCCTTCAGTCTTAGTGTGTATTATATTCCAATGAATTGTATGTTTTTGGTATACAGGTATCAAGTGTTGCAATACATTGTACATATAACATAGCTAGCAGCCTAGCTAATTCTTATAAGGCTATAAGTAGTCTTTACCTATTTGACTATTATATACGTATTAATCACACTATACAATTTACATGTATTTGCTAGCTTATATAAGAAGGGTTGGTTGAGATTGTATTGACCTTTTAGGCAATTAGAAAGATTTTCCAGCCTAATACTAGTAATTCTAATTAAAATATTTGATTTCAATCCTTAAATATGTGAACAATTATAAAACTATTTATAAAATAATTAAATGCAGTGAATAGAAATAAAATGTTTGAATTTTTTTTTAATCCCAAATGAAAAATCATCTTGTTCAAATATATTTAGAAATTTTGTGAGGATGAAGTGATGCTAATACCTAACAACTAACATACTGGAAGTAACAAGCTGAATTAAGCTGTACTGCTGTACAGTCACAGTGGTACTGCTTATCTCAAACTCAAAGTGAGCATTTATAATAATGCTGATAAAAAAGTGAATATGCTAGACTGCTAGTGCAATTGCAATATGAATATCATCACTATTATGTGTGTCTAAACTAAAGAAATGTGAATGGCTTTGTCATCATGCCATATCTAAATTAGGGTAAGCTGGAGACTGGAGAGTGTTGGTAATGGTACCTATCCTAATTTAAAATTTAGATATGGTTAGTTCTACTTTTGAGATATGTGGAAAAAGGATTGATATCAGGAATTCAGGAAATAGGAATCATGATTCCTATTTCATAAGGCGTGCAAAAGACCTATAGGCTATTTCAATCAAAAATGCACCTACTCCATCAATTAGGCATTAGATCCTGGGTTAAGCAGGGATGGGCCCATCCGCCCATGATGATGGGTAGCCTACATCTCCAGCTCCAAGCCTCCAACCAACCCTTGCAACCGTGCAAGTATATTTTTAAGAGTCACAGTCGGGTGGCACTCGTACCCTTGCGCCGTATCATAATTAGAAAGTTTAGTTTTGAAGCTCACCTTCTGCTCCTCACACACCTAAAAAGTATTTATGATATATATTTAGCAAATAGCGATTATTCTGGTGGGCACAAATTATAACAAATAATTAGGCAACTTATCAATCGCGTCCGTTTTCCCTAACTTGGTAGTTGGTTCTACTGCGAAATTTCGTACTCACTAATGTCTCACTTTTCGTTGAAATTCGTTCTAGAGGGTAACGTTTTCAAACAATTAGCGCGAAAATTTTTACCTCAAGCATCAGTGGTAATGAAGTATTTTTTTTCATAATAATACGGTGGATACTCCATAATTGAATAAAAACCCCAAGTACTCATTTAGTGTAGTAACAATTGGGACAAAATTGAACATAGTTGTGAACTACTTAGTCAACTATAAAGCAAGCCATATCTGCTTTAAAACACAAATAATTTAAAATATTAGTTATTTGTTAGCTCTTAATTACGGGAATCGGCCATATAGCGATTTCGATGACCAATTGTGCGGTTGTGACGATGACACGGTCGCAAATGTTGTCTAATCGATTGATGTTTCTCGACATAATTCTGCTCGTGTATTATTAATTTCTTACTTACTGAACTATGCTTATCATCAGCGGAAACGATCTACCAAAGCTCTACAATTATTGGCGAACTTTTATACCAAGACAGGATTTTAGATTGATACGTTAGCAATTTGTCTTTAGTCGAGATTTTTTACCACCGAACCACATCTACACGATTTTCGTAAAAAATGGAAAGTTTCAGTATATCCAAGAAACTTTTATATATTTTTTAATTTCGAGTATTTCGAGAGAGAATTTCGCGTCATCTGCACGGTGGTCCCAAGCTTCCAGTCTGATCTATTAAAAAAACATTTTGACTTGATCGCTTATGCGCTAAGGCTCGTGTCAAATTCTTTGTTCTCGTGTTGAGTATTATCAGAATTCTACGAATCATTTTTCGTGGCGTCTGGTTCAAACGAACTTTGAGGGCACGTCACACATAAGTTTAATAGCAAGCAAAAAATAAATGGACAAGAAAAAGAATGGGAATGGATATAAATGACTAAGCATTTGATTCATAGGTTCTACGAAATAGTTCAGTCTTCAAGCGTCTACGAAACACCTACAACGAAGGAGCCGATGTTACGGAAGCCGGCAGACTGTTCCAGGTGACCGGGAACGCTCTGTCGCCGACGGTAGACAGATATGTAGATGGAGGACCGCTGTTGATGGCGAACGCAGTCTTCTTCTTCTGTTTGTGGTTGAAGGAGCTCTGGAGACGCGTCCAAGGTAGCCCCTCGACAGGACGGTGATTTACGGGGGTTACGTAACTGTGGACAAAAAGTCAGAGATAAGACACTTCAAAGTGCAGACTTGCTAAGAGAATGTTGCTACTGGAAAGGGCAAATGCTGCGTTTAGGTTTATATGCATAAGGTTCAAATATATGTTCATATTTCATCCCGGGTTAGTGTCCACTGACATGCCCTGCACTCAGCCTCACAGGAGATCGTATGTTCTACCGAAGGTCCAGCCTGGGCGGCACAGCCTGGGCGGCACAGCCTGGAGCTTCCTCCGACCAAAACGGTCTATCAATATGGGAGAGTGAGTTGCTACCTCACAACAAACAAAACTCCTGTGGGCATGTATCTGAAGGATCAAACATTGGGAGTAATTTTGAGGTGAGCAGTAACAATCTTTACAAAGGCAGTCACAATAAGCTGCACACAAAAGACTAAATAAAGAACTGTTTCCAAAACGACTGCAGAGAGTGATTCTGCTCACATCAAATTTGGCACTTAGTTTAGTGCAAGTTGGATGGAACTGAATGGGATATGGGAGTTAGTTTTCCCACACGTTTTAGTTGGTTAGTTAAGTTCGAACTAGAGATTTTGTATCAGTGCTTATAATAGATGAAGAGTTTTAGTAGCAGATAAAAATGTGGCTAGGGACATCATCTATTTGATTCTGGATGGGGCAGGGATAAGGGCCTCCTCCAAGCAAGTTCTGCAGTGTGACAGGGATATCGAGTCGAGTCAGTGTGTTAGTTAATTGGAAGCGCGCTGGGGCATGCTGAGGGCAGTGCAACAGCAAATGTTCTATGGTTTCAGGGGATCTACAGGAGCAGAGAGGACTATCACAGAGTTTAAAACGAACTAAATGGGCCCTAACACCTGCATGGCCGGTACGTAGCCGGGCTAAGGCGGTCTCAACTGTACGTTTATTATCATGGGCCCAGGGCCAGAAGCCTACCTGGTTTTTAATGAGTCTAAGAAAGTGGCATTTGCCTGGTTTTTGACATTATCTAACTAGGATTGATTCCAGCTAGTCTGGACCCGATCATGGGCAAGTCTTATCAGCTCTTCCCTGGACATGACGGTGATTAGGCTAAGGTAACATGAGGGCTGTCTATTATTTACGAGATGAATGGATGCTTGTGAATCGGTGAATATAGCAATTTTTCCTGTTGTGAGATTATTCTGAGACCAATGCAAGGCTTCTCGAATGGCAAAAAGCTCCGACTCTATTACCTCTACCTCCGGACGGGTCACCTGCCGAAGACCACCACTGCCCTGGATGTAATGGACCATCATGATTCCTGCCTTCCGGAACGAAGCCTTCAACACTACAAGCCGTCCGTATCTAGGCCGTGGGTCGAACCAACCCTCAGTCGAACGGCCACTTGTCGAAGGACGAAAATTTTTGGAACCGAACTATGCTATCTGAAACATAACCTCAGATGCGGTGAACGTAAAATTACGTAATTTAACGATGCCCGGAAGTCAGATTCGATCCGCGGCCTGGTGGTGTACGGCAGGTTCTATGCGAGGCCGGAGGAAGACAAAGCCGAGTGGTTCACGGCTGATTGGTGGGTGTCCGGAGATATCCAAGGCATTCGATTCAGGGCTTATTGGTGCACAAAATTGGTGGTGCACGGCAGCACTCCCCCTCCGGACGGAGCTTCCAGCTCAGTAGAAAACCTTTGGATGGAATGAACAGTGCCGCGGATGTGGAGGGTGTGGGGGTTTCGATCTGCGACCCATCCGTGTAGAACTGTAGATGGCTGTGTGAGTAAGAAATTTTGAGTTAGTTTATCAGAAAAAATTTGTACAGCGGCCTCAGAAGAGGTAACTGACACTGTAGCTGAAGAAAATCGGTCCAAAAAGTACTCGTCTACATCGAACCAAGGAGGCAATGGGGACACCAGAGGAGATGCAAGCATATGCGGCACAGGGATCTGTAAGGTGGACATGATGGCTCGGGCATGAGAGATAAAACTTATTGGTTGGCATAGTGCTCTGTTAGGTAGGCATGGAGGAACATTTTGGTGAAACAATTCAGTTACTATTGGGCAACGGGACAATTGTACGAGGCAAAAGCAATATTTACATAACAATTCATTCCTGTGTACTGAAAGAGGAGGAATGTGAGCTTCAACTTTCAACGGTATTGAAGGTATCGGGGTGGTTCTTCTACAGCCTAGAGCAATTCTCAGACAATTATTTTGTATTACATTCAGTTTGCGTAGATTAGTTGGGGCTGCAGAAGCATATAAGGCAGCGGCGTAATCCAAACGACTGCGAATTAACACCCTGCACAGTTTCAGCAGCAGTGCTCTATCAGCGCCCCAATGTCTGCTAGATATTGATTGAAGTAAGTTTTTTATGGGTATGCATAATAATTTAAGTGAAGAAATTTGCGGTTCCCATCGGAGACAAGGAGCATCAATGATGACCCCAAGGTAGCGGTGTTGCTTCACGTATTCAAGATTAGAGCCATTGATGGACAATGAAATAGCTGTGACTTTTCTTTGCAAGTAACATGCATTTTGTCTTGAGGTGATTTATGGATAGTCCCCACATCTTTGTCCATTCAAATAATTTATTTAATTGTGTTTGTATTTTATCAGTAGTAATGACAAGGTCTGGACCGTAAGGAAAGAAAGAAACATCATCAGCATAGTCTGCCGTATGCGCACCCCCAGCACCGATGGGAGGTCTCGCATCATTACATTAAATAAGAGGGGTGAGAGTATTGTTCCCTGTGGTACCCCAGATTTAATTTTCCTTGAGGATGACGTTTGGCCCTCAAATTGCACACAAAAGAGCGATTAGCAAGGTAAGCTCTCAGCCATCTCAGCAGAGCACCATGCACTCCACATTGGCTCAATTTATATAATAAACCAGTGTGCCAGACCCTATCAAATGTATTGGACAGATCACAAAATACCGCAACCAGTGGTGATCTATTCGTCAGGGCAGTGCGAATGGCAGCCTCGAGTCTGGCTATCTGGTCCACTCCAGCAAGGCGACGTCTGAAACATCCCTGGGAAGGTCTAAGGGAGTCATTCTGCTCAAGAAAGAATCCTAGCCTTTTGTTGATTAATGCTTCTAATAATTTGCTGATGCAGACTAGATAAAGCTATGGAAAAATATATGTTCAGATTTGAAATGCCTAGCTCCTTATCGAACCCGGTGTAAGTCTAGTAGCTACTTCAAACTATCGTCACTCATAAAAAGATCCGGTCAAATGACACGATTTTAGATCTTCTATGAACAAGGCATGAAAAGGAAAAGAATCGGCGACAGGCCACATCAGGCCTACACTTCAGCGCCGACATCACTATGTTATGTTATGAGAGGAGTGAGATTGGTCTTTATGAAACACGTTCTCACGCGCACTGTTCTCGTGAGATAAGGACACATTCCGTTCCGCCAGACCGTGAAGGCATCGGAACGTCAGAACAGAGAACAATGCGCGCTGCTGCATGCTCAGCCAGTGAAGATCGCGTAATATCGGCGTCACGTGGTCGAATTTCCGCTTATTGCACACGAGTTGCGCCGCAGAGTTTATTACGGATTGCAGTTTATTTAGTGCCGAGGTCGGAAGTCTATAGAGTGTGGCATTACCATAGTCCAATCGGGTCAGAACGAGCGCTATCGCGAGGGCCTTGATGATCGGCCTCGAGAGACAGCGGCTGACCTACGTCTTCGTCGCAGAGCACATGAACAAGATGTGGTGACTTTGGTTATGGGATTTTCCATAGAAAGTTCCGAGTCCAGAAGAATGCCGAGGTTGCGAACCGAAGACATAGGCATGACAAACTCGTTGGCCGAAAGCTGATGCTGGCA